TGGTAAAACCTCGCCTCTATGAAAAATACAAAAATTAGCTAGGTGTGGTGGTGGGCGCCTGTAATCCCAGCTACATGGGAGGCTGAGGCAAGAGAATTGCTTGAACCCGGGAGGTGGAGGTTGCAGTGAGCTGAGATGGCGCCACTGCACTCCAGTCTGGTGACAGAGTGAGACTCAGTCTCAAAAAAAAAAAAAAAAGAAAGAAAAAGAAAAATCAAATAAATATAAGTGCTCCTATGTGTGTTTTGTGACTCCCATCATACACACATAAGGTGAGGGAGATGCTATCATTTGGACACAGTTCGTCTCCACCAAAACTCATGTTGAAATTTGTTTTCCAAGCTGGGCATGGTGGTGCACATCTGTAGTGCCAGCTACTTGGGAGGCTGAGGCGGAGGATCACTTGAGCCTAGAAGTTCACAGATAACCTGGGTAACATAGTGAGATGCCCTATGATATGGTTTGGCTGTGTCCCCACCCAAATCTCATATTGAATTGTAACTCTCACAATTCCCATGTATCATGAGAGGGATCGGTGGGAGGTGGTTGAAATATGGGGGCAGGTCTTTTCCTGCGCTGTTCTCATGTTAGTGAATGAGTCTCACCAGATCTGATGCTTTTTAAAAAAGGAGTTTCTGGCTGGGTGTGGTGGCTCATGCCTGTAATCCCAGCACTTTGAGAGGTCAAGGCGAGTGGATCACCTAAGGTCAGGAGTTTGAGACCAGCCTGGCCAACATGGTGAAACCCCATCTCTACTAAAAACAGAAGAACTTAACCAGATATCTGTTTCATAAAGAAACTCTGATAAGACTTTTTTAAAGCCAAGCTCTGCCATGGGTTTGTACCCTCAAATACCTATGAGTTGGGTAAATCCCTCTCCTTTTGAGCTCCCAAGATAACTCAGAGCTCCTGGACGTGTGAGAAAGTGACATTCTTTACTTACCACAGGTCAGAAGCCCTGTACGAGGACTATAAGCAAGGTATGAGGGCAGTTCCCCAAAGGGCCTTTATTGCCTGTACAAGTCAAGTTTGGATTCCTTAAAGGAAAGCACACCATTCCAGTCAAAGCCTTGGTAAATTAATCCATTTCTCCAATTGTGTCCTGTTAACAAAAGAAAACAGATTCTTCTTGCACTTGTGCAAATAACGATATTGCCATCATACTCACAACTAGTTTCCAAATTCTGGAGAAATCAGGTAAGAGAAAAAAAATATGTTCCAAATTGTATTCATAGGGTATATTCAACTGGTAAAAGCTGTAAATAGCTCCAAAGAAAAGTTTCCTTGACTCTGAAAAACAAAACAAAGGATCAGCAATGTTTTAAATAACGTTATAAAGATTAGACTTCTTCAGTTTAGTCCATGTAGGTAAACTACTGTTTGATACTTAGGAACATGTCAGTTCTCTATGAGAGTTCTGGAAGTTTTTTCCTCTATTCCTTTGTCACCATCTCTAAAGTTATCAGAAAACCTGCATTTAACAACACCCGCTAAGAGTTCTTTGTTTTTTTTTTTTTTTGAGATAAAGTCTTGCACTGTTTCCTGGGCTAAAGTGCAGTAGCGTGATCTCGGCTCACTGCAACCTCTGCTTCCCAGGTTCAAGCGATTCTCCTGTCTCAGCCTCCCACGTAGCTGGAATTACAGGTGCTCACCACGCCCAGCTAATTTTTTTGTATTTTTCAGTAGAGATGGGGTTTCACCATGTTGGCCAGGCTGGTCTCAAACTCCTGACCTGATGATCCCCCTGCCTCAGCCTCCCAAAGTGCTGAGATTACAGGCTTGAGCCTCTGCACCCAGCCTAGAGTTCTATAGTTGATTATAAACCATCTTCTAAAGAGGATTAAACAAGACAATTGTCTATGGATGATAGAAAGTTTTAGGATAGTCACTATTAAAGCCACAATTGATAAAGGCATTTGGTTCCTTCTGTGGCACACAAAATTTCACATGACAATTGTAATTATTAATAACATATACTAAGTCATATTAGAATTATAGGAGTTTCCCGTTACTTTGGAACATATACCAATCACACATTTATGCACATACAGTCCAAAGAAAGCAAAACACCATTTCACAGTTGATAATGCTTCCTGTATACTTTTTATACCAAATAAGCCAAATTTCACCTTTACATTAATGTACTATTAATGTTAAACCCGATTTTTAATAAAACCTTATAGACTGCCAGGTGCAGTGGTTCAAGCCTGTAATCCCAGCATTTTGGGAGGCCAAGGCAGGTGGATCACGAGGTCAGGAGTTCAAGACAAGCCTGACCAGCATGTTGAAACCCCGTTTCTACTAAAAATACAAAAATTAGCAAGGTGTGGTGGTGCGTGCCTGCAGTCCCAGCTACTCGGGACACTGAGGCAGGAGAATCGCTTGAACCTGGGAGGCGGAGGGTGCAGTGGGCTGAGATTGTGCCACTGCACCCTAGCCTGGGCAACAGAGCAATACTCTGTCTGAAAACAAAAAACAAACCGCATAGACACATTTACCCAATTTTAATGTTTAGCCATAAAATTAGATTCTTATTCTGGGTTCAATAAATTATCCTGTCTCAGCCTCCCAATAACTGGAATTGCAGGTGTATGCCACCACGCCCAGCTAATTTTTGCTTTAGAGAGGTGGGGTTTCACCATGTTGGTCAGGCTGGTCTTGAATTCCTGACCTCAGGTGATCTGCCCGCCTCCTCTTCCCAGAGTATTAGGATGATAGGTGTAAGCCACCACACCCGGCCTATCCTCTTTTAATTAAGCTGACTTTTAACTATAGTGCTCTTTAAAAAAGAAATCCTTTCAAATCTCTTATTACCCAACTGTAGCCACGCCCAGAAGCTAATATTTCTAGCCTCTGAACTTTACCAAAGGTAACCTCCTAGGTGCGTAGAGAAAGGAAAACGTAACACAGCCTGTGGAGAAGAAAGGAACAGGCAAATTCACACAGGCATTAAACCAGAAACGACTTACTTCCTAGCTGGGGACTCGAACCCCACTGACTGTGAAAGGGCAAAAACCTTAGGTACTGAGCTACAGCATGGGACAGTGCCCACTTCCTTTCTGAGCTAAAGTCTAGAGTAGTGAATTTTGAGCTTGCAAAGGCTTTTAACTATTTAATATGATTTTTAGAGCTGACTATGACATGAGCCCTAATATCCCTGTTCCCTGGAAGGCAGAGACCAAGAGAAGGTACCGCCACATGGTTAAAAGGTCAGGCTCCCAGGCCAGGCGCGGTGGCTCACGCCTGTAATTCCAGCACTTTGGGAGGCCGAGGTGGGTGGATCACGAGGTCAAAAGATCGAGACCATCCCGGTCAACATGGTGAAACCCCGTCTCTACTAAAAATACAAAAAATTAGCTGGGCGTGGTGGTGCGTGCCTGTAATCCCAGCTACTCAGGAGGCTGAGGCAGGAGAATTGCCTGAACCCAGGAAGCGGAGGTTGTGGTGAGCCGAGACTGTGCCATTGCACTCCAGCCTGGGTAACGAGAGCGAAACTCCGTCTCAAAAAAAAAAGGTCAGGCTCCCAAGGACATAAAACAAGGTGGAGACTTCACCCAGTTTGTTTGTTTCAGGGACCTGCAGCTGTTGGTTACTGACCAGCTTACTGGGTCGTCTCGAAAAACAGGCTGACAGGTGTTCTAAGTCCGTGTTTTATCCTACAGAAAAATGAATTCATAGCACAAAATATACCAGCTTAAGACTAGCCTTAGGATTCTTTTTCACACTAATCAAAACTTTACAGAGGAGATAAACACTGATTTATTTATTTTTTTACCATTCATTCGACCATTTGCACAGAGAGAAAGCATGCAGGAATCTGACTCATAACACATTCTTACCCTATTGCTGGCCTGCCAGGCTTCTGCGTTCTCTTTCTCTGAGTGGTCCTAGTGATCTGGCTTATGGCGCCATCATCCTGGGGGCTAAGCCACATTATAAAGGAAAATTACTTTGTTTTTCATTCTGACCAGAGCAGAATAAAACACAGACATTAGCCACTCTGCTAGGGAGACCAGGGAAAGACCCACCCATCGTAGTGACACTGAAAAGCTCAGAGGGCTGCAGCTTGCTGCTGAATGGATTTTTTTCCAGCAGTCCCGTCAGCTCTCAAGTTTCCCCTTTTTGGGGGAGGAAAAAGCTCCCCATGTCCCACGATCCTGTACATACCGAACGCTGTCACCCACAGCCATCAGCAAAGAGTGCAAGGCAGATTAATCCAAAGAGAATAGCAGTTAACATCCCATAGTGCCGAACTCCTTCTTAGCCGAGAGGGACTTTACTGAGAGGGGTCTCTAACCCCCCTAAAGCTTAGAAGGGACTCTAACCCTTTTAAGTTGAGCCTCTAACCCAAGGTCAAGCATCCTGGCCTTTTATTAAGAGGGGCCTGTAACCCACTCTGTCTTAGAGGAGAGACTCTAACTCCTGTAAGTTGGGCATCTAACCCAATCCCTTTTTTTTTTGAGACGGAGTTTCACTCTTGTTACCCAGGCTGGAGTGCAATGGTGCGATCTCGGCTCACCACAACCTCCGCCTCCTGGGTTCAGGCAATTCTCCTGCCTCAGCCTCCTGAGTAGCTGGGATTACAGGCACGAGCCACCGTGCCCGGCTAATTTTTTGTATTTTTAGTAGAGACGGGCTTTCACCATGTTGACCAGGATGGTCTCGATCTCTTGACCTCGTGATCCGCCCGCCTCGGCCTCCCAAAGTGCTGGGATTACAGGCGTGAGCCACCGCGCCCGGCCTTACGCTCATTCTTTTCATAGCCTCACCCAATATCGTGACTTGAAGTAAGTTTCCGGTAACAACTCCCAGATTTATATATCCACGCTCCAACCCTATGCTGAATCATAGGTGGTGTATGTGGCACTACGCTTTGTGGTCTTACAGACGTTTCAAGCTGATCACACTTGACATGGGAGTCTTTTTTTTTTTTTTTTTTTTTTTTTTAGCATTTTGGTTATTTTTAGTTAAAGAAAAACAGCCTTCTCCAAGGGCAACAGAATGAACCTCAAGCCTGCTGCACTAGCAGCCGCCCCACCTCGGGGCACGGGAAGTCCACACGTGGCGAACGCGGAGCGCATTACATCACTCGGAAGTCCCCGCATCCTGTGAAGCCTGAGCCGGGACAAAGGAGGCCCGCGAGAGGGCGGTCCGTCTTTGCCAGCAGCTTGGGGCCCACTGTCAGGCGTCCTCCTCTGAGTGGCTATTTTAACTGTTCATTTATCCTTTCCTTCTATGAAAAGATCCCGAAAAGAGGCAAAGTGAGCGAGAAGTCGCGGGCCCAGCCCACAGCGGGGTAAGCACCTTTGTTTGGGATCTGAATCAGGGCGAAATCCCCGTCTCCTGACCTCGATTTTCCTGAGCTAGAAGGGCCCCCATCGACCCTCCGACTTGTGCCCACAGTAGAGCGGCGGCCCAAAGACGACGTGGGGGGGTTCTTTGTGCGCACTTACGTGGAGTCGGATGCGCGTGGTGAGTTTCCACACCCAGTAGATGCAAAGAAAAACTGCATTACCCAGAAGGCACCGCCCCTTGCGTCGGCCGCGGACTCTGGGCCAATGACGGCCCAGGACAGGAGTTTTTCTGCGGATCACGCGGAGGCGGGACTTCCGCTTCTTCGCGTGACGTCATCTCCCCGAGCCGGATTGGCCCTGAAACGGTGTGGGGCCTGGAGAGCTGGGTGGGCGCGTTCAGCGGCCTTAGCAGCGGAGGGGAGTGAAGCGGTTACGCCCCTTCCCCGCATCTTGGCGGGAGCTTGACGCCCCGCTTCTTCCCTAACGGGGTGTCCCACCGGCGCCCGTCGGGGCCTAGGCCTCCGTAGCCGCCTTCGGCTCCGACGCTGCGCCCTGGGCCTTGTGCGCATTTTTTTTCGGGGGAAACTGAGGCTCGGAGTGCGAAAGTCAGCCGAGGTAGACCCGCCCAGGACAGAGGAGGGCTGTGGTCGGCTGATCCGCGGCATTCTTGGGATGGCGGCGGCGTGGATGGCTCCGACGCAGGTGAGTGGAGGTTTCGGCCTTGCTGGTGCGCTGCTATTTCTGGAGGTCCCGTGGGCAGGCTGGAAGCCAAGACAGCCACAGGATCCTCCTTTGTCGCCATCGCATGTGTAAGAGAAGTGGCCGTGGCTCGTCGTTTTCTTTATTCGCAGCCCCGCGGCAGCGTGGGCCGCTGATAGGTGTTCAGTCCGTGACTGAAAGAGGATTGTGGATTCCTCCTGGGGATCTCATCACGCTTCCCTAAATCCAGCCCTCCCTGCTGCCAGCTTACTGTGTTGCCAGCCTGCCAGCCCCTACGCCATCCACCTGGCCAGCCACCCCTGACCTTGTTGTCTCTCTGCGTTTTTTTCTGGTCCTTTGCCCGTCAGAGCCACCAGCCTGACGGTGCAGAGTCCTCTTCCCCTTCCCAGCCTTTCTCCTTGCGCTTCTTTTTACCTCGAACCCTGCCCCTATAACTTTTCAGGGCCTGCCTCTCGCAGCTTCCGGCCCCCTGCCCAGATGTCACATATTATGCCCTTGCCAAGAGTCTGGCATTTTTGTATTGAGAATCTGATGGTATTTAAAGAAGCTTGCGGATTTGAGTTTGCCCAGGATGTCATGGGAACAAAAATTATTATGAAGAATGATAGTAACTGACTGTCATTGAGCCCTTGCTGTGCGCTGATCGGTGGGGATTATTTAACCCTCAGCTCGGTTAATCCTGAATTTTTTTTTTTATTTATTTGTTTTTATTTTTTGAGACGGAGTCTTGCTCTGTCACTCAGGCTGGAGTGCAGTGGCACAACCTCGGCTCACTGCAGCCTCCGCCTTCTGGGTTCAAGCGATTCTCCTGCCTCAGCTTCTCGAGTAGCTGGCATTACAGGCACCCGCCACCACGCCCAGCTAATTTTTTTTTTTTTTTTTTTTTTTTTTTTTGAGATGGAGTCTCGCTCTTGTTGCCTTCGCAGGCTGGAAGAGTTCCTTAGAGTTCCTTGCTCCTGGAATATTCTGGCCTCAGGGATACCTGCTAGTAGGGCTCAGGTAGAAAAATAAGTGAAGGCTCATTGTGAATTCTCCCTGGAAGCAGGACCAGGCCCTAACACCTGCTCAGGCGGTGGCAGGTGGCACCACCTCAGGGGACTCTTTGGTGAAGTGAATGATGATGACTATACTTCTCTGCCCTTGTCCATGGGAGTGGCCGAAGTGGATATATGGATTTGAAATGCTTCTCATCCTCATTAATTGTATTAACTTTACTAATGGAGAAATGTCACGTTACATAATTAGAATATAGACCAGAGGGCCCTGGGCTCAAATCCTGCCTCTGTTGATAAGACATGTGACTTTGGGCTGGGCATGGTGGCTTACACCTGTAATCCCTGAACTTTGGGAGGCCAAGGTGGGTAGACTGCTTGAGCCCAGGAGTTCAAGACCAGCTTCTGCAAAATGGGGAAACCCTGTCTCTATAAAAAAAAAAATAACAAAAAATTAGCTTGGTGTGGTGTCACGTGCCTTTAGTCCCAGCTGTTCAGGAGGCTGAGGTGGGAGGATCACTAGACCCCAGGAGTTTGGGGCTGCAGTGAGCCAAGACCGTCCCAGTAAACTGCAACCTGGATGACAGAGTAAAAGCCATCTTAAAAAAAGAAAAAAGATATAAAGACATATGACTTTGGGTAGACTGGCAGAACTTCCAGGCCTCAGGTCTCTGAGTGCAACATGGAGATGAGGATGGTAAAAGGGGCTGTGGCCCTTTGTTGTTTTCTTTTTTCTTCTTCTTTTTTATTTTTACAGTTTTTCTTTAGTTCTTTTGACTACTCTTTTTTTTTTTTTTTTTTTTTTGAGACAGAGTCACTCTGTTGTCCAGGCTGGAGTACAGTGGCACAGTCCTGGCTCACTGCAACTTCCGCCTCCTGTGTTCAAGCGATTCTCCTGCCTCAGCCTCCCTAGTAGCTAGGATTGCAAGCTCACGCCACCACACCTGGCTAATTTTTTTATTTTTAGTAGAGACGGGGTCTCACACTCCATCAGCCTGGCTGGTCTCGAACTCCTGACCTCAGGTGATCTGCCTGCCTCAGCCTCCCAAGGTGCTGGGATTACAGGTGTGAGCCACCATTCCTGACCTTGACTATTCTTTTTTTTTTTTTTTTCCTTGAGACAGAGTCTCACTCTGTTGCCCAGGCTGAAGTGCAGTGGTGCAATCTCAGCTCACTGCAACCTCTGCCTCCCGGGTTCAATCGATTCTCCTGCCTCAGCCTTCTGAGTAGCTGAGATTACAGGGACCACAAGGCCTGGCTAATTTTTGTATTTTTAGTAGAGATGGAGTTTCACCATGTTGGTCAAGCTGGTCTCAAACTCCTGACCTTGTGATCCACTCGCCTCAGCCTCCTAAAGTGGTGGGATTACAGGCGTGAGCCACTGCGCCCAGCTGACTATTCTTGATGCAGTGGGAAACACTGTTAGATTGACCTGGAAATCGAGGCTCAGCTAAATGAAATGAAGTCCCCAAGGTCACATAGCAGGCACATGTTGATTTTAGGAATTTGGTTTTAAACCTCAGAAGTCTGGCCCCTTAGCTGGGGACTTTGAGTCACTTTACCGTGGCTTGTAAAGCTGTCATCATAAGGCAGGCACAAGGGAGGATGGGTAAGACTCAGGTGCTGTTCCTGTTATTGTTGCTGGTGGTGGTGTTTTTATTATTATTCCTTCCAATTCCTCTGACATGTCATAGCAAATACTGTCTGTGCCTCTCAGTCCCCTTGGGATTGTCCTAACCTTATTTCTGTGTTAAGTGGCTTCCTGCATAGGAGCCTTCCGTCTCCTCTGCACTCTGTAATCCATGCAAGGCAGTGTCCACGTTCCCCTTGATCCTGGCACAGATCTTGGCCCTTTGAGGTGCTTGGTGATTTGGTCTTTGATTCTCTGGGCATCTTTTGCAGTGCTGGAGTGGCAGGTTCTAATCCTATTCCACAGTTCCAAAGGAAACATTACTGCCTTTGTTTGACTTTTCAGGAGTCTGTGACCTTTGAGGATGTGGCTGTGACATTCACCCAGGAGGAGTGGGGACAGTTGGATGTGACCCAGAGGGCCTTGTACGTGGAGGTGATGCTGGAGACCTGTGGGCTTCTGGTTGCACTGGGTAAGGCCTGTCCTCTCCTGTCCTTTCCTCTCCTCTCCTACATAAGGGGCACCTGAAAATAGCTTCGTTTTAGCCTCATTCATCTTCATTCGGGCTCCGGGCCTGGCTGGTGGAGTAGGTCAGGTCATGGGAGCCAACACTCCTGTTTCTGTTTCCCAAAGTTTCACTCTCTTTTTTTTATTTTTTTTTTTGAGATGGAGTTTCGGTCTTGTTGCCTAGGTTTGAGAGCAATGGCACAATCTCGGCTCACTGCAACCTCTGTCTTCCGGGTTTGAGTGATTCCACTGCCTCAGCCTCGTGAGTAGCTGGGATTACAGGCGTGTACCACCACACCCAGCTGATTTTGTATTTTTAGTAGAGGCAGGGTTTCTCAACGTTGATCAGGCTGGTCTTGAACTCCTGACCTCAAGTGATCCGCCTGCCTTGGCCTCCCAAAGTGCTGGTATTACAGGCATGAGCCATCACACCCGGCCTCATTTTTTTGACTCACCTGATTCTTCCTGATCTTTGTGTCTGTCTTAGGAAGGGTTGGCTAAGAAATATAGTTTGCTTTTGGTCATAGTCACAGGAGAGGGATGTGTTATTAGAAAATGGGGATGTTTCGCAGAACCCAAGGGCAAGATTTGTAGCCAGGCTCCTTGCGGTACTTAGACTGCATTGGGAAGGAAACGCGACTGTGCCCTGCCTAGTGGGTGTCTTGTGCTGGCCTCCCTCTGTGGGTCTGCTCCTGTACCTGTCTTTTCATAATGGCCTTTTCTGGCTTAGCTATTCTGTGGAACGAAGTGACCATCAGTTCCTGTTCTCTGAGGCTCACACATTCCTTGGCACCGCTACTTCCTGCATATGTTTGTTGTTTCTCTGTTGACGTTCTTCTCAATTATCCCAGCATCCCCATCCTCAGTGAGTAAGCGTAGGGCCACTGCAGCAAGCACCTCAGAAGCTTCATTCATTCAGTCTAACAGATGGAACCTTCTTTGTAAGATGCTGTTTGTTGCATTTTTTTCTTGGTAAAAGTTCTTTCTTTTGTGAAGTGTTGATTTTGATGTTTTTGCAAATGTCTGTATGTGGCCAAATCGCTGTTTGGAGTTCTCTCTCAGTTTTTTATTTTTCAGTGGTTCATGAAATGTCAGAGTGTGGCATCACCACGTCTACCCTTCATTCTGGTGCCCTGTTCCCTTAGGACTGGGTTCTTCTACTCATGTCTCCCATTCTTCTTTACAGCCTACTTGTTTTGAGGCTCCTGGCACCACACAGGGGTGTTCTCCATTTCCTCTGAGCATAGCACTTGGGAAACCAGGCTCTGATGCCTCAGAGTGCACTCCTAGCTCTACTCCCTATGAGCTGTGTTCCCTGGGCAAGGTACGGCGCTCCTCTGTGCCTTGATTTTCGTTTTAGAATTTGCATTTCTTTATACCCATGGCAGTGCAGAGAAGTGCCTCAGTTTTCTCATGGCTGTTTCACTGCACTCTGCTCTGCACACCTTGCAGTGACTGTGATTTTAGAATTTGAACGTTTGCGGCCACCCTGTATGGAGCAAGTCTGTCCCACACCATTTTTCCAACACCATGTGCTCACTTTTCGCCTGTGTCACATTTTGGTAATTCTTGCAGTATTTCAAACATTTTCGTTAATACTGTATTTATTGTGGTGGTCTGTGATCAGTGGTCTTCGATATTACTGTGGTAACTGCTGTGGGGAACCATGAGCTGAACCATATAAGACAGCTTTATCAACAAATGTTTTGTTTGTTCTGACTGCTCCACTTACTGGCCATTCCTCTCTCTCCTTGGGCCTCTGTATTCTCTGAGATACAACCGCAGTGCAGTTAAGTCACTTAATAACCGGATGCCCTAACCCCAGCTGCTCCGGAGGCTGAGATGAGAGGGTTGCTTGAGGCCAGGAGTTCAAGACCAGCCTGGGCATCATAATAAGACCCCATCTCTTTTACTTTTTGAATAAGCTATAACTTATATGCTGTGTAGTACAAAAATCTTAAGAAGTCCACGTACTGAGGCCACACGCAGTGGCTCACGCCTGCAGTCCCAGCACTTTGGGAAGCCTAGGTGGGCAGATCACCTGAGGTCAGGAGTTTGGACCAACCTGGCCAACATGGTGAAACCCTGTCTCTATTAAAAATATAAAAATTAGCTGGACATGGTGGTAGGCGCCTGTAATCCCAGCTATCCAGGAGGCTGAGGTAGGAGAATTGCTTGAACCTGGGAGGTAGAGGTTGCAGTGAGCCAGGATCACACCACTGTACTCTGGCCTGGACGACAGGGTGAGGCCCCATCACCAAAAAGCAAACAAACAAAACATCATTCCCTTATTCTTTGAGTCCATGTGATAGGGTTCTGTGTGTCACACACAGAAATTATGGTAAGATCACTACTTTTATTCCTAATTTTCAAATACAACAGTGACCATAATGATAATTGATGGTGGCCCAGAATTTACCAGTCTCTTAATGTAGTGTCTAGCATGTGCCAAGTGCTTTATAGAAATCCCCCCACACACTTTCTTTTTTTTTTTTTGAGACGGAGTTTCGCTCTTGTTACCCAGGCTGGAGTGCAATGGCGCGATCTCGGCTCACCGCAACCTCCGCCTCCTGGGTTCAGGCAATTCTCCTGCCTCAGCCTCCTGAGTAGCTGGGACTACAGGCACACGCCACCGTGCCCGGCTAAGTTTTGTATTTTTTTTTTTTTAGTAGAGACGGGGTTTCACCATGTTGACCAGGATGGTCTCGATCTCTTGACCTAGTGACCCACCGCGCCTGGCCCTTTTTTTTTTTTTGAGACAAAGTCTCTCTCACCCAGGCTGGAGTGCAGTGGCATGATTTTGGCTCACTGCAACCTCCGCCTCCCAGGTTCAAGGGATTCTCATGCCTCAGCCTCCCGGGTAGCTGAGACTACAGATGCCTGCCACGACGCCCGGCTAAATTTTTCTGTTTTTAGTAGAGATGGGGTTTCACCATGTTGGCCAGGCTGTCTCAAACTCCTGACCTCAGGTGATCCACTCGCCTTGGCCTCCCAAAGTGCTGGGATTACAGGCATGAGCCACTGCACCCAGCCAGAAGTTTTCCCCTTTTTTTTAAGAGACAGAGTCTTGTTCTGTTGTCAAGGCTGGAGTGCAGTGGCACCATCATAGCTCACTGCAGCCTTAAACTCCTGGGCCCAAGCAATTCTGCAGAGTAACTGGGACTACAGGCTCACACTACAATGTCCGACTCATTTATTAATCTTTTTGTAAAGACAGGGTATTGCTCTATTGCCCAGGCTAGTCTTGAACTCTGGGCCTCAAGCAATTCTTCTGCCTTAGCCTCCAAAAGTAATGGGATTACAGGCATGAGCCACTGTGCCCAGCCAAGAAATTTCCTATTTAACCCTCATCGCAGCCTGTGAGACAGAATCTGAGAGTTTCTTGTTTTTCAGATGAGGAAATGGAGACTAGGATCAGCTAAATCATTTCTCCTCTGTACCAGCTGACTTGGTACAGGCAAGATTTGAACTGAGATGTTCTAACTCCAGAGCTACACTCGGAACCTCCCTTCACTATGAACTCGTGACTCAGCACAGAGTTTTCACATTTTGAGCCTGCACATCTGGCCCTCTTAGAGCCTCCTTCCCTGTTCTCACTGGACTTTGGGTCTCTTCCTGCCCTGATCTTTGCTTTTGAGTTGGCTTCAGCAGTTGTCTCGTAGCCCGTCCTTTCTACTCTTATATACTCTTCAAGGCTAATCTGCACATTGTTTCTATTTATTTTTGGTTTTATTTTATTTTGCTTTTTGAGACAGTCTCACACTGTTGCCTGGGCTGGAGTGCAATGGCGCAATCTGGGCTCACTGCAACCTCTGCCCCCTGGAGTTCACACAATTCTCCCGACTCAGCCTCCTGAGTAGCTGGGATTACACCCTGCAGCAGGTGCACACCACAACACCCTGCTGATTTTTTGTGTTTTTACTAGAGAAAATAATAAAGGGGTTTCACTATGTTGGCTAGACCGGTCTCAAACTCCTGACCTCATGATCCGTCCACCTCGGTCTCCCAAAGTGCTAGGATTACAGGTGTGGGCCACCGTGCCTGGCCTATTTTTATTTATTATTATTACTATTTTTTTTTAAGAGGTGGGGTCTGGCTATGTTTCCCAGGCTGGTCTCGAACTCCTAGGCTCAAGTCATCCTCCTCCCCTCAGCTTCCTGAGTAGCCAGGATTACAGGCAGGAACCTATCAGATTATGTCTTTTTCTAGTGTTTTCAGGTGATTGTTTTTCAGGGTTGTATTTAATTTCTGGATCAGTTTTGAGAGAGTTGATAACTTTATATTATTAATTTCTTCATTCAAGTAGATGTTTATTGTCTTCAAATAAAGTTTTACAATTTTCTTTTTCAAGATCCGCTCGTTAGCCTTTTCACCTGTCTTTCACCCTGACACAACGGATTCTATATGTCTGCCAGGATTCTGTTCTCCCTCTGTCCTAGGAGTAGCTGTGGCTGTCACTAGCTGTCCCTCAGGCAGAATCTTGAGCATCGCCTTCCTCTCTGCCCCTTCCTGTCTCTGTATCCTGACCAACTTTAACTTCTCCTGGGCTGCCTCCTCTCACTGCGGTTCCCTGGATTCTCTGAAACTGTTTGTATATATTCTATGTCCTAAGGCTACTGTGACCTTCCCACTTTCTCTATATGGCAACCTCACCTCTCCATTAGAGGTAAGCTCATGAAGCATCCTCTCTGGGAAGCTTCCTTACCTCTTCCTGTCCCTACACTATCTAGGCTACATTAAGTGCCCCTTCCCTGGCCTCCTGTAGCATCTCGACATCTTGCTTTGAGTAAGCTCTCCATACAGTGTCATCATTATGATACCTAGTCTCGTCTTGACCGTGAGTGGGGACCTCTATTCTAGACACTCTGTACTCTGCTTGAGCTTCTACCTCTGGGCTTCTCTTTAAACATTTCAAGAGTTGGCTAAGCATGGTGACTCATGCCTGTAATCCCAGAACTTTGGATGCAGAAGTGGGCGGATTGCTTGAGGCCAGGAATTCGAGACTTGGCAACATGGTGAAACCCCATGTCTTTAAAAAAAAAAAAAAATTGGCCAGGTGTGGTGACTCACACCTGTAATTCCAGCGTGTTGGAATTCCTAGGTGGGCAGATCACCTGAGTTCAGATGTTCCGAACCAGTCTGGCCAATATGATGAGACCCCATCTCTACTGAAAATACAGAACAATTAGCCCGGCATGGTGGCGCACACCTGTAATCCCAGCTACTCGGGAGGCTGATTCAGGAGAATCGCATGAACCCAAGAGGCAGAAGTTGCATTGAGCTGACATCACGCCACTGCACTCCAGCCTAGGCAGTGCAGCTCCATCTCAAAAAAAAAAAAAAAAAGCCAGGCATGGGGCATATGCCTGTAATCCCAGCTACCTTGGAAGCCGAGGTGGGCAGATCACCTGGGATTCACCCAGCTCAGCCTCCCAAACCAAAGTGCTGGGATTACAGGTGTAAGTCACCTTTCCTGACCTTTTCTTTAAGATGGGTTTCCCTCTGTCACCCAGGCTGGAGTGCAGTGGCTCAATCTCGACTCACTGCAACCTCCACCTCCCAGGTTCAAGCGATTCTCCTGTGTTAGCCTCCCAAGTAGCTGGGATTATAGGCGCCCGCCGCCATCCCTGGCCAGTTTTTGTATTTTTAGTAGATATAGGGTTTCACCATGTTGGCTAGGCTGATCTTGAATTCCTGACCTCAAGTGATCCACTCGTCTCAGCCTCCCAAAGTGCTAGGATTACAGACATGAGCCACTGTACCCAGCACGTTAAATCATAGCTGTTTTATTTTATATATTTTTTTTAATTTTTCTTTCTCTTTTATTTATTTATTCTTTTAATGAATGAGAGGTTCTTATGTTGCCCAGGTTGGTTGGCCTCGAACGCATAGCCTCGGCTCCTCAAGTGCCAGGGCAACTGGCATGAGCCACCGTGGCCCCTATTTCATTTTATTATTTTATTTTAAAAGAGGTTTTGCTCTGTTGCCCAGGCTGGAGTACAGTGGCGCAGTCTCAGCTCACTGCAACCTCTACCTCCCAGGTTCATGCAAGTCTCCTGCCTCAGCTTCCTGAGTAGCTGGGACTACGAGTGCATGCCACCACGCCTGGCTAATTTTTTATACTTTCAGTAGAGGCAGGGTTTCACCCTGTTAGCCAGGATGGTCTTGATTTCTTGACCTCATGATCTGCTCGCCTTGGCCTCTCAGAGTGCTGGGATTACAGGCGTGATCCACTGCGCCCGGCCAGATCATAGCTGTTTTCAGATCATCACTATCTTCATCTTACTTTTCTCATGGAAATGGCGGTTTCATTTCTTCTATACTATCTTAATATGCTCTTTTGTGTATTGTACCCCTTCAGGTGACAGCACAAAACCTGAGACCTTAGAGCCTGTCCCTTCTCACCCGGCCTTGCCTGAGGAAGTCTCACTCCAGGAGCAACTGGCACAGGGAGTCCCAGGATACTCCCAGTGGGGGCAGGCCATGGATCAGGATGGGCCATCTGAAATGCAGGAAGACCTCTGGAGACCAGTGACAGACCCACAGAGTGAGAACCTCCACGGGGAAATGAGCCTTGAACATGAAGGTTTGGCGACAGCTGATGGTATGTGTTCAATGATTCTACAGAAACAAGTGTCTCCAGTAGATGCTCTCTATGGATTTGAGTCATATGGACCCGTGACAGATTCCTTGATTCATGAAGGGGAAAATTCCTATAAATTCGAGGAAGTGTTTAATCAGAACTACTTCCTTGTTCAGCATGAGCAGATCAACACTCAGGTGAAGCCCTACGATTGCCCAGAATGCGGGAAAGCCTTCGGTAAGACCAAACACCTCCTTCAGCATCACATCATCCACACTGGGGAGAAGCCCTATAAATGCCTGGAGTGTGGGAAGGACTTCAACCGCAGGTCACACCTCACACGACACCAGCGGACTCACAATGGAGATAAGCCTTTTGTGTGCAGTGACTGTGGAAGGACCTTCAACCGCGGGTCACATCTCACACGGCACCAGCGGGTTCACAGTGGAGAGAAACCTTTTGTGTGCAATGAATGTGGAAAGGCCTTCACCTACCGCTCCAATTTTGTCTTGCATAACAAGAGCCACTATGAGAAAAGACCCTTCACGTGCAGTGAATGCGGAAAAGGCTTTTATGAGAGCACAGCCCTCCTTCAACACTTCTTTATCCACACCGGGGAGAAGCCCTTTAAGTGCCTCGAGTGCGGGAAGGCCTTCAACTGCAGGTCCCACCTCAAGCAGCACGAGCGGATCCACACCGGGGAGAAGCCCTTTGTGTGCAGTCAGTGTGGAAAGGCCTTCACCCACTATTCCACCTACGTCCTGCATGAAAGGGCCCACACGGGAGAAAAACCTTTTCAGTGCAAAGAATGTGGGAAAGCCTTTAGCATTCGCAAAGACCTCATTCGACACTTCAACATCCACACTGGAGAGAAGCCCTACGAGTGTTTACAGTGTGGAAAGGCTTTTACCCGCATGTCAGGGCTCACAAGGCACCAGTGGATCCATACTGGAGAGAAGCCCTATGTATGCATCCAATGTGGGAAGGCGTTTTGTCGGACCACAAACCTCATTCGACACTTCAGCATCCACACTGGAGAGAAGCCCTATGAGTGCGTGGAGTGTGGGAAGGCCTTCAACCGCCGGTCACCCCTCACAAGGCACCAGCGGATTCACACTGCAGAGAAGGCCCATGAACACATCCAGAGTGGGAACGTTTCGTGCCAGAGCACAGATCTCATTCAACAGTCCACGATCCACACTGAGAGTAGCCCAGTGGGTGCAGAGGATGTGGAAACGCCTTCAATGGCCGCTCATTCCTCCTCCTTTGACATCAACGGGTTCATGCTGGAAGAAACGCTACCATTGTAACAGATGCGGAAAGACTTTTTACACACACTTCAGTCAACATCCAAGAATTCCTGTTAGGGAAAGAGTTTTTTAATATAACCACTGAAGAAAATCTGTGGTGAGAGGAAACATCTTACCATCTGGTCATTCACAGTGAAGAGAAACTCAATAAGCATCATCTCTGTGGGAAAACCTATTTTAGATCATCATTTGTCATCTAAACAATTATGTTAGAAATTGACACAATCAAGAGTCTTATTCTACACTTGATAATTCACATGAGAGAGACCCAATGGTTATTGTGCACTTAAGAAAACCTTCAGCCACATCTTGTTGGTTTACAGTGAAATGTCATCTCAGGGACATTCAAACAAAGGAGGAGGAGACATAGGGAAGAGAAAGAAATGGAAGCACAGCTTCTTTCAGACTTCCCTGACAAGCCCGTGGCAATTTGTCATCCCCTCCTTATTTTATTTGGGAGAGGGAAATGTTTCAGAAACAAAAGGGCCTCATCCCCTTTATTCTCCCTGTGTGTACATTCACTGCTGTCCAGTGTCAGGACAGTGAGACACATGGTTTGTTTGAAAACATCTTGTGAAAGCCTACTTTGTTCCACAGCGTGGTTTCCAATCTTGAGGAGCAGAAGCATACATCTTTATGAGAAAGATGGAGGCTTGAGTTATGAAATACTTTTACACTTGAGGAGATGAGGATGTACCATGAATGGGCACATTTCATACATCTTTATGAGAAAGATGGAGGCTTGAGTTATGAAATACTTTTACACTTAAGGAGATGAGGATGTACCATGAATGGGCACATTTCACTGCATACTTAAGATGGTTTGATTTTTTTTAAAAAATGTTTCTCCATGTGTCTTTAACCATCCAGTACACATACTTTTTTCTTGATCTGTATCAACTTTCTTTTTCTTTCTTTTTCTGTGGGAGGGAGATGAAATTGTAGTTGTTTGTACCTGATGTAATCCTGTGGGGGGTCCTGATTGTTCCCTCTGATTGTGCTTTCTCAGCATCTTTACTCCTCTTTGGAGAGAGTAAAGAGTTCAGAGTTCACCTCAGCAGTTTTTGAGAGGTCAGTTTGGAACTAAAAATGAAATCAAACGTGTAGCTAAGTTAAGTTAAAGGATTATGACAAACTCTAACAGAGAAGGAATCTCATCTTCAGTCTTACAGAAGGTTGTGTGAAGGCTGACGACAAAGTGACTGGAATTTTAGCAGGTAAACCTGCGTCGTATATGCAGGTAGCTGTCACCATGGATTTAGTCCAGTCATCATAATATGTTACATGAGAATATTTTGGAATTTCTCTTTTGGTATTATTTTTGTTTATTATCTTTAATTGACACATCATGTTTATGGGGTTCAATATTATCTTTCAATACATGTGTGCAAAGAGTAAAGATCAAATCAGGGTAATTAGCATATCCATCTCCTCAAGAATTTATCATTTCTTTGTGTTTAGAAACATTCACAATCTGCTCTTCTAGCTGTTTGAAAACATAAAATGAATTGTTGCCAATTGTACTCATCCTACAGTGCCACAGAACACTAGAACTTATTCAGATGGAATTTCACTTGCTGTAATTTCATATTTGTTAACCAATCTCTGCCTCCCTGCTGCCCTTCCCAGCCTCTGGTAACCACCATTCTACTCAACTTTTTATGCTTCCATATAAGTAGAAATATGGAGTATTTCTCTTTCTGTGCCTAACTTACTTAATGTCTTTAAAGCTCATTCATGTTGCTGTGAATGACAGGTTTATTTTTCATGGCTGAGTAGTATTCCATTGTGTATATATGCCATGTTTTCTTTCTTCATTCTTCTGTTAGTGGACACTTAGATTAATTTCTTAGCTATTATGAATAGTGTTTCAATAAACATAGGAGTGTAGATCTTTGACATACAGATTTTTTTTTCTTGGATATATGCCCAGTAGTGGTACAGATCATTACCACTGGATCATATGATAGTTGTATTTTTTAACTTTTGTTTAATTTTTTAAAATGGGGTCTTACTGTATTGCTCAGGCTGGTCTCAGACTCCTGGGCCCAAGCAGCCCTCCACAGCAGCCTGCCGAGCAGCTGGGACCGCAGGTGCACACCCCCACGCCTGGCTGTAGTTTTAGTCTTTTGAGGAACATCCATACTGTTTTCCATGTGGCTACACTAATTAACATTCCTGCCAGCCATATGTAAGAGTTCCCCCTTCTCCATGGTCTCAGCAGCATCTTTTGTTTTTGATCTTTGGTAACAGCCATCCTAACTGAGGTGAAATGCTATCTCATTGTAGTCTTGATTTGCATTTCCCTGATGAGCATTTTCATATACTTGGCCATTTGTGTGTCTCCTTTTGAGGGATATCTATCCTTACTTGCCCATTTTAAAATCAGATGTTTTTAAATTGCTGTTGAGTTCCTTGTGTATTCTAGATATTAATCCCTTTTAGATGAATAGTTTGCAGACGTTTGATCCCACTCCGCTCGTTTTCATTCTGCTGTTCCCTTTGCTGTGCAGAAGTTTTGTATGTTTGTGCTTCTGTTACCTGAATTTTTAGGTCTTTGTAAAATCTTTGCCCAGACCAGTATCCTGAAGCATTTTCCATTCTCTTCTAGTAGTTTCATAGTTTTTGCTCTTATATTGAAGTTTTTAAACCATTTTGAGTTGATTATTTATCCCACAAGCATAGATTCAAATTGCCCTAAAAATACATTCCCAATTTTTGTTTTTGCTTTTTAATTATTTTTCAGAGACATAGTCTCACCACATTAGTCCTGAACTCCTGGACTCAAGTGAGCCTGTAAACTCAGCCTTCTGAGTAGCTGGGATTACAGGTATAAGCCAGCATACTTGGTGTTTTGAGTTGATTTTTGCATATGGTGAGAGATAAAGAGTCTAGTTTCATTCTTCTGCATATGCATATGAATATCCAGTGTCCTAGCACCATTTATTGAATAGACTATCCTATTCCCAATGAATGTTCTTTTTATGCCTTTGTTAGAAATCAGTTGGCTGTAAATGGGATTTATTCCTGGGCTCTCTGCTTTGTTCCATTGGTCTGTGTGGTTTTTTTAAAATTTCCAATACCATGCAGTTTCGGTTACCATCGCTTTGTAGTATATTTCAAGGTCAGTTAGTGTGATACCTCCTATTTTATTATTTTTGCTCAGGATTGCTGTGGATATTTTGTGATGTTATATGAATTTTAGGATTACTATTTCTATTTCTGTGAAAATGTTACTGGTATTTTGTTAGAGAGTACATGGAATCTAGTTCATTTGAGGTAGTATGTTCATTTTTTTAAATAAGCTATCTCTTACAGGATAGTATGTTCATGTTTATAATATTAACTATTACAATCCATGACCATGGGATGTTTTTCCATTTTTATGTGTGCCCTCTTTGATTTACTTCATCAGTATTATGTAGTTTCCTTGTATTCTTAGTGTTTTATTTTTGGTGAAATAATGTAAATGGGCTTGCTTTCTTAATTTCTTTTCAGCTAATTCGCTGTTGGTGTATAGAAGTGCTACTGATTTTCGCATGTTGATTTTGTATCCTGTAACTTCAGTGAATTTGTTTATCAGTCCTAAGAGTTCTCTTGGTGCTATTTTTGGAGTTTAGGGTTTTCTGATCCTGTCATGTGCGTACAGAGATGATGTGACTTTACCCTTTCTTATTTGCATGCCCTGTATTTATTTCTCTTGCCTGATTCCTCTATCTCAGACTTCCTCTACTTTGTTTTAAAAACATGTACCCACTTTCACACTTTTATCTGTTTGAGATTGTAGAGAAAGCTTTCAGCTCCTTCCCATTATGCACGATATAGCTGTGGGTTTGTTATTTACTACCTTTGTTGTGTTGAGGTACATTCTTTCTATTAATACGTATAAGTTGTTAAGAGTTTTCATCATGAAGGAATGTTGAATGTTACCGAGGCTTCTTCTCGGTGGAGGGGATCACATCCCTTGTTCTTCATTCTGTTGATGTATCATGTTTATTGTTTTGTATATGTTGAAACCATTCTTGCATCCCTGGAATCAGATTCACTTGGTCATGGTAAACAATCTTTTTGAGGTTTTTTTTAATTTGGTTGGCTCATATTTTATCGAGGATTTTGACATTTATGTTCATAGGAATATTGGCCTGTAGTTTTCTTTTGCATGTGTGTGTCCTTGTCTGGTGCTTGGATCACGGTAATGCTGGCTTGTAGAATGACTTTAGAATAATTCCCTCCTCTTCATTATTCTGGGAAAGTGTGAGAAGAATTCATATTTAATTTTTCTAAAACATTTGGTAGCATTCAGCAGTGAAGCCATCATCATGGACTTTCCTTTCATGGGTGACTTTTTATTACTGATGCAATCTTGTTACTCAGAATTGGTCAGTTCAGGTTTTCTCTTTCTTCTTGGTTCAATCCTGATGGGTTGTATGTGTCCAGGAATTTGTCTTCTGCAGCTTTTCCAATTTTTTGATTTGAGGTTGTATATAATAGTCTCTAATGACTCTATTTTGGTGTGTGTTTGATTTTATGTGGGTCTTATCTCTTGGTTAGTCTAATGGTTTATCGTCTTTTCAAAAAACCAACTTTTCATTTTATTGATCCTTTGAAGTTTTTTAAGTCTTGGTTTTATTTATTTCTGTTCTGATCTTTGTTATTTCTTTCCTTGTCATTTTGGGTTTGGTTTGTTCTCTTCTGGTTCCTTAGGAAGGATCGTTAGATTTTTTTTTTCTTTTTTTAAGAGACAGGGTCTTACTCTATTGCCTAAGCTGCAGTGTAGTGGCACAATCAATTCAAACTTCTGGGCTCAAGTGATCCTCACACCTCAGTTTGAACTCCTGGGCTCAAGTTCTCTCCCCTCTGCCTCCAGAATAGCTAGGACTACAGGCATGCACTACCATGACCAGCTAATTTTTTTTTTGTAAAGATAGTGTTTTGCTGTGTTACCCAGGCTGGTCTTGAACTCCCAGCGTTAAGTCATCGTTCTGCCTTGGCCTCCCAAAGCACTGGGGTTTCAGGTGTGAGCCACCACACCCAGCCAGATCTTTCTTGTTTTTGATATGGGTGTTTATTGCTATATCCTTTCCTCTTAAAACTCCTCTTGCTGCATCCCGTACATTTTTACCTGTTGAGTTTCTATTTTCATTCATTTTAAGACATTAGTTTGTTTTCTTAATTTCTTCACTTAGGCCTTGGTCATTCAGAATCATGTTACTCAATTTCCATTTATTTGTACTGTTTTAAAAGTTCCTCTTGTTACTGATTTCTAGTTTTATTTCATTGTGGTTAGAAAGGTACTTGATGTGATTTTAATTCTTTTAATTTTTGTGACTTGTTTTGTGACTTACCATGCAGTCTCTCCTTGAAAATATTGCATGTGCTTATGAAAAAAAAAGTGTGTTCTGTAGCTGTTGGATGAAAAGAACTGTCAGTGTCTTTTAAGTCCATTTGGTCTAAAGTCAGTTTAAACTCAATGTTTCTTTGTTGATTTTCCGTGTATATGATTTGTCCATTGCTGAAAGTGGGGTGTTGAAGTCCCCAAGTATTATTGTAATGGAGTCTGTCTTTCCCTTTCGATCTAATAATATTTGCCTTACATACCTGGGTGCTCTGATATTGGGTGCATATATATTTACAATTTTCGTATCCTCTTCCTGATTTCATCCCTACTGTTTTTGATACAAAGTCTCTTATCTGTTGTAAGTATAGCTACTCCTTATGTAGTCATGATTATGGGTAATATATATATATATATAGCTACTCCTGTTTGCCTTTGGTTTCCATTTGCATGGAATATATTCTCTTCCTTCACTTTCAGTCTATTGTGTCTTTCTCTTTTTTTTTTTTTTTTTTTTAGGACAGAGTCTTGCTCCGTTGCCCAGGCTGGAGTGCAGTGGCATGATCTTGGCTCACTGCAACCTCCACCTCCCGGATTTAAGTGATTCTCCTGCCTCAGCCTCCCGAGTAGCCTGGACTACAGGCACACACCACCATGCCTGGCTAATTTTTATACTTTTAGTAGAGACGGGGTTTCACTATGTTGGCCAGGCTGGTCTTGAACACCTGACCTCAAGTGATCAACCCACCTCGGTCTCCCAAAGTGCTGGGATTACAGGTGTGAGCCACTGCATCTGGCCATATTTGTGTCTTTGGGGGTGAAGTGAGTTTCCTGTAGGTAGCATATAGTTGGGACATTTAAAATACCCATTTAGCATATATGTTTTAAGGTAGGAATTGAATCTGTTTACGTCAAGGTTTTCTTTTTAGGCGGAAGACGCACGCCTTTTATTGTGTTTTCAGAATGTCTGTTTGTCCTTTGTTCTTTTCTTCCTCTCATGTTTTTTATCATTGTGTTTTGTTTTTTCTGTAGTGATAAGATTTGATTTTTCTCTTTTTTCTTTGTGTGTCTGCTCTACCAGTGAGTCTTACAGTTTTATGTGGTTACATAATGATGATGATTGTCCTTTTATTTCCAGATATGGCATTCCCTTGATCATTTCTTCAAAGGCTGGTAGAGTGCTGATAAATTCCCTTGCCTGGGACACACTATATTTCTACCTAATGACCTAATTTCTTTTTTTTTTTTTTTTTTTTTTTTTGGTTAAATGGCATCTTGCTCTGTTGCCCCAGCTGGAGTGCAGTGGCATGATCTTGGCTCACTGCAACCTCCACCTCCCAGGTTCAAGCAATTCTCCTGTCTCAGCCTCTGGAGCAGATGGGATTATAGGCGCATGCCATCATGCCTGGTTACTTTTGTAGAGACGGGGTTTCACCGTGTAGGGCAGGCTGGTCTTGAACTCCTGAACTAAAGTAATTTGCCCGCTTCAGGATCCCAAAGTACTGGGATTACAGGCATGAGCCACCGCACCTGGCTATTTCTACCTGATTTCTGATGGATTGATTTGCTGTGTGTAGTATTTTTGACCGATATTTTTGCTTTCAGGATTTTGGATATATCATCCCATTTTTTTGCTGGCCTGTGAGGGTTTCCCTCACATGTGACTTGATGCTTTTCTAGTGGTGCTTTTAGATTCCTGTCTTTGACTTTTGTCAGTTCAAATATAATGTGCCTTGGAGATGACCTTTTTGGGGATCTTTGAGCTTCCTGGATCTGGATGTCCGTATCTCTCAAAAGGCTTGAGACATTTTAGCTATTATTTCGTTGTCTGTTTCGCTTTTCTAATACTTTACTTTTCATCTTGCTATGATCTCCTTAGCAGCTGTAATTTCATTAAATTTATTTTATTGTATTGTCTTTTTATTTTATTTTTTATTCTTTGAGACAGAGTGTCACACTGTCGCCCAGGCTGGAGTGCAATGGCACAGTCTTGGCTCACTGTAACGTCCAACTGCTGGGTTCACGTGATTCTCCTGCCTCAGCCTCCCACGTAGCTGGGACTACAGGCGCACACCACCACACCCAGCTAATTTTTTGTATTTTTAGTAGAGACAGGGTTTCACTATGTTGGCCAAACTGGTCTCGAACTCCTGACCTCGTGATCCACCTGCCTTGGCCTCCCAAAGTGCTGGCATTACCGGTGTGAGCCACTGCACCCAGCCTATTTTCCTTTATTAAAAATTTTTATTAAATATTTTCTCTTTTTTTTTTTTTTTTTGCAGACAGAGTTTTGCACTTGTTGCCCAGGCTGGAGTGCAGCTGTGCGATCTGGACTCACTGCACCCTCTGCCTCTCGGCTTCAAGTGATTCTCCCGCCTCAGCCTCCCAAGGAGCTGGGATTACAGGCGCCCACCGCCATGCCTGGCTAACGTTTTGTATTTTTGGTAGACATGGAGTTTCCACATGTTGCCCAGGCTAGTCTGAAACTCCTGACCTTAGTTGATTCACCCGCCTCAGCCTCCCAAAGCGCTGGGATTGCGCCTAGTGAGTATATTTTCTATGCCTCTCGTCACCCTTGATGTTATCTAGTAAGTCCTGCAGGCTTCCCTCACTCCTTGTCACTCTTACTCACTCTTCTCTGACTGGGTAATTCCTAACAAACCGTCTTTCTGTTGCTTAAGTTTGCTATCGGTCCTCTCAGTTGTACCTTATATTTTATTCATTACATTTTCAGCTGCAGGATTCCTGTTTGGTGATTTTAAAATATTTCTTTCTTTAATTTCTCATTCATGTTATGAGTTGTTTCTCTGATATTATTGAATTATCTTTCTGTATTCTCTTTTATATTATTTTTTCCTTTTTTTTTTTTTTTGTTTTCGAGAAGGATTGTCACTCTGTCACCCAGGCTGGAGTGCAGTGGCACGATCTCGGCTTAGCAATCTCTGCCTGCCTGGTTCAAGCAATTCTCCTGCCTCAGCCTCCCGAGTAGCTGGGACTGCAGGTTTGCATCACCACGCCCAGTTAATTTTTGTATTTTTAGTAGCGACAGAGTTTCACCATGTTGGCCAGCCTGGTCTTGAACTCCTGACCTCAAGTGACCCTCCTGCCTTGGCCTCCCAAAGTGCTGGGATTACAGGCATGAGACACTGCGCCCGGCCTTGTTGAGTTTCTTTGGTTTTGGTTTGTTTTTTTCCTACTATATAAAGTACATCTGAGCAGACTTTATTGAGGTTTTTTTTGTTTTGTTTTGTTTTGAGACAGAGTCTTGCTCTGTTGCCAGGCGCCAGACTATAGCGCAGTGGCGCGATCTCGGCTCACCGCAACCTTCGCCTCCTGGGTTCAAGCAGTTCTCCTGCCTCAGCCTCCCGAGTAGCTGGGACTACAGTCATGCACCACCATGCCCAGCTAATTTTTGTATTTTTTAGTAGAGACGGGGTTTCACCATGTTGGCCAGAAGGGTCTCGATCTCTTGACCTCGTGATCTGCCTGCCTTGGCCCCTTGTTGAGTTTTTAAAAGATTATTTTGAATTCCTTTTCTTGTAATTGGTAATTTTCTTTTCATTAGAGATTGTTACTGGAGAGTTACTGTGTTCCTTTCATGGTAACAGGTTTCCTTGCTTTTTCACGTTTCTTTTGTCCCTGCGTTGATGTCTGTGCATCTGGGGGAACAGTGGCCTCTTCCCATTTTTCTCAGTCGCTTTCATAGAGGCTTCCCCCTGCAGTTGGTCCTTGGTGTGCCAGTTGTTTCCAGATAGATGAAAGGGTGTGGTCTTTGTTCAGCTCTGGCAACAGTATTTAATGTTGGCAGTAACTGTCCCAGGTCGTAAAAGTTTGAGGCAGTGGTGACGTAAGTTGTTAATGGCAGGGGCTTTTTAGAGTCCTATTTTCATTTGTCCCACAATGAAATTACTTAGCTATGAAGATACGAGTTGTTGTCAAGTGTCATATGAGTGGCTCTGGGTTCCAGGTGCAGGTGCTCAGGGCAGCTGTGGGTCTGGGGTTCTAGGCTCAGCATCTGATGGACCTACTGTGGCACCTGGGTTTTGAGCTGGAGATTTGCTCCGTGTGGTAGAATTGGAGGTAGGTTTACCACAGGGCCAGGATCTGTGACTCTGATGTACCCCCTAGCAGCTTGGGCCTGAAGGGCCAGGTTGTAGCTTTAATCTTGTTTCTGGGTGGCGGGCTACAGCACAGGCCCAGCTCTGGGGAGTAAGTGGCGCTCTGGAGTTCTGGGCCAAGGAAGCAGGATATGGCCGCAGTTTGGTAACCTGAGCCATTCAGGCTCGTTGGCAACTCGGGTTTCTGGCATAGCACAGCTTTTATGTGGGCAATAGGGAGCAGCCTGCTGATGACTCAACTCCCCAGGGAGAGCGCTGTCTCAGCAGGTCATACTTTACGAGGCTAGGCTAGCCCCCTGGCAGCTGGTTACCTAGCTGGCTCCCTACAGTGAGTACTAAAGTTGTTTGGCCTGTAGTGTGGGTGTCTCATCTCATGCCGTGCTTTGTTTCCCTGGAATGTGAGGTACCATGTCAGCCCAGCCCAGGAACGCGTAGCTACTCAGTTCGGGCAAGGCACGGCATCTCCAGGGGGCTGTGCGCCTCTTCGGCTCAGGTCTAGGCTGCCTGACTCCTCAGGCTGGCCCAGGCACCATTTTTCTGGGATGCAGGAAGCTGCTTCAGATGAGGTACTGGGCTGTGTGTTTGCTTGGGATGGCCAAGACACAGCTACCTGGGAGGCAGGGCTGCTTCACCTTAGGCACTGGGGAGGTATGAGCTCTCGATGGCCAAAGTACTGTTTTCCCAGGAGGCAAGGTACTGCGTCAGCTCTGGCCTAGAGGGGCGGGATGCAGCAGCCACTGGGAGGGGTAGATGGAGGAGCTACACCAAGGCATCCTTTCCTCAGGAGCCAGTGTGCAGCTTCAGCTCAGGTGCCTGTAAACAAGGCAGTTTGGGGAGAAGTAGACTGAGAGGTAGGTGGTGAGCGGTGGATGTTGCAGGTCTGCCAGAGCGTTGTTTTCCCAGGAGGGAGTGCACAGCTTCAGCTCTAGTCTAAGGTGACAGGACGCAGCCTAGAATAGGGACTTGAGGGTTAGGTGGTGCCGCTCTGGCACTGCATGGCCCCACATGGGAAGGTGGAAAAGCTGCTTATAGATGTTGGGCCACCAGGTGGGGGTGGTTGGTGGTGGCTTATCCTCAGGGATGAAGGGGTGCCATGGGTACTCACCCCTGGAACCAGACAGACTCCAGCAGTTCCAAGATAAACAGTACAGTAGCTGGGTAGTCCACAGCGGGGCAGGACAGTGTCAGCTCCTTCCTCAGGAGCATAGCTGTGTGGACTCCAGGCAGGTCCCTCAGCTAAACCTAGTGCCTGTGAGGGCTGCAGGAGACCCCAGTGGTGAGGACTGTAGGTGCCCATGGTGGTGACGGATGCTGCCAGTATGCCACCGCTCACTTTTTCCAGACAGGGAGAAGTTCTGGTTTTCAGCTGATCCTCACTGGGGGATTGGGCCGTGGAGGCCCGGTGTTTTCTTTCCTTCTCTACTCTGCCATCCAAGTTTCTGGTATTGCTTTGACCTCTTCTGCTGCTTTCCCTTAGTTCTTTGCATTAAAACATAGTTACTTGTTATTTGGGCTGTGTAGGGGTGGGGAGAAGGGACTGCTAGGGACTGCATCTAGGGACTGCTAAGCTGCCTTCTTGCTGACGTCACTCTCTTGCTACAGATATTTGGTTGGAAACATTTTCACTTGTATTCTGTAAATAACTAGGAGTAGAATTGCTGCGTCATGTGATACGTGTGTATTTACCTTATAGGAGACTGCCAAGTTGTTTTCTAAAGCGGCTGTACCATTTTGATTTCTCAACAGTATTTTGTGGAGCTCCAGTTCTGCATCTTTGTCAACAACGGGTTTTGTTACACTTGAATTTTTTCAATTTAACAGGTGTTAGAGGTGTCTCATTGTGGATTTAAATTGCGTGGCTGAAATATCTACTGATATTGAGCATTTTCTCATGTGTTCATTCTTCATATATCTTTAGTTATCTGTCCAAATGTTTTTTTTGAGATGGAGTTTCTCTCTTGTTGCCCAGGCTGGAGTAGAATAGCGTGCTCTCCGCTCACTGCAACCTCCTCCTCCTGGGTTCAAGTTCTCCTGCCTCAGCCTCCTGAGTAGCTGGGATTACAGGCACCTGCCACCAAGCCCAGCTAATTTTTTGTATTTTTAGTGGAGACAGGTTTCACCACGTTGGCCAGGCTGGTCTTGAAACTCCTGACCTCAAGTGATCGGCCGCCTCAGCCTCCCAAAGTGCTGGTATTACAGGCACGAGCAACGGCACACTGCCCTGTCTATCCAAATCTTTTGTGCCATTTTAAATTGTTTTTCCTTCTTACATTAAATTTTAAGAATTCATTTTATCTTTTAACATCCTGAGTGCTAGTTATTTGTCAGATACATGTTTTGCAAACCATTTGTCTGTATTTGGGCTCTTTTTCTTATCTTGGCAGTGTATCCTGAAGAGTGGTTTTTAGTTTTGATGTAATGCAGAACATGTTGGTGGTTTGTGTTCTTCGGTATCATATTCTTGTTGTTGTCGTTTTATAGATATGGGGTCTCACTGTATTGCCCAGGCTGATCTTGGTCTCCTGAACTCAAGTGATCCTCCTACCCTGGCCTCCCATCCTGTCTACCTAATTAGATTTGGTGTGGGTCAATGTTACAGAGCTTTGACATCTGTTTGAGTTCATGTTTATATATCGTGTTACTGAAGGTTTTCATATTAAATTTAAACATACTTATATTTTATAACCAAACAAGTCATATTGGGGCATACTCATTAGGATTGAGTGCTTTCTTACACCAAAATACATGTAAACAAACAAAGAACAAAATACGTGTATACAAAGATTTTTTTTTCTTTTTTCTTTTTTTAAAGCTACTGCAAATCAAGTATACAAAGATTTAAAACACCTTTATAATAACAACTGTAAATAGTTCAATTGACAGTCATTTGTAAGATGTTTAAACAAATTGTGAAACTAATTAAGGGGAAGAAAACATACTGATTAAAACTGCTGCTTTTATCCAACAAGATGGGTGAATTTCCCAGGAAAGAATACTTGAGTCCAGGCCTGCTCAAGTCCCAACCTGTTTGTGGTTTGAGGTTGCTCTCCGCCTCATAGAGCAAGTGGGGAGTTTGCCTTCTAAGAAGACAAGTTTTCTTCTCTGAAAAAGTTGTCTACATAGTTGGCTTTGGCAAGGAGTGACAGGACAAGATTAAGCCCTCATGATTCTGGATTTCCTGTTGAGGTTGAGAGAAAAGGTAGTGACTATAATCAGAAAATCTAGAGTTACCCCCAGAACTCATCACCTTAAAAAAAAAAATGTTTTTTGAACTGACATGCTTGAGCTTTTTTTCTTTTTTCTTTTTGATGGGTTCTTGCTACAATGCAGTGGTGCAATCACAGCCCACTTAGCCTTGTCCTCCCTGCCTAAACAGTCCTCCTGCCTCGCCCTCCCTAGTAGCTGAGACCACAGACGCATGCCACCATGGTGGCTAATTTTTAAATTTTTTGTAGAGACAAGGTCTCCCTATGTTGCCCAGCCTGGTCATAAACTCCTTGGCTCAAGTGATACTCCTGCCTCAGCCCTCCTAAGTGTTGGATTAGAGGCATGAGCCACTGTGCCTGGCCAGAGCTCACCACTGTTAACTCAGCCTAGGTTTCACAGCAGTCACTGAAATAGATTTATTAATAATAATAACAGATACATAGCCTCATTCCCAAAGAAACTTGGAGAGGCAATGACATGCCAGATCCACAGTAGCAAATACTGTAGAATTACGTTTTCAAGTTTATAAGCGAACATCACACGTGATGATAAAGAGAAAATATTGGTCACATTTATGTAGATTTGTGCCTGAGAAGCTACTGGGAATGTTCCTCTGCATACTAGGAATTACATGGGAAACTCATGTAGACGGCCTTCAGGCTATTCCTTGAGATTCGTCTGCTTAATCTTATTTACTTATACATGAATGAAAAATGGGAAAAATGATCAATGTAATAAGCTAACACACTCAACCTCGTCCCTTGATGATATAACACAACAAAATCAGCATGCTTGGCATGAGCCTGCCAGATTGCCAATTCCATCCTACCCTTGAGAGGATGCAGAATTCTGCCTTCATAGTTCCACACCTTCAGTGTGTATCCCTAATAGTAGCTATATTTTTGGCTGATTTAAAAACTGATTTTAATGGAATAATGCTATAGAGATGCTTTGTGTATTAATTGGATATATCGCTATTCTTAAAGAGGTTTGAAATGAATATACCTTTCTGATTATCTCTAATCACACAGACATTCAGTGATACTGCTTTAGAATTCATGAACTGCGTCTCATGAGACTATGTAGAGGTGACACTGTAGGTACACTGTAAGGCAAAACTTCAGGTTGAATATCCTGTGGCAATTTAAAAACAGCAAATTGTGAGGTGAATAGTGAGCTTGAGCACTTTAAGGGACCATAGGGAGCCCTTCAGTGTAATGACGGCAGTGCTGAGCAGAGAGGTCAGGTGATTGGCCCACGCCCACACCCGGAGGGCAGGCCCCACCTGCTTTTCCTAATTTGTTAGATCACTGCCTCTTATACTACTTAGAGTAAGTCCTAGGAAATTGGTGTTGTCACTATTTTACAAATAAAATCTTCTTCAATTTTTGTTTCCTTTGTGCCTGGGTTACTAAGTATTTTGTAATTTAAATGTCAAGCATATTTTTAAAAAATCAAGTGTCTAGGCTGGGCATGGTGGCTTACACCTGTAATCACAACGTTTTGGGAGACTGAGGCAGGAGGATCACTTGAGGCCAGGAGTTCAAGGAATCTTTTGTTCTCTACACTAATTGTATTTTCTGTTTTATTCTATGAGAGTTAGAGAGGAATTTTTTTCTGATACTATTGTCTTTTTTCATTGTTTGTGCGAAAAGAAAACATTCTGCAACTGATGTCTGCTGTTTGGTGCAGATTTGTCCGATACGGTGTATGATTCTAATAGAACAGTGTCATGCCTGCCTTCCTGAAATCGTACTGAGATAGCTGATGTTGAAATATCCTGGTTTATCCGTATGTTTAATTCTTTATTATTATGCTAAATTTTTTTAATGGAATTTGAATTGATTTTAAAAATTGTATACAGGCCAGGTGCAGTTGGTAACACCTATAATCCCAGCACTTTGGAAGTCTCATGCAGGAGGATTGCCAGAGACAGGAGTCTGAGACCAGCCTGGGCAACACAGTGAAACTCTCCTCTTTATAGAAAGTAATACTAAAATTTTAAAAAGTGTATAAACTGTAAAGTATATTTTCCTGGTGTTCTCTTCCTGATTCCTACCTGTCAGATGCAAATACACATCTGTGTGTTTGTGTTTAGTAATTAAAAGGATGCATTTTTCATATTTCTATTTCACATATTTCTGTGACATTATATCTTAGATGTGTAATTTATGAACTATTACTGGATTATTTTAATCCATTACAAATTATTCAAGCATTTATTCTGTATTCAATTCATATGATAGCTAATATATTTGGTTTTAAGTGCATCTTATTTTGTGGGTTTCTTCTGGGCTGTTTTTTTATGCTTTCCTTTAAAAGTATGTATAGATTATTAATATTCTTAATTTTCTTTTAGTTTGAAATGTATATACTCATTCATTAGTCTAAGATAAGAATTATAACACATCTCGGCCGGGCGCGGTGGCTCACGCCTGTAATCCCAGCACTTTGGGAGGCCAAGGTGGGCGGAACACCTGAGGTCAGGAGTTCAAGACCACCCTGCCAACATGGTGAAACCCCGTCTTAAAAAAAAAAAAAAAAAAAAAAAGAATGATAACACATCTCTAACCTGTCATAGAACTTAATACCTTTACCCTTTTCTTGAACACATCAGAGGATGTTACTGAGTGTATTGGAGTATAGCATTTCTGTTATTCTGCTCAGTTAGGAGATACCGTTCATATTGTATAGAGATAACAAGTAATTGTATTGATCTGCAGATGCATCTATCTATTGGATTCTCATTCCTTCTACCACTGCAGACCTTTCAGCTGTAATCACTTTCCTTTGGCCTTAAGGATAACTTTTAGGGTTACTTTTCTACTAAATTTACAGTTTTTGACCAGATATAATCTTATTTTATGCTCTTCCTGAAAAATACTATTGTGGATAGAAATCTAGGTTGATGGTTATTTCTTCAGCAGTCTGACCATGTCATTCCACTGTGTCCCTGATCTCCTGTATATTGGATGTGAATGGAGACAGTATATATTGTGTTTATAGTTTTTCTGTGCTATAGGAACAGTATTCGAATCTGATGCAAAGGACAACACACCCTAGAGATTGTAACAGTGAGATGAACCTGGTGTTTGGATGGGGTTTCGAGTTGCTGGATTAATGGAGTTACCGTGTACAATGCATAGGAGACATAATAAATTATAGATCTGGTGAACAAATGAATGAATTGTGCCATGAACTGGTTGGATGCTCACCCACATGTCACAGAAGGTCTTGGCTTGCAAGGAGGGTGGGAAACACTTCTTGATCAGCTCTCAACTCTGGCAGCATCAGGCCCCTTTCAGTGGGGAAGAGCCACAGAAGCAACGAGTGGGGAAGCTTTTCACACTGGACAAAGGGATTGCAAGTACAGCAATTGTGGGAAAGCCTTTTGCTGCAAAGACAAACATTTTCAGCATCAGAAAATCCATGCTGGAGTAAAGCCTCATGAGTGCAGTCACCGCTGGCCTCCTCTTAGTAACAGCTACTATTCTATAGTCACAGGAGAATTCGCAGCAAAGCTGTGCCTCACCAGTGCAGTGATCATAGGAAATCTTTGGCTCCAGCTGTAACCTCCATACATACCAAAGAGTTCATGCAGGATCAAGGCTTTCAGAGTGCGGAATGTGAGAAAGCCTCTATCATTAGATCTCATCTTCTTTAGCTCCAGAGAATTCATGGTGGAGAAGGCCTTATGAGTACAGATGACATGGCAAGTTCTTTACAAAGACATTTGTTGAGTACCAGTAAGTCCACACTGGAAAAATGTCTTCTCCGTGGTAAATGCGGGGAATTCTAAAGCCACAGTTCCTACCTGATATGGTTAGGCTTTGCCTCCCCACCGAAACCTCATCTTGAATTGTAATCCCCATAATTCTCAGTGACCAGGGCAGGACCTGGTGGGTGGCCATTAGATCATGGGGGCAGTATCCCCCATGCTGTTCTTGTGATACTGCGTTCTCATGAGATCTAATGGGTTTTTTTTTTGTTTGTTTGTTTGTTTTGAGACAGAGTCTCACTCTGTTGCCCAGGCTGGCGTGCAGTGGCATGATGTTGGCTCACTGCTACCTCCGCTTCCCGGGTTCAAGTGATTCTCCTGCCTCAGCCTCCCAAGTACCTGGGACTACAGGTGTGCCACCAACGCTCAACTAATTTTTGTATTTTTAGTAGAGACAGCGTTTCATCATGTCGGCCAGGCTGGTCTCAAACTCCTAACCTCAAGTGATCGGCCTGCCTCAGCCTCCCAAAATGTTGGGATTACAGGCATGAGCTGCCGCGCCCAGCCCTCAATCCGATGGTTTTATAAGGGGCTCTTTCCTGTTCGCTCCTTTGCTCTCTCTCATCTGCCTCAACGTAAGATGTGTCTTCACGGCCGGGCGCAGTGGCTCACGCCTGTAATCCCAGCACTTTGGGAGGCCGAGGCAGGTGGATCACGAGGTCAAGAGATCGAGACCATCCTGGTCAACATGGTGAAACCCCGTCTCTACTAAAAATACAAAAAATTAGCTGGGCGTGGTGGCGCGTGCCTGTAATCCCAGCTACTCAGGAGGCTGAGGCAGGAGAATTGCCTGAACCCAGGAGGCGGAGGTTGTGGTGAGCCGAGATCATGCCATTGCACTCCAGCCTGGGTAACAAGAGCGAAACTCCGTCTCAAAAAAAAAAAAAAAAAAAAAGATTACCTACGACTGCATAAGTGATCAGAAACAAATGGGGTCCTCTTCATTTCACTGTGGATGTGATCCAGCTGCTGCCCAAAAGCTCTGAGCTGGGGCCTCCTGTGCATTTCCACAAGTGCCCGCCCTTAATAAACAGTGTTGACTTCATACGGTAGCTGAGATGGATTTGTCCAACCGGCTTCCCAGTCCACCAACGTTAGACGTGCCCGCCTCATGATGTTCTCATTCGTGCAGAGATAAATGTCATCGTGTTTGACCCTTCAGTCTGTTCTGTTCATAGTGTGGGACTGGTTGAGAAAAGAAGGGCTTTGCTAGCAGGGACCACCAAGTTTACGTGCTTGAGTGGATAGCAGGATGGTAGAGAGTAGCTCCTTCGTCTAGTTCGGCCTGTTTTGCAAAGCTGCCCAACATCTCTTGGGAAAACCTGTAGGGCATTGGAGGAAAAACTCAGGATCTCTATGAGCCCTAAGCTTACCCCGATGAGGGAGTAGTTGTGACAACCTCCAGCACTTCTAGAAGTAGCATGAGTTGAGTCCCTTTTTCCCAGAGGGTGTGTCATAGTCACTCAATTCTGTTGAGGGGTGGCTGTCTCCTGTGGCTTCTATGCAGAGGACATTGTCTAAAATCTGGTAGGCATGTATGGCCTACAGGGGCTAAGCAGGAAACTGATATAGAAACACCGGATAGTAGGGACTGGTGGAGACTGGGAAACTAGAAGTTATGTGTGTCCTCTAAAGGGGACACACAAATTTAACGTAACTATGACTCTGCGATGACTGTACAGAAATTCTCAGGACCTGCCGAGCTCCTCTTCCGTGGCTGAGGCCAGTGTGAGAGCAAACGATCTGAAGGTGTGTGAATTCCTGTACTTCCTTGGGCTGTTGATATTTTGGTCATCGCCGCACAGGCAGGAACCCCAGGACTGACAAAAGAGAGCTTGTAGTCCATGGTGCATCTTTTGTGACCCAGCCAGCATTTGGGGAGTGATGGCCTTCATTGCTTTCTAGTTTTTGCTGCCACTGAAGCAGGGCCGACTCAAGATACGGGAAGAGGAAGAGGGTTGAATAAATACAGGGTTGATTGATTCAGATTTTTATATGGAAACTCTTTTTCTTAACACATTAATGACATGTCATTGGCATACAATAGACACATTAAAATTGTATAATTTGATAAGTTTTGACACATATACACATGTCCAAAGTTTCCTCATGCCCCTTACGAATCTCCTCTTATGATTCTCCATTTATCCCCGTGTGACCACTGATAGGTTGACACTATACATTAGTCAGCATTTTCTAAAGTTTTATATAAATGTAATCATATGGTATGTGATTATTTCTTGTCTGTCAGTAAACTTTTTTTTTTTTTTTGAGATGGAGTTTCACTCTTGTTACCCAGGCTGGAGTGCAATGGCGCGATCTCGGCTCACTGCAACCTCCACCTCCTGAGTTCAGGAAATTCTCCTGCCTCAGCCTCCTGAGTAGCTGGAATTACAGGCACGTGCCACCGTGCCCAGCTAATTTTTTGTATTTTTTTTTTTTTTTAGTAGAGACGGGGTTTCACCATGTTGACCAGGATGGTCTCGATCTCTTGACCTCGTGATCCACCCGCCTCGGCCTCGCAAACTGCTGGGTTTACAGGCTTGAGCCACCGCACCCGGCCCAGCTTTTTATTTTAGATGTAGGGGATACAAATGCAGTTTTGTTATAGGGATATACTATGTACTGGTGAAGTCTGGGCTTATAGTGTGACTGTCACCCAAGCAGTGTACATTAGACCTAACAGACAATTTCTCATTGTTCACCTTTTTTCTTCCTTGTTCCGTGGGTTTATTTTCAACTTGTATTTTAAGCTCAGGAGGCACATGTGCAGGCTTGTTACATGGATAAATTGTGTGTCACTGGGGGGGTTGATGTACAATTGATTTTGTTTCCCAGGTAGTGAGCAAAGTACCCAATAGGAAGTTGTTTTTTTTCCCCCCCTTACCTTTCTCCCACCCTCCCCACTTAAGTAGGCCCTGGTGGCTATTTTTTCCCATCTTTGTATCTTACGTGGTCTCAATGTTTACCTCCCACTTATACGTGAGAAGATGCAGTATTTGGTTTTCTGTTCCTGCACTAATTCATTTCAGATAATGGCCTCCAGCTGCATCCATGTTTCTGCAAAGAACATGATGGTTTTTTGTTTTTTTTTTTTTGAGACGGAGTTTCGCTCTTGTTACCCAGGCTGGAGTGCAATGGCACGATCTCCGCTCACCGCAACCTCCGCCTCCTGGGTTCAGGCAATTCTCCTGCCTCAGCCTCCCGAGTAGCTGGTATTATAGGCGCCCGCCACCATGCCCAGCTAATTTTTTGTATTTTTAGTAGAGACGGGGTTTCACCATGTTGACCAGGATGGTCTCGATCTCTAGACCTCGTGATCCACCCGCCTCGGCCTCCCAAAGTGCTGGGATTACAGGTGTGAGCCACCGCGCCCGGCCCAGAACATGATGTTTTTTATGGCTGCAGAGTAATTTGTGGTGTGTATGTACCACATTTTCTTTATTCATTTCACTGTGGATGGGCATCTAGGTTGAGTCAAGTCTTTGCTGTTGTGAATAGTGCTGCAGTGAACATACAGGTGCATGTGTCTTTTTGGAGAACGGCTTAGATTCCTTCGGGTACACACCTAGGAATGAGATTGCTGGGTCACATGGAAGGTCTGTTTTAAGTTCTTTGAGAAACCTCCAAACTGCTTTCCACAATAGCTGCACTAATTTTCTTTCCTGGAAAAGGAACCAGTATATAAGCGTTCCTTTTCCGCCACAACCTTGCCAATATGTGTTACTTCTTTACTTTAAAACGGCCATTCTGATGGATGTGAGATGGCATCTCACTGTGGTTTCACTTTAATTTCTCTTAATGATTAGTGATGTTGAACCTTTTTCGCATATGCTTGTTGGCCACATGTATGTCTTCTTTTGAGAAATGTCTGTTTATGTCCTTGGCCGAATTTATTTATTTATTATTATTATTATTTTGGATGGAGTCTTGCTCTGTCGCCAGGCTAGAGGGCAGCGGCGCGATCTTGGCTCGCCGTAACCTCTGCCTCCTGGGTTCAAGCGATTCTCCTGCCTCAGCCTCCCGAGTAGCTGGGACTACAGATGTGCACCACCACGCCCAGCTAATTTTTGTATTTTTAGTAGAGACGATGTTTCACTATGTTGGCCAGGATGGTCTCGATCCCTTGACCTCGTGTCAAGACATCTCCCAGTGTCTAGGACTACAGGTGTACACCACGATGCCTTGCTTTTCTTTTTTTTTTTTTTTTTTTTGGTGGCGGGGCGGGTGGGGGGAGAGTAGATCTAAGATCTTACTATATTGCCCAGGCTGGTCTCAAACTCGTAACCTCAAGCAATCATTTTATGTTGGCCTCCCAAAGCACGGGGATTACAGGTATGAGCCACCTCCGGAAAAGAGGCAAAGTGAACGAGTTCTGGGCCCAGCCCACGACAGGGCTGGAATCCGGGCAGACATCCCCGCCTCCTGACCTCAATTTTCCTAAGCTGGAAAAAAACCGATCGACCCTCCGACTTGGGCCCATAGTAAAACGGCGACCCCAAGACGACACGGGGGTCCTTGTGCGCACTTACATGGAGTCGGCCGCGCTTGGTGAGTTCCCACACCTGGCAGATGTGAGGGAACAACTAGCTGACTCAGAAGGCACCGACCGTCCCTGGCGTCGGCCGCGGGATCTGGGCCAATGACCGCCCAGGACAGGGGCTTTTCCTGCGGGCCGGGCGGCGGGGGCGGGACTTCCGCCTCTTCGCGTGACGTCATCTCCGTGAGCCGGATCGGCTCCCCCCCGAAGCCGTGTGGGACCCGGAGCGCCGGGTCGGCAAGTCCAGCTGCCTGAGCGGGGAAGGGTAACGAGTGTGTCACGCCCCTTCCCGCGTCTTGCTGGAACCTAACGGCCCGAGCGGGGTCTTCCACTGACACCCGCCGGGGCCTGGGCTTCCGCAGCCGCCCTCTGTCTCTTTAGTCCCGACGCTGCGCCCGTTTTTGTGCGCATTTTTCCCTGGGGAAACTGAGGCTCTGAGTGCGAGAGTCAGCCGAGGTCGCCCCGCCCGGGACAGAGAAGGGCTGGGGTCGGCTGAGCCGCGACATTGCCGGGCCCCGCCAGGGCCGCGGGGTCCCAGGATGGCAGGCTTGGCGCAGGTGAGTGGACGAGGTTTCGGCCTCGCTGCTGCTCTGCTCCTTCTGGAGGCCTCCTGGGCAGTTGGAGCCAAGACAGCCCCGGGATTTTTCTTTGTCGCCGTCGTTTATGTAAGAGAAGTGGGCCGGGCGCGGTGGCTCACGCCTGTCATCCCAGCACTTTGGGAGGCCGAGGCGGGTGGATCACGAGGTCAAGAGATCGAGACCATCCTGGTCAACATGGTGAAACCCCGTCTCTTACTAAAGATACAAAAAAAAAAAAAAAAAAAAAAATTAGCCGGGCATGGTGGCGCGTGCCTGTAATCCCAGCTACTCGGGAGGCTGAGGCAGGAGAATTGCCTGAACCGAGGAGGCGGAGGTTGTGGTGAGCCGAGATCGCGCCATTGCACTCCAGCCTGGGTGACAAGAGCGAAATTCCGTCTCAAAAAAAAAAAAAAAAAAAAAGAGAAGTGGCCGTCGCTTGTCACTTCTTTTATCCGCAGCCCTGCAGCAGTGTTGGTCTCAGACCGGTGCTCGGCCCTTGGTAGACGGGCTCTCATCACGCATCCCCTAAATGCAGCCTCTGTTGCCTGCCAGCCCCTACCCCATCCACCAGCCGACCACCCCTGACCTTGTCTCTCCGTTTTTCGTTGCCCTTTGCTCTTCAGAGCCACCAACCTGACTGTGCAGTCCTCTTCCATTTTCCAGCCTTTCTCTTTGCACTTCCTTTTTACCTCAAACCCTGCCCCTATAAATTCGCAGGGCCTCCGTCTCACATCCTTCTGGCCTCTGTCCAGATGGCATCTGTTTGGAGGTACCTTTCTTGGCAATTCCGGCTAAAGTGACGCCTTACACCCTTGCCCAGAGTCTGGCATTTTTGTATAGGGAATCTGATGATTTTTTTTTTTTTTTTTGAGACGGAGTTTCGTTCTTGTCACCCAGGCTGGAGTGCAATGGCGCGATCTTGGCTCACCGCAACCTCCGCCTCCTGGGTTCAGGCGATTCTCCTGCCTCAGCCTCCTGAGTAGCTGGGATTACAGGCACGAGCCACCATGCCCAGCTAATTTTTTGTATTTTTAGTAGAGACGCGGTTTCACCATGTTGACCAGGATGGTCTCGATCTCTTGACCTCGTGATCCACCCGCCTCGGCCTCCCAAAGTACTGGGATTACAGGCGTGAGCCACCGCGCCCGGCCCGAATCTGACGATATTAAAGAAGCTTGCCATCTGAGTTTGTCTAGGATGTTATCTGAGTAAAGAGAAAACATAATTGCAAAGGGTGATAGCTGATGATCAGCGTCCTTGCCGTGGGCTGATTGGCAGATATTACTTAACCCTCAGATCATTCAATCCTGAACGCCCTTGAATTAGGTTCTCTTGTCGTCACTGTTTTACACAAGAGCGGTTTGAGGCTCACATAGGTTCGGTTATGTGCCTTACATCACTGTAGCTCTTACCATATCAGAAAGTAACAACCGGTATGTCTTCCATCACAGACTGTGCTTTTGCCCTCTTTTTTTTTTTCTTTTGAGACAGAGTCTCATTCTGTCGCCAGGCTGGAGTGCAGTGGCACAATCTCGGCTCACTGCAACCTCCGCCTCCTGGGTTCAAGCAATTCTCCTGCCTCAGTCTCCTGAGCAGCTGGGACTGCAGGTGCATGCCACCGTGTCCAGCTAATTTTTTGTATTTTTAGTAGAGACGGGGTTTCGCCATGTTGGCCAGGATGGTGTCGATCTCTTGACCTCGTGATCCACCCGCCTTGGCCTCCCAAAGTACTGGGATTACAGGCGTGAGCCATCATGCCCGGCCTTTGCCCTCTTCTTTACCCACAGTAGTTAGGGAGGCCTGGGGATGACACCTAAAGTCACCTTTGCAAGGTGAGCAGGTCTCCTTCTAGCAGGTGGTCTTGGGCATGGGGAGTCGTGGCATTTCATACTGGTGGGACTGTGTGGACTTAAAAGAAATGGCATATTGGTTGTTTAAGGAGTCCGCAGGGGACCCTTGTGGCCTCCACAGTGGTTTCCTGAGTGTTTTTCCCTATACCAGCTTACACACATTCCGGAACACAAGATTTTGTAGTCTTTCGCTAGATGTACCTTCCTCCTTACCCAGGACAGGCATTGTAGCCAGTCAGGGGCCCATATTCTCATGGCTATAACCTGCTGTGTTGTCCTCTGTGACTCTTGTTCCTTGCTCCTCATGGGTCCTGACCTCAGGGATACTTGCTGGCAGGACTCAGACAAGGAAAGGTAGTGATAGCTCATTGTGGATTCTTCCTGTGAGAATGGGCATCGATGAGTCCCAGAAGAAGTGTCCAAGGCAGCAGATGCAGGTCCAGGCTCTGCCACTTCTGAGGCAGGTGCCACCACCTCAGGTGACTCCACTGTGAGGTGGGTGATTATGACTGTGCTGCTCTGCCCGTGTCCCTGAAAATATTTTCAGATAGCTAAGCCCAGCACAGTGGCATGTGTCTGTAGTCATGCCTTGGGAGGCTAAGGCAGGAGAATCATAAGTTCAAGTCCAGCCTGGGCAAAATAGTGAGACCCTGTCCCCCCCCAAAAAAAATCCTGAAAATATTTTCAGGGTGGCTCAAATGGATGTACGTATTTCAGTGTTTCCTGTCCTTATTAACTGCACATAAACTTTGCTAATGAAGGAGTGTCAGGTTGCATGATTAGAACATAGACCACAGGGCCCTGGGTTCAAATTCTGTCTCTTCTGGTAAGACATGTGACTTTGGGTAGACTAGTAGAGGGCCTGGGCCTCACGTCTCTGAGTGTGACATGGAGATGATGATGGTGAACTCAGGGGCTGTGGCCCTTTGCCCCAGTGTTTCTTTCTTTTTTTTTTTTTTCTTGAGACAGAGTTTCGCTCTTGTTACCCAGGCTGGAGTGCAATGGCTGGAGTGCAATGGTTGCAGCTCACTGCAACCTCTTCCTCCTGGGTTCAGGCAATTCTCCTGCCTCAGCCTCCCGAGTAGCTGGGATTACAGGCACGCGCCACGATGCCCAGCTAATTTTTTGTATTTTTAGTAGAGACGGGGTTTCACCTTGTTGACCAGGATGGTCTCGATCTCTTGACCTCGTGATCCACCCTCCTCAGCCTCCCAAAGTACTGGGATTACAGGCCTGAGCCACCGCGCCCGGCTGCCCCAGTGTTTCTTTTAGCTTTTCTTTAAATCTTTTGACTATTCTTGATGAAGCTGGAAACACTGTCGTATTGACCTGGACATCAAGGCTCAGATAAATGAAATGAGGTCCCCAAGGTTACATAGCAGGTGTGTGTTGATTTCAGAAATTTGGTTTTAAACCTCAGGAGTCTGACTCCTGAGAGGGGGACTTTTAGCCACTTTGCCGTGACCTAAAGCTCTCGGCACGAGGCAGGCACACCCGGAGGACGGTAAGACTCAGGTGCTGTTCGTGTTCCTGCTGCTGCTGCTGCTGTTTTTGTTGTTATTCTTTCCTCCTCCGATGTCTCACAGCACTCCCTGTGCTCCACAGTCCACCTAGGACTCTGCTAACCTTACTTCTGTGTCACGTGGCTTCCTGCGTAGGAGGCACCTCTCTCTTCACTGCCGTCATCCATGCAAAGCAGTGTCCACATTCCCCTCGTGCCTGGCACAGATCTTGAGCCTCTGGAGATGCTTGGTGATTGGACTCCTGGGTCCCTGTGCATCTTTTGCAGGGTTGGAGTGACAAGTTCTAATTCTATTCCACAGTTCCAAGGGAAACACTACTATCTCTTAATTTTCCAGGTGTCTGTGACCTTTGAGGATGTGGCTGTTACATTCACCCAGGAGGAGTGGGGACAGTTGGATGCCACCCAGAGAACCTTGTATCAGGAGGTGATGCTGGAGACCTGTGGGCTTCTAGCGTCTCTGGGTAAGACCCCTCCTGGTCCCCTGCTCCCTTAAGATTGAGTTCTCCTACTCATATACCCCTCTTCCTCCACAGCCTACTGGTTCTGAGGCTCCTGTCACCACACAGGGGTGTTCAGTATTTTCTCTGAGTGTAGGACTTGAGAGGCCAGGGTCTGGTGTCCAGGAGCCCACTCCCGTCTTCACTGCTTATGATCCCTGTATTCCTGGGCACGTTAAGGAATCCTGCTGTATCTCAGTTTTTCTCATGAATAAAAAGGGCCAGGCTGGGTGCTGTGGCTTACACCTGTAATCCCAGCACTTTGGGAGGCTGAGGCGGGTGTATCACGAGGTCAAGAGATCAAGACCATCCTGGTCAACATGGTGAAACCCCCTCTCTACTAAAAATACAAGAAATTAGCTGGTCATGGTGGTGGGCACCTCTAATCCCAGCTACTGGGGTGGCTGAGGCAGGAGAATCGCTTGAACCTGGAAAACAGAGGTTGCAGTGAGCCGAGATCGTGTCACTGCACTCCAGCCCGGGCGACAGTGCAAGACTCCTTCTCAAAAAAAAGGAGGGGGGCCAATATAGTATTTATTTTGCAGGGCTAGTGTGAGGGCAAATGGTTCTGCACGGTGTGTTGTGATAGGTGGCTGGGTGCAGGTTAGCAGTTGTGACCCCTGTTGCTGTCACTGTTGTTACTGCTGGTTAAATCATTATCCTCATTCTTACCAGTATCACACTTGGACCCAACATTTTTTGGAACAACTTTCTATAGTTTTATGGTTAAATTGGCTTTTGATGACTAGACTCAGGTGTCCATTTTGGCTTGACCATTTGCCATTTCCCAGATTTTGGCAAATCACTTTATCTGCCTGAGTCTCGATTTCTCCATCTGTAATGTGGTCCTGATTGCAGTACATTCTTTTTTTTTTGAGACGGAGTTTCGCTCTTGTTACCCAGGCTGGAGTGCAATGGCGCGATCTCGGCTCACCGCAACCTCCGCCTCCTGGGTTCAGGCAATTCTCCTGCCTCAGCCTCCCAAGTAGCTGGGATTACAGGCGCGCACCACCGTGCCCAGCTAATTTTTTGTATTTTTAGTAGAGACGGGGTTTCACCATGTTGACCAGGATGGTCTCGATCTCTTGACCTCGTGATCCACCAGCCTCGGCCTCCCAAAGTGCTGGGATTACACTGTGAGCCACCCCGCCTGGCCACAGTACATTCTTAATGTGCATCCTGTAAAGAAACCCTAAAATAGAATTTTTCATTCAGGGCCCTTGGAGTCATTGCTTAGAATGTAAAAAAAGACTTAGGTCAGTGAAGAAACTTACCTTTCTCCTGAATGGGGCCCCAGTATCTCAAATATATTATTTCTTTTCTAAATTATTGCCTAAATTTAATTCAGTCTTTATAAAATACAGTGCATTTAAATTGCTTGGCATCTTCCCTAGGTTATGGTTACGTTGTATAAATATCAGTGACTGACTTGCTGTTAGGAGTAAAGTTCTGTGGCGATGTGGCAGATTGATTAAGGACTTGGATTCAAGAGCCACAGCAGCACGGTCTCAGAGAAGTGACATTTGAGCTGAGACCCAATCAGCGAGTTCATTAGAAGGAGCAAGGTAGAGAAGCAGGTGGTATTCCAAGGAGGCAGGCCAGCATGTGCAAAAGTCCCGAGGTGGGGAGGAACTCATCTGACAAAGCTGAAGGAAGGTCCGATTCACCCCCAGCGCCAGGCACGTAGCAAAACGAGTGAACATTCGCTTAGCGCTGACTCATGAATCCCACCCTTTGTTTTTGTGGGCCCTACTGCCTTTAACTTCTCTGTAGAGCACTTGTGTCTTTTACTTATATTTTGACAAGTTTTTGGACTGTATCAGCAGATCAGCTCATACAGTCTTCACCCAGAGGAAATATATTATCTTTTTTTTTTTTAAAGATGGGGTTTCACCATATTGGTCAGGCTGGTCTCAAACTCCTGACCTCAGGTGATCTGCCCGCCTCAGCCTCCCAAAGAGCTGGGATTACAGGCGTGAGCCACCGCGCCTGGTGGAAATATATTATCTTACTAATATATTAGTGTCTTACCTAATAAGGCTGGCTCCTGGGCTGATGGGTGTCAAGCCAGTTGTCTTTCTTTGCTCCCACTTTCGTTTTTCTTTTTTGGAGACAGGTCTCACTCTGTAACCCAGGCTGGAGTGCAGTGGCGCGATCTTGGCTCACTGCAACCTCTGCCTTCCAGGCTTAAGTGATCCTCCCACCTTAGCTTCCCAAGTAGCTGGGACCACAGGCATATGACACTATGCCCACCTAATTTTTGTATTTTTTGTTTGTTTGTTTGTTTGTTTTGAGACAGAGTCTCACTCTGTCACCAGGTGCCAGGCTGGAGTGCAGTAGCACGATCTTGGCTCACTGCAGCCTCCGCCTCCTGGGTTCAAGCAGTTCTCCTGCCTCAGCCTCCTGAGTAGCTGGAACTACAGGTGCACGCCACCATGCCCAGCTAATATTTTTGTATTTTTTAGTAGAGACGGGGTTTCACCATGTTGGCCTGGATGGTCTCCATCTCTTGACCTTGTGATTGGCCCGTCTTGGCTTCCCAAAGTGCTGGGATGGCAGGCATGAGCCACCATGCCTGGCCAGTTTTTGTATTTTTAGTAGAGACGGGGTTTCACCATGTTGGCCTGGATGGTCTCCATCTCTTGACCTTGTGATCGGCCCATCTTGGCTTCCCAAAGTGCTGGGATGGCAGGCATGAGCCACCATGCCTGGCCAGTTTTTGTATTTTTAGTAGAGACGGGGTTTCACCATGTTGGCCTGGATGGTCTCCATCTCTTGACCTTGTGATCGGCCCATCTTGGCTTCCCAAAGTGCTGGGATGGCAGGCATGAGCCACCATGCCTGGCCAGTTTTTGTATTTTTAGTAGAGACGGGGTTTCACCATGTTGGCCTGGATGGTCTCCATCTCTTGACCTTGTGATCGGCCCATCTTGGCTTCCCAAAGTGCTGGGATGGCAGGCATGAGCCACCATGCCTGGCCAATTTTTGTATTTTTAGTAGAGATGGGGTTTCACTATGTTGCCCAGGCTTGTCTTGAACTCCCAAAGTGTTGGGATTATAGGCACGAACCACCACACCCAGCCTCTTTGCTCCCTCTTTGTGGCAAGGTTTCAGGCAGGTTCCCTCATAGAAGTCCCAGGATATTGCATGGCAGCAGGAGTGGCAGCCTCCTGGGCACTCCTCCATTTAGCGCCGTCTGGAATGAAGGCTTTCTCTCTCTTTGGAGTGGCTGGAATAGGTCACCTGCCTACCTCAGAGTACAGATGGTCAGGGTTGCCATGTACAAGATGATGGAGACCAGGGCTTGTCTACCTGCCGTGGGGACGACTTATAAGATCCCTTCAGAAAATTTGTCTGAACACAGTTAAGACTTTTGTAGGATGGAGATGAAAGGCCCCACAGCCAGCACTATTGCTTGCCGCCTTTGGGGCCCAATGACAGTGTTTTTGTAGTTGGTTTCTGGTCACAGTTTAACATTTTCTCTGCTTGCCTGAGAATAGCTTCATTTCATGGCTTCCCTATCTTAAAGTCCCAGATCAGACTGAGAGGTTTCTTTCTTTTAACTCCCTGTGTCCTCTTTTGTTCTCCATGCACAGGCTGTCCTCTCTCCAAACCAGAGTTGATCTACCGGCTGGATCACAGGCAGGAGCCATGGATGGTTAAGAGAGACCTCTCCCAAAGCTCTTATCCAGGTAGGAGCCAGCAGCTGGGAAAGTGCGGTCATGGCAGCTTGCACATGGAAGGTGAACTGCCTCTGATTCTATGGGGAATCTTCTTATTGTGGCCTCTCTGGGTACTTGGGATCCATGGAGGCTCTTTTTCTTTCTTTCTTTTTTTCCAGACAGGGTCTCAGTGGTCTGATCATAACTCATTTCAGCTTCAACCTCCCGAGCTCAAGGGATTCTCCTATCCCAGCCTCCCCGGTAGCTGAGACTACAGGTGTGTGCACCATGCCTGGCTGAGTTTAAAAAAAACATTTTTTTTTTTTTGAGATGGAGTCTCACTCTGTCGCCCAGGCTGGAGTGCAGTGGCGCGATCTCGGCTCACCACAACCTCCGTCTCCTGGGTTCAAGTGATTCTCCTGCCTCAGCCTCCTGAGTAGCTGGGATTACAGGTGCACGCTACCATGCCTGGCTAATTTTTGTATTTTTAGTAGAGACGGGGTTTTACCACGTTGGTCAGGCTGGTCTCAAACGCCCTGGCCTCCCAAAGTGCTGGGATTACAGGCTGAGCCACTGTGCCTGGCCTTAAAATTTTTTATAGAGATGGTCTTGTTATGTTGCTGAGGCTGGTCACAGACTCCTGGGCTCAAGCTGTCCTCCTGCCTCAGCCTTCGAAATTGCTGAGCTACCAAGCCTGGCCTCTTACATCTTAAATTTAAGTACTTCTAAGTTAGATCCAAGGTGTATATAGTTCAGTAAGCCATAATAAAAAATTCTGGCTACCGTGTTTATTTCTTTTTTTTTTTTTTGAGACGGAGTTTCACTCTTTGTTACCCAGGCTGGAGTGCAATGGCACGTTCTCGGCTCACCGCAACCTCTGCCTCCTGGGTTCAGGCAATTCTCCTGCCTCAGCCTCCTGAGTAGCTGGGATTACAGGCACGCACCACCATGCCCAGCTAATTTTTTGTATTTTTAGTAGCGATGGGGTTTCACCATGTTGACCAGGATGGTCTAGATCTCTTGACCTCGTGACCCACCCGCCTCGGCCTCCCAAAGTGCTGGGATTACAGGCATGAGCCACCGCACCCGGCCCCGTGTTTATCTCTTACTCAGTGCCTTGCTTTCTGCTGAACATCTTATATGTAGTGTTTCCCTTCATCTTCACTCTAGTCCTATATGGCAGACTCTATTTTTGGCCCAACTTCTTAGAAGATTAAGTGGGGGGCCAGGCATGGTGGGTCATGCCTGTAAATGCCAGCATGTTGGGAGGCCGAGGCAGGTGTATCACCTGAGGTCAGGAGTTCAAGACCAGCCTGGCCAACATGGCGAAACCCCATCTCTACTAAAAAAATACAAAAATGAGCCAGGTATGGTGGTGTGTGCCTGTAGTGTCAGCTACTTGGGAGGCTGAGATGGGAGGATTCTTGAACCTGGAAGGTGGAGGTTGCAGTGAACTGAGACTGTGCCACTACTCTCAACTTGGGTGGCAGAGCGAGACTCCATCTCAAAAAGAAACACCAGAAAAGATGAGGTGGGCTTCTGGAATTCGCGTGGCTTGCTAAGTGCCATTACATTTTGTTGGAACTATTGTTTTTGTTGTCTTAAAGTTTAATACTCAGGTGGCCTCTAACTGTTTTTCCAGTGGACCTCAGGTGTACCGATTTTGAAAAATTATAAATTTTATATATTATGAGTAATATATAAAAAGTACTCATATTCTGTCTTAGTCTTTTAGGGTTGCTGTAAGAATACTATAACCTGGGTGGCTTAAATAGCAAACATTCATTTCTCACAGTTCTAGAGGCTGGGGTGACCAAGACCAAGGTACTGGCAGATCTGGTGTCTGATGAGGGTCCCTTCCTGGTGTCTGAGGAGGGGTCCCTTCCTGGTGTCTGATGAGGGTCCCTTCCTGGTGTCTGATGAGGGTCCCTTCCTCGTGTCTGATGAGGGGTCCCTTCCTGGTTTGAGATTTATAGTTTTTTCCATCAGATTGTATGGGTTTTTTTTTTTTTTTTTTTTTTTTTTTTGGTCTCTTCTTTTGACAACTTAATGGAAGTGAGTGCTTTCAATAGACTGTATGTTTTTCTTTTTTGAGACGGAGTTTCGCTCTTGTTACCCAGGCTGGAGTGCAATGGTGTGATCTCGGCTCACCGCAACCTCTGCCTCCTGGGTTCAGGCAATTGTCCTGCCTCAGCCTCCTGAGTAGCTGGGATTACAGGCGCACATCACCATGCCCAGCTAATTTTTATATTTTTAGTAGAGACGGGGTTTCACCATGTTGACCAGGGTGGTCTCAATCTCTTGACCTCGTGATCCACCCGCCTCGGCCTCCCAAAGTGCTGGGATTACAGGCGTGAGCCACCGCGCCTGGTCGATTGTATGTTTTTCTAGTCTTTTCAGGTTGCTACTTCTCAGGGTTGTCTTGAATTTATAGATCAGTCTTGGGAGAATTGATAACTTTATATTATTTATTAACTTTATATTATTAATTATTCCTGGTAACTCACAGAACATTCATGTAAATATTTACCATTTTTGAGATAAGTATAATTTTGTCTTTCAAGATCTACTCTAGGCTGAGCGTGGTGACTCATGCCTGTAATCCCAGCACTCTGGGAGGCTGAGGATACTATTTCATCTTGTTCTCACTGAAATGCTGATTTTGTTTCTTCTTCTTCTTTCTTTATTCTTTCTTTTCTTCTTCTTCCTTCTTCTTTTTCTTCTTCTTTTTTTTTCTTTTTTGTGAGATGGAGTCTTGTTCTGTTGACCAGGCTGGAGTGCAGTGGCACGATCTTGGCTCACTGCAACCTCTGTCTCCCGGTTCAAGTGATTCTCCTGCCTCAGCCTCCTGAGTAGCTGGGATTACAGGCACGCGCCACCACACCTGGCTCATTTTTGTAGTTTTTTTTAGTAGAGATGGGGTTTCACCATGTTGGCCAGGTTGATCCTGAACTTCTGACCTCAGGCAATCCGTCTGCCTTGGCCTCCCAAAGTGCTGGGATTACAGGTGTGAGCCACTGTGCCTGGCCTTTGTTTCTTCCCTCCTGCCATCTCTAATAAGCCTTTTTGTATATTGTATTCCTTCCAGGTGATAGCACAAAACCCAAGACCACAGAGCCTCCTTTTTCTCACCTGACCTTGTCTGAGGAAGTATTACTCCAGTATCAAGTGACACAGGGAGCTTCAGAGGACTCCCAGTTAGGGCAAGCCAGGGATCAGGATGGGACATCGGAAATGCAGGAAGTTCACTGGAACGTAGGGAGAGGCCCCCAGAGGGAGATGCTCCTGGAGAAAATGGGTTCTGAACATGGTGGTTTGGGGTCAGATGACGGTCTGTGTTCAAGGATTACACAAAAACAAGTTTCAGCAGAAGATGATCCCTGTGAATGTGATTCCCACGGACCAGTTACAGATCCCTTGATTCACGAAGGGAAGACTTCCTGTAAATGTGAGGAATGCGGGAAAGTGTTTAAAAAGAATTCCCTCCTTGTTCAACACGAACGGATTCACACCCGAGTGAAGCCCTATGAATGCACGGAGTGTGGAAAAACCTTCAGCAGGAGCACCCATCTTCTCCAGCACCACGTCATCCACACTGGGGAGAAGCCCTATAAGTGCATGGAGTGTGGGAAGGCCTTCAACCGCAGCTCCCACCTCACACGGCACCAGCGGATTCACACTGGAGAGAAGCCTTACAAGTGCGGTGAATGCGGAAAGGCCTTCACCCACCGCTCCACTTTTGTCCTGCACAACAGGAGCCACACTGGGGAAAAACCCTTTGTGTGCAAAGAGTGTGGCAAAGCCTTTCGAGATAGGCCAGGCTTCATTCGACACTACATCATCCACACGGGAGAGAAGCCCTACGAGTGCACTGAATGTGGCAAGGCCTTCAACCGTCGGTCATACCTCACGTGGCACCAACAGGGTCACACTGGAGTGAAACCCTTTGAATGCAGTGAGTGTGGAAAAGCCTTTTGCGAGAGTGCAGACCTCATTCAACACTACATTATCCACACTGGGGAGAAGCCCTATAAGTGCATGGAGTGTGGAAAGGCCTTCAACCGTAGGTCACACCTCAAGCAGCACCAGCGGATTCACACCGGGGAGAAGCCTTATGTGTGCAGTGAGTGTGGAAAGGCCTTTACACACTACTCCACTTTTGTCTTGCATAAAAGGACCCACACTGGAGAAAAACCCTATGAGTGCAAAGAATGTGGGAAAGCCTTTAGCGACAGGGCAGACCTCATTCGACACTTCAGCATCCACACTGGCGAGAAGCCCTATGAGTGCGTGGAGTGTGGAAAGGCCTTCAGTCGCAGCTCACACCTCACGAGGCACCAGCAGATTCACACTGGAGAGAAGCCCTATGAATGCATCCAGTGCGGCAGAGCCTTTTGCCGGAGCGCAAACCTCATTCGACACTCCATCATTCACACCGGAGAGAAGCCGTATGAGTGCAGTGACTGTGGAAAGGCTTTTAATCGCAGCTCGTCCCTCACACATCATCGAAGGATTCATACCGGGAGAAACCCTACCCTTGTAACAGATGTGGGAAGACCTTTCATCACTGCACAGACTTCGGTCAACATCCACAAACTCCTATTAGGGAAAAAGTTTTTTGAATATCACCACTGAAGAAAATCTTTGGTGAACAAAAACATCTCACCGTCTGGCCATTCCTACTGGAGAGAAGCTTCAGAAGCACCCTGTCTTTGAGAAAACCTGTCATAGATTATCATTTGTCGTCTAAACAATCATGTTAGAAGCTGAACCAGCCTAGAGTCTCATTCTCCATCTGAGGGTTCACCCATGAGAGCCAGTGGTGACTGTGCACTTAGGAAGGCCTTCAGTCACAGCTTTCTTAGTTTACATGGAAGTGTTATCTCAGGGATATTTAAACAAAGGAAGAGGAAGAAAACAGCTTCTTTTAGACGTGTCTGACAAGCCTACGGCAATTCATCATCCCTTTGCTATTTTATATGGGAGAGGGAAATGTTTCAGAAACGAAAGATTTAATCCCCTTTATTTTTCCTGTGTGTGCATTCACTGCTGTCCAGTGTCAGAAGTTAGACAAGGGTTTGAAAACGTTTTGTGGGCCGGGCACGGTGGCTCACGCCTGTAATCCCAGCACTTTGGGAGGCCGAGGCAGGTGGATCACGAGGTCAAGAGATCGAGACCATCCTGGTCAACATGGTGAAACCCCGTCTCTACTAAAAAAAAAAAAAAAAAAAATACAAAAAATTGGCTGGGCATGGTGGCGTGTGCCTGTAATCCCAGCTATTCAGGAGGCTGAGGCAGGAGAATTGCCTGAACCCAGGAGGCGGAGGTTGTGGTGAGCTGAGATCGCACCATTGCACTCCAGCCTGGGTAACAAGAGCGAAACTCCGTCTCAAAAAAAAAAAGAAAAAAGAAAACGTTTTGTGAAAGCCTGCTTAGTCCTGCAACGTTTTTTCCAGTCTCGAGGTACAGGAGCATACATCTTTATAAAAAACATGGAGGCTTAAGCTCTGATACACTTTTATAAGGAGATGACGATGCACATATGTTGGGGCACATTTTATTGTCCACTTTAGATGCTTGTTTAAAAACAAAACTTTCACCCTGTACACATACTTCTTGATGTGAATTTACTTCTTTCTATTTCTTGGGGTGGGGTTGATAGTGCGATTGTGTGTATACCGTGTAACCCTGGGAATCTTTGTTTTTTTCCTATGACTGTGGTTTCTCAGCTTCTTTACCTCTCCTTTGAGACTTAGGTCCACCTCAACCATTTTCTAAAAGTTGAATTAGGGCCCAAACAAAATACAGTATATAGCTGAATTCATTTAAAAGATCATGATGAACTCAAAAAAACAAACACAGAAGGAATGTCATTTTTAATCTTTTAAATAAGAGTGTGTGAAAATTTACTTTGGAATTTAAACAGGCAAACTGACATGCATTTATGTAGGGACGTCTGAGTCTCACGGCTGTCACCATGGACTTAGGCTTGATTAAAATGACAGACGTTTACAGCATTTTGGAATTCCTTTTTGATAAGATTTTTAAGAATAGATTTTGAGACACATGTTATAGTATTATACCTCACATTAAAAATATATATTGTACAGGAGTAAAAATCTATTCACTTTGAACTCCTCAAAATTTTATTTATTTGGTTTAGGAATGGAGGTTTAGTAGGCAAAAGAATGAGAAAGGAGACCAGCTCTCTCCTACAAGAGAAAGGGGTGTCCAAGTGGGACTTTTAAAGGACTGCATGGGACAGTTTTCAGTTGTGGTTGTAGGCAAAGCCGTTTTGTTTTGTTTTGTTTGAGACCGAGTCTCGCTCTGTCTCCAGGCTGGAGTGCAATGGCACAATCTCGGCTCACTGCAACCTCCACCTCCCTGGTTCAAGTTATTCTTCTGCCTCAGGCTCCTGGTTAGCTGGATTTGCAGGCGCATGCCACCACGCCCAGCTAATTTTTGTATTTTCAGTAGAGACAGACTTTCGCCATGTTGACCAGGATGCTCTCGATTTCCTGACCTCGTGATCCACCCGCCCTGGCCTCCCAAAGTGCTGGGATTACAGGTGTGAGCCACCGCGCCCGGCCATTAATTTTGTATTACAGTATGAGCTTCAGTTAAGTTTCTTTCTTTGCTGCCCATGAATTCTTTTTTGTGTCCAAGTTTTGCTCTTGACGTCCAGGCTGGAGTGCTGTGGCGCGACCTTGGTTCACCACAACCTCCGCCTCCCAGGTTCAAGCGATTTTCCTGCCTCAGCCTCACAAGTAGCTGGGATTACAGGCATGCACCACCACGCCCAGCTAATTTTGTATTTTTAGTAGAGACAGGGTTTCTCCATGTTGGTCAGGCTGGATTTGAACTCCTGACCTCAGGTGATCCACCGGCTCAGCCTCCCAAAGTGCTGGGATTACAGGCACGAACCACCGCACCTTGCCTGTTGTTCATGAATTTATTTAAAGCCCTATTTGTTGAAAAGGCTATGAACCTCTATTGAATTGCTTTTACACCTTGGTCAAAAATTAGTTAAGGCATCTTCATGTTGGTCTGTGGGTTCTCTGTGTTACTCCATTGATCTTTGAGCCTAAACTTACGCCAGTACCACTCTATTTCGATTACTGTTGCTGTCCACTAAATTTTAAAATAGAGTAAAATTATTCCTCACTCTATGTTCCTTTTAAAAATTGTTTTGGGGCCGGGCGCAGTGGCTCACGCCTGTAATTCCAACACCGGGAGGCCGAGGCAGGCAGAACACCTGAGGTCACGAGTTCAAGACCAGCCTGGTCAAAATGGTGAAACCCCATTTCTATTAAAAAATACAAGAACTAGCCAGGTTGAGGGGCAGGCACCTGTAATCCCAGCTACTCAGGAGGCTGAGGGAATTGTTTGAAGCCAGGAGGTGGAGGTTGCAGTGAACTGAGATGACGCCACTGAAATCTAGCCTGGGTGACAGAACAAGACTCTGTCTCAAAAATAATAATAATTGACTTTTTATTATTTTATTAATAATCAATAAAATTTATTATTTAATTTTAATAAAAATGTTTTCCTTTGACTTTGCATGTACATTCTAACGCATGTTTGTCCCTATTTACAAAATGTGTTGCGGTGATTTTGATACAAATGGCCTTAAAGCTAAAGATCGTTTTGGTGGGAATTGACATCTTGTTGACTCTTGCAGTTTATGAATATGGTATGTGCCTCTGCTTATTGAGATCCTCCTTGATTTATTTCATAAGGGTTTTGTAATTTTCAGGTTATAGGTTACATACATATTTTTTAAATCGAGACAGTTTTTTAGGGTGCCATCATTTGGTGCATTGAGTTTTAAATTTCAGTGTGCACTTGATACTTGAAATTACAGAGAAATACAATATATAAACTATAATTTTTATATGTATACTATGACTTTGCTGAAGTCAATAGTTCTAGCAACATTTTTTGGATAGCTTTCTTAGGATTTTCTTCATTAATACCAATATTATTAGCAAACATCAAACATTTCTTACTTGGTTTTTTTGAGACTCTTGCTGTCACCTAGGCTGGAGTGCAGTGGTGCAATCTTGGCTTACTGTAATCTCTGCCTCCCAGGTTAAAGCGATTTTTGTCCTTAGCCTCTCGAGTAGCTGGGATTACGGGCACACTCCACTAAGCCCAGCTAATTTTTTTTTTTTTTTTTGAGATGGAGTTTCGCTCTTGTTATCCAGGCTGGAGTGCAATGGCGCCATCTCAGCTCACCGCAACCTCCGCCTCCCGGGTTCAGGCAATTCTCCTGCCTCAGCGTCCCGAGTAGCTGGGATTACAGGCACGCGCCACCGTGCCCAGCTAATTTTTTGTCTTTTTAGTAGGGACAGGGTTTCACCATGTTGATCAGGATGGTCTCAATCTCTCGACTTTGTGATCCACCCGCCTTGGCTTCCCAAAGTGTTGGGATTACAGGCCTGAGCCACTGCGCCCAGCCGTCCAGCTAATCTTTATATTTTGTAGAGATGAGGTTTTACCATGTTGCCAGACTGGTCTCCATCTCCTGAGCTCAAGTGAGCCTCCTGCCTCAGCCTCCCAAAGTGCTGGAATGATAGGCATGAGCCACTGCTCCTGGCCCAAACATCTTATGTCACCTAGCTAATCTATATCACTTTTATTTCCTTTTCTTGTGTTTATTGCACTAGCTATAACTTCCAGTGTGATGCTGAATAAAAGTGAAACAGGACATACTTGCCTTTTTCTTGAAGTTTGGGAGAAAGCATTGTTCAATATTGATCATTAAATATGATACCTGTAAACTTTTATGTCCATGTTCTTTAGAAAGTTTCCCTTCTGAATTTCTGAGAGCTGTTATTGTGAATGGCCATTTAATTTGCCAAATGCTTTCCCCCCTTCAATTGAATGATCATATGATTTTTCTTCTTTAGCCTATTGTGATGGATTGCTTTAACTGATTTTAGAATCTTTTGTTGTTGTTGTTTTTGAGACAAAGTCTCACTCTTTTGCCCAGGCTAGAGTGCAGTGGTGCAATCTTAGCTCACTGCAACCTCCATCTCCCAGGTTGAAGCAATTTGCTTGTCTCAGACTGCCAAGTAGCTGGGACTACAGGCATGCAACATCATGCCCGGCTAATTTTTGTATTTTTAGTAGAGATGGCCAGGCTAGTCTCGAACTTCCAACCTCAAGTGATCCGCCCACCTCAGCCTCCCAAAGTCCTGGGATTACAGGCATGAGCCACCATGCCTGGCTAATATTTGAATGTAAGCCAGCCTTGTACTCCTGGAATAAACCCCATCAGGTCATGGAGTATGGATTTTTTTTTAATCACAACATTCCATATCCTAGTATTTTATTGATAAACGTTGTGTCTGAAATCATGAGTGTTCCATCTGGCCAAATATGTGGCTGGAATTTTCCCAAAAGTGGTGACAGGAGTTCCCAAAAGGGACTGTTTCAAACAGTCCTGCAATAGGACCCGTTAGGATTCCAAAGAAAGGAGCATTAAACACCAGGGTAATTAGTCAAATCGTTTTTCAGAGGACCTTTCATCTGGGGGTGGGTGCTGCAGTGTGTCCTTGTGTTGAGCAGCGGAGGGAACAAAAGCCCTCCTTGTGTGTGTCCGCAATGAGAAGTCTGCGTTACGGAGATTGTACGATGGCTCAGATCCGGGGCCAGTTTCTACGTGTTTAGCAACATGTTAGATCTTTCAGTATTTCAGGCAACAACCTGTTTATTGGTGCCTGGGCATTTCAATCCCTAGCTTACATTTAACCCTGCAGAAGAAGACATACACTTGGTAGGATCGCAGAGCTGTCAAGGCACCTTGCATTTCTAGGTCAGGACACAGAAAGCAGGGGAATTGGGGGCCATTACAATGAGCAACGTCGGTCAATGGTTTTACTTTTTCTGTTTTCACTTTATCTGATTTTGGTGTTTGGTGTAAATTCTGGACTCCCAAAATAAATGGGAAAGTGTTCCTCCAGTGCCGCCACCACCCCTGACTTTTTTCGCATGACATTTTGTTGAATTGGTGAAACAAGGTTTCTCTTGTGGAAGATTTGAGTTACATATTCAATTTAATGGGTTTCGACAGATGATTCTTTTTCAAGAATTGTTCCATTTCCTCTAAATTTTCTAATTTGTGGAGTTATTTCAGGTGTTATTACTCCCTTCAAGACAGAAGGTTCTGTAGTTATATCCCTTGTTTTACTCCTAAAAGTGGTTATGTGTGTCTTTTTTCTTTATCTTTGTTAATCTTCTTAGATGTTCATAAATTTTATTGTGTGGAGTGCACTGGTGCCATCTTGGCTCACTGCAACCTCTGCCTCCCAGGTTCCTGCGAGTCTCCTGCCTCAGCCTCCTGAGTAGCTGCGATTACAGGCATGTGCCACCACGCCCAGGTAATTTTTGTGTTTTTAGTAGAGATGGGTTTTCACCATATTGGCCAGGATGGTCTCCATCTCTTCACTTCATGATCCCCCCACCTTGGTCTCCCAAAGTGCTGGGATTACAGGCGTGAGCCACCGTGCCTGGCTGTCACTGATTTTCTATGTGTGATTTTCTTTTATTTCTATTCTGATCTGTCTTGTTTTCTTTTTTTCTACTTGCTTTGGTTGTATATTGTTGTTTGCAGTTTCTTGAGGTGGGAGCTTAGATTATTATTAGAGACTTTATTTTTTATTTCTATTTTTTTTGAGACAGAGTTTGGTCTTGTTGCCCAGGCTGGATTGCAATGGCGCGATCTCGGCTCACTACAACCTCCACCTCTCAGATTCAAGCAACTGTCCTGCCTCAGCCTCCCAAGTAGGTATGCACCCAAGTAGCTATACAGCCTCCCAAGTGGCTATACAGACATGCACTACCATGCTTGGCTAATTTTCTATATTTAGTAGACACGGGATGTCTCCAAGTTGGTCAGGCTGGTCTCGAACTCCTGAGCTCAGGTTATCCGCCGGCCTCGACCTCCCAAAGTGCTGGGATTACAGGCGTGAGCCACCACGCCCGGCTGACTTTATTCTAATTAGTTTTATAAATAAAACTCAGCACTGTTTGAACTCCATCTTACATTTTCCTATGTTGTAGTTATATTTTCATTCAGCTCAACTATTTCTCGACCCCATTTAAGAATTTATCTGTGTCGCATGGGTTCAGAGTGCGCACTTTCATCCCCAACTGTTTCAAATATTTCTGTTGTCATTCCGCCATTGTTAGTTTCACGTTTGGCCTGGGCACAAGCTCTGTTTAATCTCAAAACATGTATATCTGTTGAAGTTTGTTTTATGGCCCATAAACAATATGCTGGTTGAGTATTCCATCAGTACTTGTGAAAAGGATGTGTATTCTGGTATTGTTTGGTAAAATAGTCTGTGTTTATGGATCCTGCTGATTAATGAGGTTATTCAGACTTTCTATATTTTCCTCATTTTGTGTCTGGTATTTTGCTAAAAGAAGGATGTTAAAATCCCCAACTATAATTGTGGGATTTTTTTATTTCTCCTATGAGTTCTATCACTTTTTCCTTTGTGTATTTGAATGTTCTCTTGTTTGGTGCATATGCATTTATGATTACTATATCTTCTTGGTGTATTGGCCTTTATATCATTATGAAACTTTCCTCTTTTTCCCTGTTCATTTTCCTTTCTTTTTTTTCTTTTTTCTTTTTTTTTGGGACAGAGTTTCTCACTTGTTACCCAGGCTGGAGTGCAATGGCGCGATCTTGGCTCACCACAACCTCCGCCTCCTGGGTTCAGGCAATTCTCCTGCCTCAGCCTCCTGAGTAGCTGGGATTACAGGCACGCGCCACCATGCCCAGCTAATTTTTGTATTTTTAGTAGAGACGGGGTTTCACCATGTTGACCAGGATGGTCTCAATCTCTTGACCTCGTGATCCACCCACCTCGGCCTCTCAAAGTGCTGGGATTACAGGCATGTACTTTATTTTTTAAAATGTTTTATTTCTTTATATTTTCTTCAAATTTGTAAGATATATATTCTGATTCAGTTAATGTTTAAGCTTTAAAACAGTTATTTAATACATTACAGAGTTAGTCTTTGCCCTCCTGAGAAAATATAAGAAATTTATACATTAATTAGTTTGCCCATATCAGTTTATATACTATTGAAGATATGCATGCCAATTCCACCATTCCGTCCCCAGAAGTAAATATTAATATTTTATAATGATAATGAGTGGTCTTGCTGATCCACAGATGCACCCCCTCTCTCAGATCCTCATTGCGTGTATCATCACAGTCCCGTCACCTGGGGTCACTTTCCTTCAACCTTAAGAAGGGTCTTAAAAGTGTTATTTTATGCCAGTGATTTTTTTCCATTAAACTTCTCATTTTGGGATTCAAATCGTCTTATTTCACGGTTTTTCTTAGTCAGTGCATTTGTTATGCATAGAAAGCCGTTGGCAGTTGTACCTGTAACTCCTTCAGCATGTTATTCCATTGTGTCCCTGACACCTAAATTTGTATTGGCTTGGAGTGGAGACAGATAACTTATATTATACATATATGCAGTTATGTATGTGTGTATATAAAAATTACGTGTATATATATTTTCCTATAAATAAGATATGAATTATTTCTGTCATCTCATAAACCAGGTTATAAAATTTTAACTACAGTGATACTTAAGTGGACAGTGGAGTTAAAAACTATGAAGAGCAATTAGTCTTGATAGGTCTGTGTTTTGAATCATATGGCCTATAAGAATGTGTCTTTTGGACAATAGACCGACCTGTAGTTTATGAAACTCTCCTGCATGTGATTTTTTTTTTCAATTAAATGAGTCTATAGATGTGCTTTTGTGCAAAAATTTTAGCCGTTACCAGCCTGGCCATGGTGGCTCACACCTGTAATCCCAGCACTTTGGGAGGCTGAGGCGATCAGATCACCTGAGGTTAGGAGTTCGAGACCAGCCTGACCAACATGGAGAAACCCTATCTCTACTAAAAATACAAAATTAGCTGGGCGTGGTGGCACATGCCTGTAATCCCAGCTAGTCAGGAGGCTGAGGCAGGAGAATCAACTGAACCTGGGAGGCGAAGGTTGCCATGAGCCAAGATCGTGCCATTGCACTCCAGCCTGGGCAAAAAGAGCAAAACTAAAAAAAAAAAAAAAATTATAACCATTACCTATGATGCTACTTGATGAGCAAGGGAATGATTGTACTTTGTTTTTGGTTGCTTTGTTTGTTTTTTCAAAATCGCCACTGATCCTGAAAAGGTGGATCTTTGATTTGTCTTCCTGAAGCAATGTGAGAACCTTGTGTTGAAGAAGACTGCTAATAGCCTGTATGTATCTAAGCGCTATGTGCCAGGCCCGGTGTTAAGTACTTTTTACCTCACTTCCCATGTTTCCACGAAGTTGGTTGTAGTGTTTTCCATCTTACCTTTTTTTTTTTTTTTTTTTTTTTTTTTTTGGCTAATGACTATGAAAGACCTCCAGTTCTTGAACTTGAGCTAGAGCCCCATCTCCAGAGTTTCTTTATCCGAAAGTAGAAGTTGGGTCCAAGAGTTTACAGTTTTTTGTAAGTTCATAGCGAAGCTAATGCTGTAAAACCACCTACCAAATTGTGAACCAATGAATTAGAAGAGGCTCATGTTTTCGTCATGTTACATGCAAAGCTCCTCCTTCGCCCTTCACCATGAATAAAAGCTCCCTGTGGCCTCACCAGAAGCAGATACCGGCACCATGCTTCCTGTGCAGGCAGCAGAAAAGTAGCCTTACATCTCTTTTCTTATATGTTAACAAAAAATTAGGAGAATATTTAATGTTTTACAAAAAGGCCCACAAGCGAGATACAGACGTTGTTCAATTTATTAATACATTTCAATCCCCAAAGCTGACAGAGGTGAAGCAGGTCTCCCAGGGCTTCAGAAGCAGGAGGATTAAATAATGGGTCACCTGCTGGCGACTTCAGTGGCGTGGCATTGTCCCAAGTGGCCAGGGAAATCAGGGTGCATACCCTTTTTTTTTTTTTTTTTTTTGAGACGGGGTTTGGCTCTTGTTACCCAAGCGGGAGTGCAATGGCGCGATCTCGGCTCACCGCAACCTCCGCCTCCTGGGTTCAGGCGATTCTCCTGCCTCAGCCTACCGAGTAGCTGGGATTACAGGCACGAGTCACCATGTCCAGCTAATTTTTTTGTATTTTTAGTAGAGACGGGGTTTCACCTTGTTGCCCAGGATGGTCTCGATCTCTTGACCTCGTGATCCACCCGCCGCGGCCTCCCAAAGTGCTGGGATTACAGGCGTGAGCCGCCGCGCCCGGCCGGTGCATACCCTTCAAAGACAGCCGTAGCCTACGAGGCACAGTTTTCCCCAGTGTTTCTTCCACTCCCGGCGCTACGCATTTCCAGCCGGCGAGCAGCCAATGACAGCCCAGAAACTGGGCGTTTCCTGCTGCTCCGGGCGGCAGGGGCGGGGCTTCTGGCGTCGCCGTCGTGACGTCTTTTTCCTTTGCCCGGTCCGTGCATTCCGGTTGAGAAGGCTGAGTCCAGTCCTAGATCGGGTGGACTTTCTACTGGGCTCTCGCCGAACCAAGCAGGAAAAGAGAGTGGAGGCTACAAGGACCGTCCTCCGCGCTTTCGTTACGATCCATGACCCCTGTCGTGGGACGGGCGGCCCCTCGCGGAGGTGTCTGCCGGGGCCGGGCTCTTACCGAGGCCTCCACACACGCCCTCTTGTCCTTGTGTCCCCCGGAGGCCGCCGCCTTAGTCTCCTGAGCGTTTTTACACCGGGTAGACTGAGGCGTGGAGCGCGGTGGAGGCGTGGGGTTTCGGCTGAGCCCACGGGACACAGCCCGTGCACCCCCTTCTCACGGCAGCGGCGGTGCTGATGGACCGGGTTCAGGTGAGTGGGGGAATCCCCGTACACCGGCCTGGTTGGTGTGTCCTGGGATGTTCGCTCACTCCGTCGCGTTATGCGGAGGGGTTCCGCTTTCCTTATCTTTTTTTTTTTTTTTTTTTTTTTTTTGAGACGGAGTTTCGCTGTTGTTACCCAGGCTGGAGTGCAATGGCGCGATCTCGGCTCACCGCAACCTCCGCCTCCTGGGTTCAGGCAATTCTCCTGCCTCAGCCTCCCGAGTAGCTGGGATTACAGGCACGCGCCACCATGCCCAGCTAATTTTTTGTATTTTTAGTAGAGACGGGGTTTCACCATGTTGACCAGGATGGTCTCGATCTCTTGACCTCATGATCCACCCGCCTCGGCCTCCCAGAGTGCTGGGATTACAGGCTTGAGCCACCGCCCCCGGCCTCTGCTTTCCTTATCAATGGCATAAGGTGTGGGACGGATTCGAAGGCGCAGGGGCAGTTCGTACAAATGCATGCATGGAGATGAGAGTGAGCTTAGAAGGTTCTGGGAACCGTCCGTGCCTGGTGAGAACAGAGAACAGGGGGTCAGAGGTAGGCCTGGAATGGCAGCCTGAGGAGCTGGTCCTCTCTTCTAACGGTGTTGGGACTCATGCAAGGTTTGATACAGAGAAGGGAGGTCCTCTGATGCAGTTCTTAAAAGGCTCCCTCTGGCTGCAGAGTGGGTAGACTGGGGAGCATAGAGGTAGACGGGGAGATCAAGGTAGAATCTACTGAAATAGTCCAGGTGAGCGTTGATAGTGGGTGGGCTAGAGTGGTTGCAGCAGAGATTAGAGCATACATGGGTTTCCTATATGTATTTTGTAAGGATGACCAGATTCTCTGATGAGACATAGTGATAGCCTGGGATTCTTCACATGTCCGTCTTCACTTGACACCGGGGGCGGTGAATGGGGGGGTCATTTCTAGCTTAGTGTCCTGAATCCCGACCATGAGTTGTATCGAGTTATGTAGAGAAGTCCCCACCTGGCAAGCAATGGCACGAGTACTGGAAGAGTATATTAGACCCAGGAACAGCTACTGCAAACGCTTGTACGTAAGATTGAGTTGGGAGTGCTCAGGGAACCTCAGGTCTTAATTACCTCTTTGGAAACAGATATCAGAGGAAGGAGTTAGGCAGGAATGGCTGGCCGAGGAGCTGGACCCCCGTCCTAAGTTTGGTGAAACTCATGGGAGATTTGGAGCAGAGGAAGAGATTATCTGACTCGGATTTTAACAAGCTGTCTCTGGCTTTCAGGTTGAGAACAGACTGTGAGCGTGAGGGAGGAGCTACTGCAGTGGTGTTGATGGTGTCTGGTCTAGAGGTGTGGCTGTGGAGGTGAGAGAAGTTGGTGAATTTTCCTTTTTTTAAGTAGGGTGATTGGATTTTTTGGTGTGAAGGGCATATGACAGAAGAGAGTCATGGTTGACCCTAAGATTGTTTTATTTATTTTTGCGGTAGCTGGTAAAATGATGGAAATGCCGTCAACTCAGATGGAGAAGTTGGCAACGCGTGTGATTTTTAGTGGTTATGTCAGGAGGTACGCTTTGGCCATGTTTAGGTTAAGAAGTCTCAGTGGACGTCTTAGTTGAGGCCTCAAGAAGGCACACAGGTTTTTAGTTCTGGGGAAGGGTCCTGGTGAAGAAGTGGAAAGAAATGGTGGCCAATGTGTGGAGTGGGATGGGGTATCTTCAAGTCCTGGTGGTAATGCTGTTATTGAGTTAGAAGGTTGAAACTGGAGACTGAGAGAAAACTGGGTCTGTTGCTTAGGCACCTGGGTGGCAGTGGTGCACGGTGTGAAGACACGGGCCCTTCCTGGACACTGTGTGCAGACTGGCATGGGGGATGAGGGATGTCATTGAGGTGCATATGGGGATGGGCCAGTGGCAGTGGGGATCTCAGATGTGAGGAAGGTGTGTTCCAAAGAGTAATTGTGAGTGCTGGGAGGACTCTGAACTCATGGTCTTAAGACTCTAATATTGGCAGCTCATGGGAGAAGATGGAGCTGAAGTTTGGTTGTGTTTAGAGGCGTCGCCTGGACAACTCCAGGAGACCTGGTTAGTAGAAGAGTGTTTGGTCATGCCAGACCCAGACTTGAGACAGTATCTGTCTGCACACTTGCCTGGTTCTGCTCCGGGCTGGACAGAGTGGTGAGAGGGACTTGAGGAGAGAGCAGACTCTACTGGTGCCAAGGTCTGTGTCTCCTCTTAGTCGGGAGGCTACGAAGGCAAGGGACTAAAGGTGGGTGTGTGAGTGTACGGGACCAGGGAGGAAGAGGTTCCGGAGAGAGATGCTGACTCAGCTCTACTCATCGTGGCAGAGTTGTGTGACCTTCGAGGACGTGTTCGTGTACTTCTCTCGAGAGGAGTGGGAACTCCTTGAGGAGGCGCAGAGATTCCTGTACCGTGATGTGATGCTGGAGAACTTTGCCCTTGTGGCCACACTGGGTAAGTCTGTTTTATCTGACGCTACACAGCAAAGCTTAGTAACTTCAAACAGTACAACAGTGAAAATCAGTTATCTCAGCTGCAGAGCATTGGGAATCTGGTTACAGCATATTTTGTTGTTCCTTGTTTTCCTTTTTTTTTTTTTTATGTTTTGAGGCAGAGTCTCACTCTGTCACCCAGGTTACAGTGCAGTGTTGTGATCATGGTTCCTTGCAGCCTCAAACTCCTGGGCTGAAGTGATCCTCCCACTCAGCCTCCCGAGTAGCTGGGACTACAGGTGCATGCCACCATGCCCAGCTATTTTTACTTTTTGTAGAGATGAGGTCTTGCTGTGTTGCCCAGGCTGGAATAGAGCTCCTGACCTCAAGCAGTCCTTCCTCCTTGGCCTCCTAAAGTGCTGGGACTATAGGCTTGAAGTTTTTTTTGTTTTTTTTTTTGAGACGGAGTTTCGCTCTTGTTACCCAGGCTGGAGTGCAATGGCGCCATCTCGGCTCATCGCAAACTCTGCCTCCCGGGTTCAGGCAATTCTCCTGCCTCAGCCTCCTAAGTAGCTGGGATTACAGGCATGCACTACCATGCCCAGCTAATTTTTTGTATGTTTAGTAGAGATGAGGTTTCACCTTGTTGACCAGGATGGTCTCGATCTCTTGACCTTGTGATCCACCCGCCTCGGCCTCCCAAAGTGCTGGGATTACAGGCGTGAGCCACCGCGCCCAGTCTCTCATGAAGTTTTAATCAAGCTCTCAGCCAGTATCATGGTCTTATCTAAGAAGAATCCACTTACAAGCTCACTCACATTGCTGTTTGCAAGATTTAGTTTCTTGTGGCTTGCTGGGCTGTGAGCATTGTTCCTTGCTGGCTATTGGCCAAAGTCCACCCTCAATTGACCTTTCTGTACTGTACCTCATAACATGGAAGCTAACTTCTCTTTGAGCAAAAGAATGTTAAAGATGGAAGCCCAGAATTGTAACCTAATATTGGAAGTGTGATTGCATTATTTTCGACATATTCTATTCCTTGGAAATGAGTCAGTCCATCCAGCTTACCATCAAAAGATGAGGCTTACACAGGGGCAAGAGTACTAGGAAGTAGGGGTCACTGGGACCATCTCAGAGGCTGTGTTCCACAGGCCTTTACACCCACTGTGGTGTCCTTGGTGGTGGGGTTTGAGTCTTCCCCTGTTCCCCATGGGCCCCTCTTTCTGTCCATCTTATCAGTGACTCTTCTCCTTCCCTTCTTTGTTTCCCGGGGTAGGTGCTGTGGGTGCCAAGATTGGCTGTGTTCAGTGTCTCTGCCTTCACCGGGTAATCTGAACATCTGTTACCCTAGAGCTCTGCAGGAAAAGGTTAGGATTCAGGGGTGTTTCAGTCTGCTAAGCAGATTCTACACAGCTCAGGTGCTTACTGCCTGAGTCGGTGTCATTATCTTTGCATCTCTTTGTCCCAGGTTCTGCCCCCATCCTCTTGTGGACATTTCCTGTGGCCTGACTATGCCAGGAAGTCCAGGAGCTGACACAATAATTTCTCTTGATTACAGGGCTATCCTGGGACATCTTCCTTAAACAGCATTTTTTCTAAACATTCTACTTTCTCTGTGGCCTGCACCACTCACCAGCCTAGTTTGCTTTACAGGTTTCATTTTCCAGTTTCACAGTTTCAGGTAGTTGCCCATCTGGAGAGGGGGCAGAAGGCCTTGGGCAGACATCAGTCCAGCCACAATAAGGGAGACCTGGGGAGGGCCTGTGCTTGCTGAATGGGAGCTGGGAGAGGGCGTCTGTTACGGCCGGGTTCAAATCGAACCTTCAGCTTGTCTTGCGTTTGTCAGTGTTTTGCTGCCAAGGCCCATAGTGATTCTGCACATCTACTTTTCTTCCCTCATTCCTGGCACTTTTTCCCTTTGTCATTTATCACCTGTCTTCCATCCTTTGGGTGTTTTCCCACTTTTCTGTCTCCATATTTCACTTGTTCTCTTCAACATTAGCTCACATTACTATGTCATGAATTGTGCACATTAAATAGTCCTTGAGAACTAGCTACTTATTTGGAGTCAGATTTTCCTGGGCAGGACACACCTATTAGCACAGAGCTCACCTGACACTAGCAGTCAAGGCCCTGCTGAAATCCTCTTCCAGAGATATCAGGTAGAGGCTTCACCTCTACTTCCTATCCTATACGCCATTGTCTTTAGGTTTTTACCCCATAGTTAGGGTTCCTCCATTCTGTGGCCTGTAGAGGCCCTCTGCTGACAGCTAGCTCTTCTTTACACTGTTTGCAGCTCTCTTGTCCTGCCAACAAGCCAGTGGACTCGCACTGGTGATGACACACATTTGTGATGGGGCTGCTGCCTCCCACCAAAGTCAATGTGCACTTCACCAGCATGTTTTTGCTTTCAGGTTTTTGGTGTGAAACAGAAAATGAGGAGGCACCTTCAGAGCAGAGCATTTCTTTAGAAGGAGTGTCACAGGTCAGGACTGCTGAGTCAGGTCTCTTCCAAGCACACCCATGTGAGTTGTGTGACCCACTCTTGAAAGACATTTTGCACCTGACTGAACACCAGGGATCACACCTTGCACAGAAACTGTATACACATGGGCCGTGTAGGAGAAGATTCTCATTCAGTGCACAATTTTACCAGCACCAGAAGCAACGTAATGGAGAGAATTGTTTCCGAGGGGATGAGGGAGGGGCCTCCTTTATGAAGAGCTGTACAATCTGCATGTTAGGGAGATCCTTTACCTGCAGGGAGGAGGAGATGGACTTACCAGACAGCTCTGGCCTCTTCCAGCACCAGACCACTTACAGTAGGGTGAGTCCATGCGAAAGGACTGAGTGCATGGAGTCTTTCCCACACAGCTCCAGTCTTGGGCAACACCAAGGAGACTATGATGGACAGATGCTTTTCGTTTGTGGTGATGAAGGGAACGCCTTTCTGAACACCTTTACTCTTCTTGACAGCCAGATAGCACATGCTGAGGTGAGACCCTTTACATGCCTCCCACGTGGAAATGGGTTCAAGGAGAAATCAGCTCTTATTAATCCCAGAAAAAGCCACAGTGGAGAAACATCTCATGTGTGTAAGGAGTGTGGAAAAGCCTTCATTCACTTGCACCACCTAAAAATGCACCAGAAATTTCACACTGGAAAAAGACATTATACGTGCAGCGAATGCGGGAAGGCCTTCAGCCGCAAGGACACACTCGTTCAGCACCAGAGAGTTCACACTGGAGAAAGATCTTATGACTGCAGTGAATGTGGAAAAGCCTACAGCAGAAGCTCCCACCTTGTTCAACACCAGAGAATTCACACAGGAGAAAGGCCTTATAAGTGCAACGAATGTGGGAAAGCCTTCAGCCGTAAAGACACACTTGTTCAGCACCAGAGATTTCATACTGGAGAAAGGCCTTATGAGTGCAGTGAATGTGGAAAGTTCTTTAGCCAGAGCTCCCACCTTATTGAACACTGGAGAATTCACACTGGGGCAAGGCCTTATGAATGCATAGAATGTGGAAAATTCTTTAGCCATAACTCTAGCCTCATTAAACATCGGAGGGTCCACACGGGAGCAAGGTCCTACGTGTGCAGCAAATGTGGGAAGGCCTTTGGCTGCAAAGACACACTCGTTCAGCACCAGATAATCCACACTGGAGCAAGGCCTTATGAGTGCAGTGAATGTGGGAAGGCCTTCAGCCGTAAAGACACACTTGTGCAGCACCAAAAAATCCACACTGGAGAAAGGCCTTATGAGTGTGGTGAATGTGGCAAATTCTTCAGCCACAGCTCCAACCTTATTGTACACCAGAGAATTCACACTGGAGCCAAGCCTTATGAGTGCAGCGAATGTGGAAAATGCTTTAGCCACAACTCCAGCCTCATTCTGCACCAGAGAGTTCACACAGGAACAAGGCCTTACGTGTGCAGTGAGTGTGGGAAGGCTTACATTAGTAGCTCCCACCTTGTGCAGCACAAGAAAGTACACACTGGAGCAAGACCTTACGAGTGCAGTGAATGTGGGAAATTCTTCAGCCGCAACTCTGGCCTCATCCTGCACCAGAGGGTTCACACTGGGGAAAAGCCTTATGTATGCAGTGAGTGTGGGAAAGCCTACAGCCGAAGCTCCCATCTCGTTCGTCACCAGAAAGCACACACTGGGGAAAGACCTCATGGGTGCAACAGTTTTGGTGACCCTTTACCTGCATCTCTTAAACTTGTTTAACACCAGAAAATTCACACAAGAGAAAGGCCTTACGAATCCAGAAAATGTGTCATCTTGTTCATCCTCGTAGGACTCACACCAGAGTGATGCTCTCTGAGTACCCTTTGTGAGAGAGCCATCAGCTAGCAGCAGATAAGCCGTCTATATTCATTCCACCCTGGAAAGATTCCTGGTAAGCCCCGCGTGTATGGGAAGCTTTCGTGAGGTGTGTTGCACTTTGTAACTATCTGGGGCTCCTGATGGAATTTATTTCACTGCCAGTGCCTGTGGCGGAAGCCATCCTATTCCTACCAGCTGTGTGTGTCCGTCACTCCATTTTGCTCAGGGAAGGCAGACTCCTGTGCTTTCTTTCCTCTTCCCTGCAGGGAATCATGAGTATTTTCAAAGGACCACCCCCAACTCCCCCCCCCACCATTGAGAGTCCTCAGCTTTTCCTCCATGATTAGGTTCCGAGCAAAGTGATCTAGCTCTGACCAGAAGGACCCGAACTAGGGTCTGCTGGGATTTCATGACAGGAACTCCCATCGTCGCGGACACTGCTGACTGTGAATGTGATCGCTGTGTCTTACCTGTGCTGCCAGATCTCCCAGCTTTGGAACTGCTTGCCCCATGCTGCTCTGCTTCATACAGTGATAAAGGCCAATGGTGGCAGCCTTTACTCTTGGGGGTTCTGTTACTGTGTAGACTGGACTGAGAAAAGAATTGGGTTCTGTCATGAAGGGAGTAACACCTTTTATGGACACCACCTCTGTGTGCCTCAGAGGAGACCGACCATAGGATGGCAGAACACAGTTCTCAGTCTAGCTTGACCTAATTCGTACCATTGCCCTAGGTCTGCTAGGAAAGAGTAAAAAGTTTTTTGTGCCTAACTTTGTGGCCTGGCTGCCGGGACTTCCTGTGAGCCCAGTGAGGAGGGCATAGTTGGTGTGAAAGTCTCCTGTGCTTCTGGAAGCAACATAAGTTGGGTCCCTTGACTGGCACGTACTCCCGAGCACTGTTGAGGGATTGCTGTCTTCAGTACCTATACAGGATCGAGTCCCTGATACCCAGAATCCCATAGGCGAGTGACACTGACCGTGAGACCTCTGTCGGGCAATGTGAAAATCATGATTGGCACAGAAACACTGAGACAATGGAGTGGGGATGACTGTGGCAAGCAAAAGATTTGAACATTCTAGAGAGGCGTCCGCAGATACCAGTGCAGTTATGATGGTGTGGGATGGGGCTGCACAGAAATTCTCAGGACCTTCAGGCACCTGTATCTCCTGTGGCCAAGGCCACTGTCAGACTAAATCATGTAAATGTTTGTGGATTTCTGTGTCTCCCTGGGCAGTTGACCTTGTAGCCATCACTGCACAGACAGGAACCCCAGCACTGACAGAGGAGCGATCCAGGAACGGGTCTTCTCTGACCCACCAGCATTCCTAGTGACTGAGATGGACATGGACTTCATTGCCCATCCATTTTCACCAACATTGAGGCAGGGCTCACTCTCCTCAATTGTAGGGAGAGGAATATGGTTGATTTTCCAAGTGGAACAGTATATATAGTTTTTAATGAGGAACATTTATTTAACACCTTTACGGAGGTATTAACATGCAATAAACTGGAACTAAAGTATAAAATGTGCGTGTTTCAGCATGGATACACCTGTGAAACCACCACAGTCTAGCTACCCGACCTCACAACAGATTGTCCCTTTATAATCCTTCTCAATCTTCCCTCGTCTTGTTTTCCACAATTCACAAGCAACAGCAAGCATTTTCTATAATCTTATAAGTGAAGCTGTACGGTGTGTACTTTTGTGGGGAGCTGTTGCCTTTTCAGTAAACAACTATTTTAAGGTTAATCCATTATCTCGTTGCATGAATCAATTGTTTGCTCATTTGTATTGCTGAGTAGTATTTCATTGTATACCCAAGTTTTCTTTTTTGCCAACTTAATTGTTAGATGTTTAGGCTGTTTTCAGTTTCTGGCTGTTACAAATAAACCTTTGAAGCTTTGTGCGCAAGTTCTGGCTGAATGGTCTTCCATTCTATAAATACACCTCGGTTTCTCCTTATCCATTTACCTAATGAAGGACGTCGTAGTTGCTTTCAAGTCTTGGCACTTATGAATGAATCTATTACACATTTGTATAGTTCTTCTGTGGACATATGTTTTCAGCTCATTTGGGTACATGCCACGGCGTGCAATTTTCTCTGTCATGCAGTATGTTTAGTCTCGTAAGAAACTGCCAAGCCATCTTCCAAAGTTGCTCTAGCTTTTTTTTTTTTCTGAGACAGAGTCTTGCTTTATCACCTAGGCTGGAGTGCAGTGGCATGATCTCGGCTCACTGCAACCTCCGCCTCCCAGGCTCAAGCAACTCTCCCACCTCAGCCTCCTGAATAGTTGGGATTACAGGTACGTGCCACCACACCCAGCTAATTTTTGCAAGTTAGTAGAGACGGGGTTTTGCCATGTTGGCCAGGGTGGTCTCGAACTCCTGACCTCAAGTGATCACCCTCAGCCTCCCGAAGTGCTGGGATGACAGGCATGAGCCACTGCACCAGGCCGTGGCTATACCATTTTTGCATCCAACCAACAATTAATGAACATTTCTCTTGCATCTCGTTCTAGTCAGCATTTGGCATTCACAGTATTTAGGATTTTAAAACGCCATTCAAGTAGGTGTAGTGATATACCACTGTCGCGCTAATCTGCAATTCCCTAATAACACGCAATGAGTATCTTTTATTTTTTAAAGGCAGTATTTCGTTTTGTTTTTGTTTTTGGTGAGACAGAGTCTTGCTCTGTCGCCCAGGCTGGAGTACAGTGGCGTGATCGTGACTCACTGCAACCTCCACCTCTTGTGTTCAAGTGATTCTTCCACTTCAGCCTCCTGAGTAGCTGGGACTACAGGCACCCGCCACCATGCCTAGCTAATTTCTGTATTTTTAGCAAAGACAGGGTTTCTCCATATTGGCCAAGCAGGTCTTGAACTCCTGACCTCAGGTGATTCACCCACCTTGGCCTTCCGAAGTGCTGGGATTATAGCACCCAGCCTGGCTGGGTTTTTGTGTGTGTGTGTGAGTTTCACACGTCTGAATAGGTGGTTTGCAGAGAGAGAAGTTAACAACTTTGGCTGTTAGTTTGAATCTGTGATTTATGAATACCAAAAAGACAACGCATGTAAGAAAGCATAACAGTCCTGCATACACACAGCAGCTGGCAGCCGGATTTCCAGTGCGTTTCATCTGCCTACCATTGACTTGAACCCCAGTGCATATGTGCTCATTGAACATTTTCTAGAGCAGTAAATACACAACATCACACAACTTCCCTATCCTTATTTATTGTGAGATAAAGTTGTTGCCGGGCACAGTGGCTCAAGCCTGTAATCCCAGCACTTTGGGAGGCCGAGGCGGGTGGATCACGAGGTCAAGAGATCGAGGCCATCCTGGTCAACATGGTGAAACCCCGTCTCTCTAAACATACAAAAAATTAGCTGGGCATGGTGGCGTGTGCCTGTAATCCCAGCTACTGGGGAGGCTGAGGCAGGAGAATTGCCTGAACCCAGGAGGCAGAGGTTGCGGTGAGCTGAGATCGCACCATTGCACTCCAACCTGGGTAACAAGAGCGAAACTCCGTCTCAAAAAAAAAAAAAAAAGAGAGAGAGTCTTACACTGTCACCTAGAGTGCAGTGGCACAATCTCTGCTCACTGCAACTTCTGCCTCCCGGGTTCAAGCGATTCTCCTGCCTCAGCCTCCTGAGTAGCTGGGATTACAGGTGCCTGCCACCATAACCGTCTAATTTTTTGTATTTTTACTAGAGATGGGATTTCACTATGTTGGCCAGACTGGTCTTGAACTCCTGACCTCGTAATCCGCCTGCCTCAGCCTCCCAAAGTGCTGGGATTACAGGTGTGAGCCACCATACCTGGCCTTCATTTGTATTTGTTGACGGGTCTTTCCATTTATCATCTCTACTTATCACTCCCAACAGTTAATAAGCAGTGTTTTCAAGTACAAAGAAAGAACTTCATTTAGGAGACAGAGCATAATGTGTCCAAGATTCCAGCACAGCCAGTCTCAACTTCATTCTTGGACTTCTCAGACTTTGCTGTCTCGCTCCAACTTTAATCTTACCTTTTTCCCCCTTCACATGCCACAGATAGGTTTCTGGAGAATTATTTCTGCCACTTTTTTTGAATAACAACTGTGGGAAGTAGAAAAGTTCCTCTAAGTTTTCTTGTTAGAGAATAAGTGTGCTAATAACTTTGTTAAGCCCTATCCTATGTATTTGTTAGACACGCCATGCTTATAGGCACGTAGTACATTCTATGTCCTTGTACTTTAGCCAAGATACCTGCGGTGAACTTGCTCACAGGCATGTCCCAGTTCTCCACTGCTTCTACCTGTTTAGAAGAGTTTTCAGTTGTTAGCCAATCTGGTTTTGGTTTAGACTGTGAGGTCTGGCTCCAGCTAACGGAGATCAGACACAGCAGTAAGGACGACCCCAAATGCATAAGGAATAAATTTGTGAGTTTTCCTTTGTTCATTGTACTCTTGGGGCAAGATGGCGAGTGAGAGTACCCTTCCTGCAGTCCAGGAAGTAAAAATTGCATTGCTGAAAGATCCTTTGTCTCAGTGCTGATTTTTCTTGTGGCACCGAGCATCTATTTCCGATAACAACGTAATCATTGTTAGTCCAAACTACACCATTCTGTAAGCCCCCTGCCATTTAACAGATCTTGGTCAGAGTGAAGCATTCCACGGGAGTAAGGGCCTTGAGAAACATTCTGCCCAACTGCCTGACTCTTATCACGTCAAGCTGGCAAAAGGTCCAAGGGATGTCACTATCACATCCTGCCAGAAAAAGGGCCAAACCACCTCAGGAACACGTCATGAACATCTTTGGGCCAGGTGCAGTGACTCTCGCCTGTAATCCCGAAGCAGGTGAATCACCTGAGGTCAGGAGTTCCAGACTAGCCTGACCAACAGGGTGAAACTCCGCCTCTACTGAAAATACAAGAAAAAAAAAAAAAAAAAGGGAGTGGTGGCGGGCACCTTCAGCTACTCAGGAGGCTGAAGCAGAATTGCTACCTAGGAGGCGGAGGTTGCAGGGGACCGAGATTGCCCTGTTGCACTCCAGCCTGGGCGACAACAGCCGTTGCAGGTCTTGTGCTGGACATAAAATCTGCGTTGCTTTAAAGCTGCCAACTCTCTGCCTTTCTTTAACCGTCGCCTTCCCTTCAGAACCTAACAATCATTATCAATAGATTTCTGTACTTTTCATTTCACAAGTATTTTCTCAGATAATTTCAACTCCCTGTGAAACAACTCACTTCTCAGGAAGGAGATAAGATCATGACATGTCACAGTTTTTAATCGGGATAATACCGTCCCTGTGTACATAACTGTCCAACAATGGAATGGCAGAAAGTCTCCTGTCGGGAAATGGCATGTATCAGTCACTCTCATTTTCAGATAGGATTGAGACTTCAAAAATAAATGTAAAGTATCTCAGATATGAAGTAATAAGTGCGATTAGAATAAAAGCAATGCACTCTTGGTAGGAACACAATCAGGGACTCTACAGACAGTAATGATGTTTTCTCTTGGATCCAGAGGCATAGCTTCACCCCCCCTTTTTTTTTTTGAGACAGAGTTTCGCTCTTGTCACCCAGGCTGGAGTGCAATGGCGCGATCTCGGCTCACCGCAACCTCCGCCTCCTGGGTTCAGGCAATTCTCCTGCCTCAGCCTCCCGAGTAGCTGGGATTACAGGCACGCGCCACCATGCCCAGCTAATTTTTGTATTTTTAGTAGAGACGGGGTTTCACCATGTTGACCGGGATGGTCTCGATCTCTTGACCTCGTGAACCACCCGCCTCGGCCTCCCAAAGTGCTGGGATGACAGGCGTGAGCCACCGCGCCCGGCCTGACTAACGCTTTAAAATCCGAAAGCGGTGTCGACCCAGAAGACACTGCGGTTCTCGGCGGCGCGACTGAACCCGCGAAGGCGCAGGAAGGAACGTGTGCGTGCGTGCGTGCGTGCGTGCGTGCGTGCGTGCGTGCGTGTCGTCGGCGGGCAAAACTTCCGGCGACCTCCTGGCGGTGGCTGATTTGGCTCTTTCTGGTGTTTCCAGCAGCTCCGGCCTGGCGGTCATCGAAGTGACGGAGCCGAAAAAGTGCTAGAAGCGGCATGGATCCCACCGCGCAAAGGCGGGAGTGACAGAGGCGCAGCTGACAGTGGCAGAGGCCCTACTGACAAGCGCCGGGGACGGCGGTGTCCTTGTCTCGCCTTTGTCGCCCCCGCGCGGCTCTTACCTGGCTGGGCTGGCGGAGACCGCGCCGACCACCCTGACTGAGGTGGGTGTCCCGTCTCACCCCCGCCCTTCCTCCCAGTGCTGAAGCCCCGAGAAGGGGCCCTGCAGGGCAGGCCCCTTGTCCCGAACAGAGGGGCGTTCCCGTGTGGGGTCCCCGTGTCAGCTCCCATCGGGGACCTCCAGTTCAGGGCATGGAGGCGCTGCCCAGCGGGCCGCGTCGGGGAGCCCGGCGTGTGTGTGGTTTCTGCGGGAGAGAGAGGGGGTTTTGTGAATTCTCGCTTGGCATGGTAACCTGAGCAGCCGGTAACCATGGGAGGTCGTCAAGGGAGGGCCAGTGGGACGGGCGGGGCCAGAATTCGACATCTGAAGTTAGTGGCCGGGCGCGGTGGCTCACGCCTGTCATCCCAGCACTTTGGGAGGCCGAGGCGGGTGGATCACGAGGTCAAGAGATCGAGACCATCCTGACCAACATGTGAAACCCCGTCTCTACTAAAAATACAAAAAATCAGCTGGGCATGGTGGCGCGTGCCTGTAATCCCAGCTACTCAGGAGGCTGAGGCAGGAGAATTGCCTGAACCCAGGAGGCGGAGGTTGCGGTGAGCCGAGATCGCGCCATTGCACTCCAGCCTGGGTAACAAGAGCGAAACTCCCTCTCGGAAAAAAAAAAAAAAAAAAAAAAGAAATCTGAAGTTAGAACAAGCAGGATGGGGAATTGACACAGAGACTGAGAAGACGCCACACTGCGGTGGATCCCAGAGGCTGGACCAGAGCCTTGGTGGGAGAGGGGCCATGTGATGGGATTCTGCATAGACCTGCAAGACAGATCCAGCAGGTTTTCTTGCTGTGTCACATATGTCTGTGGGCAAAAATAGGGACTGATGGGCCATGTTTTTTTTCTTTTCTGCCTGAACATCTGAAAGAATGAAGTTGGGGGAGTCAGCAGCATGAGGAGTAGGTTTCGTGGGGACGATCATGGGTTGGAGTTTGGCCACTGTGATTCTCAGGCGTCTCAAGTTGAAGATGTCACGTGGATAGGGTGACAGAAGGGTCTGGGGTCTACAGAAGAGAGCTGGTGTGGATTCTTTAAAAGAATAGAGGGTGTAGATTGGACCAGGGCCTGAGGATCCAATTCGGTAGGGTAATCGAAAGGTTATTGCCCGTGAGCTATGTGGTGAGGGAGGAGAGAGTTAATACTTGGGGTTCAGATCATAGGGGGATCCACAAGCCAAACATTTACTTTAGAAAGGCGCAGACCTGCCGTGGGAAGGATTTTGTCCTCTGCCTAGAATAAGGGAGGCATGGATGGGATAAGGAATGGGCTTGGGATGCAGACTGAGGTTTGAGATGGTTATATTCTGTACCTACAGATTATCTTGGCTGACCCTCAGGGCCACTCTTTGTGGGACAAGAGAAAAGTTATCCTGGCTAGTAGAGCAGGTAGTTTAGCTAGTTCTAAACTAGGGTTCTGCTTTTTCCCCTTCTCCACATGTCAAGGCAAGGTTGGATGATCTACTGCCCCAGTCAAGGTCTCCCAGCAAGCTCCCCTCAGAGCCTTATGTAACAGGAAGGCCTAGTTGCAGAGAGGACCAGTAGCTGACCTTCCTGCTCAGCCCTTCCCTACAACTCATTCAGAATATATGAAACATGGCTCACACCTGTAATCTTAGCACTTTGGGAGGCCAAGGCAGGTGGATCACGAGGTCAGGAGTTCAAGATCAGCCTGGCCAAGATGGTGAAACCCCATCTCTGCCACCGAAAAAAAAAATTAGCCGAGTGTCATGGTGGGCGCCTGTAATCCTGGCTACTCAGGAGGCTGAAGCAATTCATTGAGTTAAATTCCTGCAAACACTTTGTAATTGGTTTGACCCGAAATTGCCTATAATTAACATACCATGGAAAATTTTAGTATCACATCCTCTAAAATTTTAAAAGATAAAAATGTACACCCCAATTGTTGAAATTCTACTACATCATTTACACTAAAAACATCGTAAACCATTAATGCAAGAACAGTAATCGCTGATATACTATGATCTACCAGTGTTTGACACCAGTAAGAGTCCTATGAGGTGGGAGTCATTCTTATAATATCAGATGTATTTATAGATGAGAGCACTGAAGCTCCAGCAGGTTCAGTTCTTTTCCAGTGTCACAGTGCTGCTAAGAGGCAACACTGAAGTCCGAGGAGCTGAGTTTCTACAGTCAACTTGACATCAGTTTGCTTCAGAGTGAGGAAGAAGAGATGGTGGTCCAGCTCTGCCGGTGGGATTTTCCCATGGTTACCCGTTTCTCACGGTTTCCCTCTTCCCTCAGGACCCCCTGGCGATGGCAGAAATGAACCCTGCACAGGTGAGTAGAGTGTTTTCTAGCTTTCCCCTACTATAGTTATCTCGTTGATGGTTTTGGCACCTCCGTATGAAGAAAAGTAGAGTCCCAAGACAGTTTTTCTCTCTTTCTCCCTCTCTTACGTCTGAAACGCGGGTGGTTCCACCAGTTGTGGTATCTCGGATTAGGTCCTGGGGTTCTGTTTGTTTGAAGTTTATTGTGACATCTCACCTGGATGGCCCTGGGTTATGTGGAGTGGTTCCCATTTTGGACAATTCACATGGTAACATCTGTCAGTGTCCTGAGCACAGGATTCAGAATGTTTCAATGCTCGGAGGAGAGACTGAGCTGGCTTTTTAGGGAACTGCACGTGTCTGTTAAATCTGGTAGGAATGGGGAGCAGAGTGGGCGGTGGCTGGAGACACACCAAACGTCAGTCCTGGAATGACAGCCTAGGCCCTGGGTCTCTAACTAAGGGAGGAGGTAGATGGGGAAGATTTGAAGAAGAGGGCAGTGCCAGGACCCTAGTTTAAGGGACTTCCTTTGGCTTCTGAGTGGAGGACGGACTGTGGAAGTGAGGGTGATGGCAGGGAGCTCTGAGAGGATATTCTTGCAGCGGTCTAGGTGGGTGTTGCCGGTGGCTTGTCAAGGGTAGCCATGGCTTCGGGATGTGTTTTGAACTAGAGCTGCTCACATTTTATGATGTAGAGAGTGGGGAGGTGGGATGGAAGGGAATCAGGAGTGGCCCCAGGGTTTGTTTGGATGCTCCATTGGCTAAGATGGGGGAAGTCAGCAGTATAAGGAATTTTCAGAGTGAGTATGAGGAGTCAGTGTTTGTTCAGGTCACAGATGTCTCAGAGCCTCCGGGTGGAGGAGTTCAGGTTGGAGACGTCCATACCATGGTGGCTGTCGTATGGGCCAGGATGAAGCCATGGATTCAGTTTAGGTGACAGCATCTCTAGGTTTTGGTGGCAGTGCTGTTCGAAGATAGAGAATTGGAATGGGGCATGAGAACTAGGTCTTTTACTGGGTACCCATGTGGTGAGGGAGGAATCACTAGACTAATGAGGGAATGGAGTGTTAGTGGGGATGAGTGTGTAAGACGGTGGGTATAGGAGAAAGAAAGGCTTTGGAAGGAGAGGACATGAGAGGGTTGCTGAGGGCGATAACGGGTTCAGGTTGGAGAGTTGCTAAGCATCAGGTGGGTGGGGTGAGGATAGGAATTGTATTAGTGCTTTTTCATAGTGCTGTAACTACCTGAGACTGGGTAATTGATGAAGACAAAAGGTTTAATTGGCTGACAGTTCTTTTTTTTTTTTTTTTTTTTGAGACAGAGTCTCTCTGTCACCCAGGCTGGAGTGCAGTGGCACAATCTTGGCTCACTGAAACCTCCACCTCCCAGATTCAAGCAATTCTCCTGCCTCAGTGTCCTGAGAAGCTGGGACTACAGGCACACGCCACCGTGCCCGGCTAATTTTTGTATTTTTGGTAGAGACAAGGTTTCACCTTGTTGTCCAGCATGGTCTTGATTTGACCCTGTGATCTACCCACATTGGCCTCCCAAACTGCTGAGATTACGGGAGCGAGTCACCACGCCCTGCCCACAGTTCTTCAGGCTTAAGAGGAAGCATAACTGAGAGACCTCAGGAAACTTACAATCATGGCAGAAGGTGAAGGCGAAGCGAGGCACACCTTCCCACGGTGGAGCAGGAAAGAGGGAGAGAATGAAGCGGGAAGAGCCACACACTTTTAAACAACCAGATCTCGTGAGAACTTACTATCATGAGAAAGGCAAGGGGAAAATACAGCCTTAGGATCCAGTCACCTAACACCAGGTCCCTCCCCTGACACATGGGGGTTACAGTTCAACCTGAGATTTGGGTGGGGACACAGAGCCGAACCCTATCAGGAGTGGAGGTGTGGAGATCAGGGCAGCTGGGCTTGGAATGAGGTTTTGGTGGAGAGCGATTTTCCTGACTGCTTATGGGACAGAGTATGCCATGAGGCAGGAGACAGCCGAGAGTATGTGAAGTCCTCACATGGTTTGGGCAGCTGACAGTAAAGTGAGAAACAGCCATGTGGGGAAACCTTGAAAGCAGGGCTTTGGGCTGCCCCTGGTGCTAGGGGACTTCAGTGTTCTGGGGCAGGACTGGGAGTGAACTGGTTGCCGGGCGTATTTGCTGTGCACCATCTGGTTTCCATGTGCAGAGTGGCCCGTTAGGAGGTGAAGGAAATGCCTCTGGTGTGAACTGGGAGGTTGCTGTGGAATCTGCAGGAGTGTAGGTGTGAGAGATGTGATTGGAGTGCTATCTAAATAAAGCGTGATACGCAAGCAGGAGGAGTGAATGGATGGCCCCCGGGCCTTGGCCCTGGTAGCTTAAGGGTGGGGATGAGTCTGAGTTTGGTTGTCTTGGGAGGCAAGATCTGAGGGACTCCATGGAAACCAGCTGGCAGGAGACGATGGCTATCCCCATGGGAGGCCCACATCCTGGAGGGTGCTTTTCTGCCTTGTCCTTCACCTGTTTTCTCTGTGTGCTGGACACAGTGGCCAACGGAAATGTGGAGAGAAACGTCATTCCTGCCACCTGGATGTGGTGTCTCTTCCACATTGGGAGGGTGTGCAGACTGAGCAAGGGAAGGAGAGAGCGGTGAGATCCTGGAGCGAGAGAAATAATAGCTGTGATTATATGCATTAGGTTTGTTTTTTTTCTTTTTTTGACCGAGTCTTGCTCTGTCACCCAGGCTGGTATGCAGTGGTGCAGTCTTGGCTCACTGCAACCTGTACCTACTGTGTTCAAGCAGTTCTTCTGCCTCAGCCTCTCGAGTAGCTGGAACTACAGGCACGCACTGCCATGCCCGGCATATATACATACACACACACTTTAAAATTTATTTTTATTTTAGTTTTTCATGGATCATAGGAAACAATATTTTTTGTTTTGAGAGATGGAGTCTTACTCTGTCACCAGGCTGGAGTGCAGTGGTGGAGTCTCAGTTCACAGCAACCTCCACCTCCAAAGTTCAAGCGATCTTCCTGTCTCAGCCTCCTTGGTATCTGGGACTGCAGGCGGGCGCCACCACACCCAGCTAATGTTTGTATTTTTGTAGTAGAGACAGGTTTCGCCATGTTGGCCAGGATGATCTCAGTCTCTTGACCTCATGATCCACCCACCTCGGCCTCCCAAAATACTGGGATTACAGGTGTGAGCCACTGTGCCCAGCCTAATTTTTGTATTTTTTTTTTTATTTTGAGACAGAGTCTTGCTCTGTTGCCAGGCTGGAGTGCAGCGGCGCGATCTTGGCTCACTGCAATCTCTGACTCCCTGGTTCAAACTGTTCTTCTGCCTCAGCCTCCTGAGTAGCTAGGATTACAGGCATGCGCCACCATGCCCAGCTAATTTTTGTATTTGTAGTAGAGATGGGGTTTCACCAAGTTGACCAGGATGGCCTCCCAAACTGTTGGAATTATAGGTGACAGGCGTGAGCCACTGTGCCGGGCCTTTTGCTATTGTTTTTGTTTCTTTTTCTTTAGGTGGAGTTTTGCTCTTGTTGCCCAGGCTGGAGTATAATGGTGTGATCTTGGCTCATGGCAACCTCCGCCTCCTGGGTACAAGTGATTCTTCTGCCTCAGCTTCCCGAGTAGCCGGGATTACAGGCATGCACCACCAGGCCTCACTAATTTTGTATTTTTAGTAGCAACGGAGTTTCTTTATGTTGGTGAGACTGGTCTCGAACTCCTGACCTGAGGTGGTCTGCCCCCCTTAGCCTCCCAAAGTCTGAGATTACAGGCATGAGCCACTGCGCTCAGCCTAATTTTTGTATTTTTAGAAATCCAGAGATGGATTTCACTGTGTTGGCCAGGCTGGTCTTGAACTACTGACCTCAGGTGATCTGCCTGCCATGGCCTCCCAAAGTGCTGGCATTACAGGCATGAGCCATCAAGCCTGGCCCCCACGGGGTTTTCACTTATAGATATGAGTGAGTGATCCCAGGGACAGGCCAATGACACTGAAAGAAGATATTTTCCTTTTTTTTTTCTTTCCAGAACCCCTTAGAGAACTTGGAATTGATGAAAGAAGATATTTATTCCTTACATTTCCCTAAGGAGGGTGCACACTACATAACACAGGGCCACATGGTGAAGCACCAGATTTGGTCAGCAGGAAAATGGGAGTGAGGGGAAAGTTTAGTTTAACCCAGAGATGCTATTGGGGTTTCCATGGGAAACAAGGCAGGGCCAGGTGACAGGATAGTTTGGCTAGTTTAAGTAATTCCAGGACACCTGGGCTACTGGGACTGTCCCTAGTTGTGCAGTACCTGTCCCTGAGTTGATTTAGATCATGGGAAATACTGGCTTGGTTTGATAAAGTTAGAGATGGAGGTAGTTCAGAATATGTCCCCATGATGGTAGGGGAGATGGAAACACATTTTGCTGTTAGTTTGGCCCTGTGTTTAATGGATGGTAGATATAAGTATAAAATAAATACAGAACTTGAGGCCGGGCGCGGTGGCTCAATCCTGTAATCCCAGCACTTTGGGAGGCCGAGGCGGGTGGGTCACAAGGTCAAGAGATCGAGACCATCCTGGTCAACATGGTGAAACCCCATCTCTACTAAAAATACAAAAAATTAGCTGGGCATGGTGGCACGTGCCTGTAATCCCAGCTACTCGGGAGGCTGAGGCAGGAGAATTGCCTGAACCCAGGAGGCGGAGGTTGCGGTGAGCCGAGATCGCGCCATTGCACTCCAGCCTGGGTAACAAGAGCAAAACTCCGTCTCAAAAAAAAAAAGAAAAGAAATACAGAACTTAAGTAAATACAGCTTGAAAAGAAGCCGCTCATGTATTCATCTTTCCCAATTTGGCAGGACCGTGTGGTCTTTGAGGACGTGGCCATATATTTCTCCCAGGAGGAGTGGGGGCACCTTGATGAGGCTCAGAGATTGCTGTACCGCGATGTGATGCTGGAGAATTTGGCCCTTCTGTCCTCACTAGGTAAGGCCCTCACCCTTGCCCAGTGTCCAGGGTTGGGTTGGATTATCCCTTTTTACCCAAAGGCAGCGCTGCATTTCCCACAGTGAGACCATGGGTGCTGCTGCTTTTCCTGGTTTAATGTCATATATTCCATAAGAGTCAGAACTGGGCTGTGTGCTCTGTGCTCCCGTTTTCCTAGCAGCCCCATCCCCTGTTGATCTGAGGCTTGCAAGAAAGGGGTCAGGATCCAAAAGTGTTGACTCTGAGGTAGAGACCCACCAGCTCTGTGTTCTAGTCAAATGGATGGGACCTCTGTGCTGTTTCCTTGGTCTTGCTTGTATTTCTTGGTGCCTTCTTGTTGCTGGAATTTCGGGCATTGACCTGATCTAATTTGGTGAACCACTGGCTTCATTGTGCAGGATGTAGAAATCTCCTGTGAAGTTCTGATGTTTATAGAATGTGGAATATCATTGGGTCAATCTCTCTGGGCATGTGCTGTCTCATCTCCTTCTGTATCTTTCCCCTAGGACTGGTCTCTTCCAGGTCCCACAGATTGTCACCTTAAGCAATGGGGAGGGCTCTGGGTACCCAGGAGGGTGGATATTAATCCCTGAAGGGCTGTAGCGGCTCAGAGGAGCACGATCCTGGTTCCTTGGAGTTGGAAAGAGGTGTGATGCCACAGCTGGAGTCACATCACACTAGGAACCTGTCCTGGTGACCCCTGTTGTTTAGCCCAGTTGCCACAACTCACTCTTCTTTTCCTTCCCCCATCGTCATTTCTACTCTGACTTCTAACCCCTGGCTTCCACCTGTTACCCATTCTCTTCGACTGCTCCTTGCAGTGCCCTCCAGTGCATGACCTGTACTTAAGGTGTTGTGAGGTCTGCATGATGCATTTGTCAGTAGTCCTTGAACTCCAGCTCCTTTGTCACAATCAGATCTCTCTGGGTTTAGACACAGCCTTCTACACACTGCTCACTAGTCACCAGCAGCCACGGCCTGTGGAAAGCCATTTGCAGAGTAGTACCTTGGACACTCTGCTTCTCCTCTCTGCACAGAACCCCTTTCTTGTGTTCTTACCCATCATCGGGGCTCTCCCAATATGGGTATTTGCCAGGCCCAACTGCACAGCAGGCCTCTTCTCATTGGCTTTAGTGTTGTATTATTTCGTTCTCATTCTGCTATTAGGAAATACCCAAAACTGGGTAATTTCTAAAGCAACACAGTTTCATTGACTCACAGTTCCACATTGCTGGGGAGGCCCTCAGGAAAGTTAGGATCATGGCAGAAGGCAGAGGAGAAGCAGGCAAGATGCCTTCTTCACAGGGTGGCAAGGCGAATGAGTCCAAGCAGGGGAAATGCCAGACACGTAAAACCAACACATTTCATGAGAATTTACTCAGTATCATGAGAGCAGTATGGGAGAAACTGTTCCCATGATTCAGTAATGTCCACCTTGTCCCACCCTGACATGTGGGGATTATGGGGATTACAATTCAAGATGGGATTTGGGTGGGGACACAAAGCCTAACCATATTATTCCACCCTGGCCCCTCCCAAATTTTATGTCCCTTTCACATCTCAAAACCAATCATGCATTCCCAACAGTCTCACAATGCCTTAGTTCATTCCAGCATTAACCCAAAAGTCCAGGTCCAAAGTCTGATCTGAGACAAGGCAGGTTCCTTATGCCTATGAGCCTGTAAAATCAAAAGCAAGTTAGTTACTTCCAAGATATAATGGGGATCTATTATCCAGATAATTGGGTAAATGTAGCCATGGCTAATGGGTGAAATTTACCAAAACAAAGCCTACAGGCCCCATGCAAGTCCAAAACCCAGCAAGGCAGTCATTAAATCTTAATGCTCTGAAATGATATCCTTTGACTCCATGTCTCACATCCGGGCACATTGATGCAGTAGGTGGGCTCCTGTAGTCTTGGGCAACTCTGTCCCTGTGGCTTTGCTTTGAGAGGGGGCCCCCTCTCAGCTGCTTTCATGGGCTGGCATTGAGTGTCTCCAGCTTTTTCAGGCATGCAGTGTAAACTCTTGGTAGATCTACTATTCTGGGGGCTGGAGGACGGTGGCCCTCTTCTCACAGCTCCACTAGGCAGTGCCACAGTAGGGACTGTGTGTGGGGGCTCCAACCCCAGATTTCCCTTCCTGCAGTGCCCTAGCAGAGACTCTCAATGAGTTCCACCCCTGAAGCAAGTCTCTTCCTGGACATGAGGCATTTCCATACATCCTCTGAAATACAGGTAGAGGTTCCTTCCCAAGCTTTAATTCTTGACTTCTGTGCCCCCACAGGCCCAACACCATGTGTAAGAGCCACCAAGACTTGGGGATTACACCCTCAGAAGCAATGGCTGAAGCTATACCTTGCCCCTTTTAGCCATGGCTGGAGCTGAAGCAGCTGGGATGCAGGGTACCGTGTCCAGAGGCTATACTGAGCCGGGGGGGTCCTGGGCTGAGCCCACAAAACCATTTTTCCCTCCTAAGCTTCTGAGCCTGTGATGGGAGGGGCTGCCAGGAAGGTTTCCAACAGGCCCTGGAGATATTTTCCCCATCATGTTGGTGATTAACATTTGGCTCCTTGTTACTTATGCAAATTCCTGTAGCCATCTTGAATTTCTCCTTAGAAAATGAGTTCTTTTCTATTGCATAGTCAGGCTGCAAATTTTCCAAAATTTTATGTTCTTCTTCCTCTTGAACACTTTGCCACTTAGACATTTCCTCTGCCAGATACCCTAAATCATCTTTCTCAAGGTCAAAGTTCCACAGATACCCAGGACAGGGTAACATGCTGCCAGTCTCTTTGCTAAAGCGTAGCAAGAGTCCCCTCTACTCCGGTTCCCAAGAAGTTCCTCCTCTCCCTCTGAGACCACCTCAGCTTGGACTTCACTGCCCACATCCCTAAGGCAGCATCTTGATCAAAGCCATCCATCAAGTCTCTGGGAAGTTCCAAACTTCCCCACATTTCCTGTCTCCTTCTGAGCCCTCCAAACTGTTCCAACCTCTGCCTGTTACCCAGTTCCAAAGTCACTTCCATTTTGGGGTATCCTTAGAGCAGTATCCCACTACCTCAGTACCAGTTTACTGTATTTGTCCATTCTTAACACTGCTATTAAGAAATACCCTGGCTGGGCACGGATCACCTGAGGTCAGGAGTTCAAGACCAGCCTGCCCAACATGGTGCAACCCCGTCTCTCCTAAAAATACAAAAATTAGCTGGGTGTGGTGGCAGGCGTCTGTAATCCCAGCTACTTGGGAGGCTGAGGCAGGAGAATCACTCAAATCCAGGAAACAGAGGTTGCAGTGAACTGAGATTGTACCACTGCATCCCAACTTGGGTGACAGAGCAAAACTCTGTCTCAAAAAAAGAAACACCTGAGACTTGGCCAGGCTTGGTGACTCACGCCTATAATCCCAGCACTTTGGGAGGCTGAGGCAGGCAGATCACTTGAGGTCGGGAGTTTGAGGACAGCCTGGCCAACATGGTGAAACCCTGTCTCTACCAAAAATAACAACAACAAAAAAATTAGGCATAGTGGCTCACACCTGTAATCCCAGCTACTCGGGAGGCTGAGGCAGGAGAACTGCTTGAACCCAGGAAGCGGAGGTTGCAGTGAGCCGAGATCACGCCACTGCACTCCAGCCTAGGGGACAGAATGAGACTTCATCTCAAAAAAAAAAGGAAATACCCAAGATTGGGTAATTTATAAAGGAAAGAGGCTTAATTGACACACAGTTCTGCATGGCAGGTGAGGCCTCAGAAAATTTACAGTCATGGCAGAAGGCAAAGGAGAAGAGGCACCTTCTTCACAGGACAGCAAGATGGAGTGAGTGCAAGCAGGGGAAATGCAAGATGCTTGTAAAACCGTCAGATCTCAGGAGAACTCACTGTCATGAGAATAGCCCCGGGGAGCAGCCCTGTGATTACCTTCGCCTGGTCCCACCCTTGACACCTGGGGATTCTGGGGATTACAATTCAGGATGAGCTCTGGATGGGAACACAAAGCCTAACCATATTGTTCCCAGACTAAACCGAAGGTAGGGTTGCTTATTCTCGCAGCCCAGTAATGAGATGCAGATGAACTGGGAAAAAAGAAAGTGTTTATTTCTGTAACCCGTTACAAGGAGAAGGCCTAGAAATTATTGCCAGACCAACTCAAAATTACAAACAAACTTTTCCAGAGCTTATACACCATCTAAGCTATTTGTCTACATTTAAGTGTGCACTCATCTGAAGACACAGAGATCTGAGTCCTGAAGACCTTCCTCTGGTGCCTCCGTAAACTCACGTAATCTAAATGGGTCCAGGTGCTGGGGTTACTACGGTTATCTTGTCTCCTTCTAAATCACAGAGGTTTGGGGAGTTTCTTTAGAACCCCAGTAAACTTGTTCATGAAGGCTATGGGAGTTTTTTCAGACCCCCCCCAAAAAATTAATTTAATCCTAAATGGGTCCTGTAAGAATTCCTTGGTTATCTTGTCATGCTTTAAGGGCCAGGAAAGTCCTATGCCAAACACTTTGTGGGCTTTTGTTACACTCCAGCCTGTGTGGAGGGCTGTTGGCCCCACTGGGTCATGGGGTGTCCCTTATGCTGTGCTGAGGCGCTGGATCTGAGAAGTAAAGAGGCAGGACACTGAAGAACTGGAGAAGAGCAGCTGGACTCCAGGGGCCACGCCACCTATGAGCAGGGACAGGCAAGGCCCTGAACATCCAGAAGCATCTGTATTTATTAGGTACAAGCAGGGGGAAGGATCGTAAGTGAGGCATCATCTATAGGCTTAGTGATAGGGCATATATAATCATGTGAGTCACAAGCGACGGGGCAACCCCATTATGTCACTTGGGCAGAGAGGTGGGCCATGTGCAGTAGGGGACAGTGCCGTGCACAGTAGTAGAGGGTCATGTTACAGAAAAGGGGTCCATCCCCATTAGGTCACCAAGGCAAGGAGGTGGGCTGTGTGCAATAGGTGTCATGCGCAACACTTCTTATCTGGGGGCTGGAGACTTTAGGGGGTTTCTCATGGAAAGATACTGTAAGCCAATGCAGTGGGAGCTGACAGATTTGTGCACTTCTCTGAGATACTTGTGGGAGGATGATTTGAGCTAGCACAGAAGCAGAAAAGACTGACACGGTGTACAGCCGTTGTGACTGGTCACACTAGAGGGGTTCTTCTCCCTCGGTTATTTGTGGGATCTCAGGCCTGAGGCCTACTTTCCACAGGAACTGGATGCAGGGTACTACAACTCCTTTTTCAGGAGGAGAGGTTCTTGCTCCAAGCCTGCCATACAGCGTATGCCCTTTCAGGCAGGGACGCCACCACCTGGGTCTTTGGTTCGTGTCCTCGTCTGGCTGTTTTCCCATGTACTGCTTCTGTTCTGTGACTGCTCTAGGCATTCCTCCTACTACAAACTACTATATGGTTATATAGAAAGATTATATAAATCATCACTAAATGTGTTGGTACAGCTCCGACTACAATGCCTATATGATTATATACAATATATATATGATTATATAGACTACAATACCTATATGATTATATAGAATATATATATGGTTATATAGACTACAATACCTATATGATTATACGGAATATATATATGGTTATATAGACTACAATACCTGTATGATTATATAGAATATATATATGGTTATATAGACTACAATACCTATATGATTATATAGAATATATATGGTTATATAGACTACAATACCTGTATGATTATACGGAATATATATATGATTATATAGACTACAATACCTATATGATTATATAGAATATATATATGATTATATAGACTACAATACCTATATGATTATATAGAATATATATATGATTATATAGACTACAATACCTATATGATTATATAGAATATATATATGATTATATAGAATATATATGGTTATATAGACTACAATACCTGTATGATTATATAGAATATATATATGGTTATATAGACTACAATACCTATATGATTATATAGAATATATATGATTATATAGACTACAATACCTATATGATTATATAGAATATATATGGTCATGTAGACTACAATACCTGTATGATTATATAGAATATATATATGATTATATAGACTACAATACCTATATGATTATATAGAATATATATATGATTATATAGACTACAATACCTATATGATTATATGGAATATATATATGGTTATATAGACTACAATATTTATATGACTACATAGAAAGATTATATGGAACTAAGTATGCTAGATAGAAGTACTAAGTATGATTATATAAGCTAGATAGATGTAAGCAGTAAGTTATACTCAGGCACTAATTCTATAAACGAATATAAGATTATATATAAAGGATTATATAAAGGAAATAGCTGAGTAATAACACTATAAACAAGATAGTCTTCAGGCACTAATTGTGCCTGGGGTTTGCACAGCTCTCCTTCCTCGGTGCCCATATTGGAGGTTACCCACACCTGTGCATGAGGGCATTGGCTCTATCAGCTTTTAATCAACTTAAGCACTCGGTCCGTGCTGAAACCGTTGTCGTGGAGGTCTGCCTGCTCCGCTATTAGTGAGAGCTGACCTGCCACAAAAACTGGCGCCTGTCCCAGTTCCATGATCAGTTTCATGGGGCGTCTGACAGACATTTGTGATGGAGCTGCCTCCACTCATCACAGTCAACATGCACTTCAGCGGCATTTTTATTCTTACAGGGTGTTGCCATGGAGCAGAGGATGAGGAGGCACCTTTCCAGCAAGGTGTTTCTTCAGGAGTGTTACAGGCCATGGCTCCAAAGCCCCGTCTGTCTACCCAAAAGTCCCAGCGCTGTGAGACATGTAGTTCACTTCTCAAGGACATTCTGCGTCTGGCTGAGCACGATGGAACACACCCTGAGCAGGGGCTGTACATGAGTCCAGCACATCTTCACCAGCACCAGAAGGAGCAGATTAGAGAGAAACTTTGCAGAGGGGATGGAGGAAGGCCGTCATTTGTGAAGAACCACAGAGTTTACATGGCAGGGAAGACATTCTTGTGCAGTGAGTGTGGGAAAGCCTTTAGCCACAAAAATAAACTTGCCGACCATGAGAAAATCCACACTGGAGAAAGACCTTATAAGTGCAGCATATGTGGAATATTGTTTATGGAAAGGTCCACACTCAGTAGACATCAGAGGACTCACACTGGAGAAAGGCCTTATGAGTGCAGTGAATGTGGGAAGGCCTTTCTTTGTAAGTCTCACCTTGCTCGTCACCAGACAATCCACTCTGGAGAAAGGCCTTATGAGTGCAGCGAATGTGGGAAACTGTTTATGTGGAGTTCCACACTCATTACACATCAGAGGGTTCACACTGGAAAGAGGCCTTATGGTTGTAGTGAATGTGGGAAGTTCTTTAAGTGCAACTCAAACCTCTTTAGGCATTACAGAATTCATACAGGAAAAAGGTCTTACGGTTGCAGTGAATGTGGGAAGTTCTTTATGGAAAGGTCCACACTCCGTAGACATCAGAGAGTTCACACTGGAGAAAGGCCTTATGAGTGCAATGAATGTGGAAAATTCTTTAGCTTGAAATCTGTACTCATTCAACACCAAAGAGTTCACACTGGAGAACGGCCTTATGAATGCAGTGAATGTGGGAAGGCCTTCCTTACAAAATCCCACCTCATTTGTCACCAGACAATTCACACTGCAGCAAAACAGTGCCGTGAATGTGGGAAGTTCTTTAGGTATAACTCCACACTTCTCAGACATCAGAAAGTGCACACTGGATGAAGCCCTTAGGAATGCCATGGGTGCGGGAAGGCCTTCAGTCACCAACATACCGTGGCTGGACAGCAGGCAGTACACACTGGAGAAAGACCGAGTGCCGTGAATGTGGGTAATTACATAGCTACAGCTCTCCAACCACTATGTATCAGAGAATTCGCACTGCAGAAATACGTGTTCCGCAAACTTGGGACGTTATTTTGATCTGACTCTCGTCTCAGACATTGGAGGGTTTATACTGAAGAAGAGTCTTTTCAATAAAGTGGAAAGTGGTAAAGATTCAACATGCAAAATTGTACTTATTGGGCTTCAGAATATCCACACTAGTGAGAGTCTTCTAAGGATGGCAAACATGTGGCATCCTTTGGTACTGCTTAGACACCACGTGGTTCACACTGGAGAAAGGCCTTATATATGCCTTGAATGTAGCCAAGATGGTGGACAGCATCACCCAGAAATCTCTGATTTAGCACCGACAGCTAGTATTGTATGTTTTTAAAAAAATAATGGTGAAGTACATGCCGCAAAAAATTTGCCATCTTCACTATTGTAATGTCCCGTTTAATACTTGAAGTACGTCCATATTGTTGTGCAGAGAATATCCTGGACTCTTCGTCTTACAACATGAAACCCTAGAACCATTAAATAACAATCATTTCCACATTCCTTCAACCCCCGGCGACCACCATTCTATTCGTAAGTCCATATGCATCTGACTACTCTTGGTACTTCACAGAAGAAGAACCTTAGAGTGCTTTTCTTTTTATTATTTTTTTCACTTAGGATAATACCCTCGAGGTTCATCTGTGTTTTAGCATGTGTCGGAAATTTTAGGGCTGAGCGATCTTTGATTGCTTGCGTCTGCCACATTTCCTTTATTTCTCACCTCTACTCACGGACACTTGGGGTGCTTCTACCTTTTGCTATTGTGAATATTGCCACTACAAGCATAAGGGCACAAACATCTTTTCAAGATCCTGCTTTCAATTATCGGGTATACCCAAAAAAGTGGAACTGCTGGGTCACATGGTAATTCTAATTTCAATTCTTTGATGAACTGAGATACTTTTCCGTAAAACTTGCACCATTTTACATTCCTATCATTCCACAAAAATTGTGATTTGTCCTCATTCTAATCCATAGAAAGTAAGATTTCTAACAAGTTTCCAGGTGATTTTGTTGTTGCTGATGTTTTGAGAACTGTCCTATCCCATTTTTATAACAATGCAGATATTCTGTAAATACCCCTTGTTTCTGTATTCCATCCTATAAGCCTTTTCATTTTAATTTTTCCCAGTGTTTACAACCAGGAAATGGCCTGCCATCTTTGATATAAAACCGATAGAAATCTTTGCAAAATACCAATTGCATTGTGTATTTTGATCGTTGCATTGATCCTTGGATCATTTTCTCCCCCAGTCTCTGTAGATATTTAGTGGTGTATAATCTTGTATGAGAATACATCATGGTAAGAATAAATTTTAAAGGACTTAAGGTCACAAAATACAGCAATTTACCTGTGGACCTGCCCTCCCCCCAGGCTGAGCACACCCCACAACTGTGCTCTTACTGCTGCTTTCCAGGTGTGTACCTATCATGGGGTGTGCTTGCTATTGACCATTCCTCTTAATGGGTTCTAGGCAACAGATAGAATAGCTTAGGTGCCAAAGCCACAGAACCTGTCAGGGGTTGTGTCATTTTGAAAATTATGCAGAATTCTAAGTGATCTTATATGGCAGCAGTCCTCAGCCTTTTTTTGCCACCAGGGACTGGTTTTATGGGAGACAATCTTTTCATGGATGGCAGTGCAGGGGGCTGGATGGTTTTGGAATGAAACTCTTCTACCTCAGATCATCAGGCACTGGTTATATAGACTGAGGAGTGCACCTACATCCCTCGCATGCACAGTTCACAATGGGGTTTGCACTCCTATGATGTTTAGTGCTGCCGCTGCTCAGGAGGTGGAGGTAGGTGGGAATGCTCACTCCTGCTGTGTGGCACTGTGAGGCCTAGTTCTTAACAGGACGTGGACTGGTACAGTCTGTGGCCTGGGGATTGGGGACCCCTGTTTTATGGGATTTGGGGAATTTGATTTGGGTTTTCCCTTTGACTATTGTCAAAGTTATTGCATCTAATTTTTCTAGAGTAAGCCAGGTTTGGTGTCATGTAATACAGCCACATAGGCCAGGCATGGTGGCTCATGCCTGTAATCCCAGCACTTTGGGAGGCCACGATGGGTGGATCACAAGGTCAAGAAATGAAGACCATCTTGGCCAACATGGTGCAACCCCATCTCTACTAAAAATACAAAAATTAGCTGGGTGTGGTGGCATGCACCTGTAGTCCCAGCTACTTGGGAGACTGAGGCAGGAGAATCCCTTGAGCCCAGGAGGCAGAGGTTGCAGTGAGCTGAGATCACACCACTGCACTCCAGCCTGGGCAACACAGTGAGACTCCATCTCAAAAAAAAAAAAAAAAAAAAAAGGCGAGCTAATATACCAAAAACAAAATAATTGAATCTGGTTCACTGGATGCATAAGAAAATGCAAGCTAATAAGCAAAAAGCAAATTATTCAATCATTTGTTATATATAAGACCTTAAAAAAATTAACACACTGCCATGTGTGTACCTATGCAACTATTTTGCACGTTCTGCACATGTACCCCAAAACCTAAAATGCAATAAAAAAGAAAAAATAATAGAGAGTGCTGGGTCCAAATGTAATGCTAGATCAAGCTTAGATTTTAGTCCATCTAAGCGAAAGCCACCAGCCAGCCTAAGAGTCACCTCCCACCAAGGGCAGAATCATTTAGAGACAACGAAAATGTGTCTGAGACCTATGGCCACCAAGAAGATAGTCAGTGTGAGAAAGAGCAAAACCAAGTAACTATTCACACCAGAGAGTATAATGTGAAGAAATTGTTTCACTTTTTTTTTTTTTTTTTTTTTTGAGACGGAGTTTCGCTCTTGTTACCCAGGCTGGAGTGCAATGGCGCGATCTCGGCTCACCACAACCTCCGCCTCCTGGGTTCAGGCAATTCTCCTGCCTCAGCCTCCCGAGTAGCTGGGATTACAGGCACGCACCACCATGCCCGGCTAATTTTTTGTATTTTTAGTAGAGACGGGGTTTCACCATGTTGACCAGGACGGTCTCGATCTCTTGACCTCGTGATCCACCCGCCTCGGCCTCCCAAAGTGCTGGGATGACAGGCGTGAGCGTCTTTGGTTTTAAATGCTGCTGGACGGAGGAGCATGTTCAGGTTGATGCAGAACCTCAAACCACCTTTGCAGAATGATAAATGACAGAAATCTAACATGGCTGTCTTGGTTCTAACCTCACAGGCTAAATTTTTATTCGTTTATTTTTTTCTTATTTTACACACAGGTTCACATAAGGAGCGCACCTCCATCCCTTGCACGCACTGTACATAGTAGCACCCTTGCTGTTTATGTGGCTCTGTTGTGTTGGCTAGTTTGCATTTTCTTATGTATCCAGTGTACCAACTCCCTGGGATTTGGATCCATCTCTAAATTCCAGTGGTGACTTTTAGTAACTGAGCACAGCCAGCTGCAGCTCCATACCATGTGCGCCTACTTGACCACCAAGGACTCAAAAGTTTCTCATCCTCCACCCATTTTTAAATTGAAGATTATTCAAAAGTTAAACAACTTTATTATCTCTTATTAACATATGAAAATTGTGTTCAAAATAGAAAATGAATTCTACCTTTTTTTTTGAGACAGAGTCTTGGTCTGTTGCCAGGCTGGAGTGCAGTGGCATGATCTTGGCTCACTGCAACCTGTGCCTCCTGGGTTTAAGTGATCCTCCTGCCTCAGCCTGCTGAGTAGCTAGGACTACAGGTGCACACCACCACACCTGGCTAATTTTTTGTATTTTAGTAGAGATGGGAGTTTCAATATGTTGGCCGGGCTGGTCTTGATCTCCTGACCACGTGGATCTACCCCCCTCAGCCTCCCAAAGTGCTGGGATTATAGGCGTGAGGCACTGCACCTGGCCGAAATTCTACTTTTGTGTTTGTGTACTAGCAATACTAAAGCTAATTTTACTAAAGTCTTAGAAACAGACCCATCCAATTTTAATCAGGTTTTGACCACACAAGGTAAGATTTTTTTCCAAAAACCTTTTATATCCTCTTACGATTTTTTTCTATTTTTCTCTTTCCTTAATTTTTAGGTCTATTTACCTTTTTTTTTTTTTTTTTTTTTTTTTTCAGACAGTCTCACTCTGTCATTCAGACTGGAGTGCAGTGGTGTGATCTCAGCTCACTGCAACCTCCACCTCCCAGGTTCAAGTGATTCGGCCTCCCACATAGCTGGAATTACAGGCACACACCACCACACCCAGCTAAGTTTTGTATTTTTAGTAGAGAGAGGGTTTCTCCATGTTGGCCAGGCTGGTCTCAAACTCCTTGCCTCAAGGATTCCACCCGCCTCAGCCTCCCAATATGCTGAAATTACATGCTTGAGCCACTACGCCCAGTCCTAGATTACTTACTTTTATCTACATTATTTTCCTTTCATTTTGAAACAGCCTTTACATAACCTCTAAACTAGACAGAATTACTTTTTCTTTAGTAAAAGGAAAAGTAATTAGCAAAAACCACATCTTCATTTTTTTAAAATAAGCTTCTTTACCAAAACCACATAATAAACATCACGACACTGGGCTGCACAATACTTCAATGGAGCACATCGATGTAAAGACGTTTTTCTACCATGCCTTTTATAGCTAAACATGCAAAGAAATGAGTAGCCCCCTATAGTAATGACCATTTGCTGCCAGTAACTGCCACCAGCCACCTCTGACACTGCAGCTCATGCTTGTGACTAGCAGCCATTACACACATCAAGGTTAAGTTCTCTCACAGGACAAAGTAATCTCTGGTAGCCCCCAAAACCAGTGATATCAGGTAATGCACTACAAAAGAAGGCAGAATTTTGGACCTGAGAGAAATCTGTCCTCTTAAAACTCTTGGAGTTCCATGAAGAAAAACAGGATTCTTCAAAATAAAACAAAACAAAAGTCAATGGAACCTTTTCTGTTTTTCTTAAGAGATCCCAGGCTGTGAGAAAAAATTGTTAGGTTCCCTCGTGTAATACTGAGGATGGTAAGAGGAAGGAAGGACAGAGTGCATATAGTTACTGAGAAGTTTTTTTTTTTTTTTTTGAGACGGAGTTTCGCTCTTGTTACCCAGGCTGGAGTGCAATGGTGCAATCTCGGCTCACCGCAACCTCCGCCTCCTGGGTTCAGGCAATTCTCCTGCCTCAGCCTCCCGAGTAGCTGGGATTACAGCTACTGTACTGTAATGATCGCGCCATTGCACTCCAGCCTGGGTAACAAGCACGAAACTCCGTCTCAAAAAAAAAAGAAAGAAAGAAAGAAACCATAAATAGGGATTTACAAAGAGAAGCCATGTCTTGGGCAGCCACAAAATGATGGATCTCAGCACTTGCCCTCCAGGTGGTAATGCTTTGTATAGTAAGCTTTTAGAGTAAAACATGTGCAGCTGGTTATCCCTTAAACTTTCTTGTGAAACTGGTGACCAATGGGCAGGTCAGATAAGCGTCTTTATGAGGGATTATCTATGCTACAGACATTGTGTCTTGACCTTGCTGTGGGAACACCTTGGCATGCAGGAGTCAAACACTGGTCATTACGGTGGTTTTGCTTCAAGAGAGCATCACTCTTGCCACACCACATGCTGTCTTTAAAAACCGTAATTACTTTTGCATCAACCTAATAGCATAATGTCCTCAAGGCTCATCCATGCTGTAGCTTGTGTCAGAATTTCCTTTCTTTTTTAAGACGGAGTCTCACTCTGTCACCCAGGCTGGAGCGCAGTGGTGTGACCTCGGCCCACTGCAACCTCTGCCTCAGCCTCCAGAGTAGCCGGGACTACAGGCATGAGCCATTGAGCCTGGCCAAGAATTTTATTTAAAAGGCTGAATAATATTTTCTTGCATTTTTATATTTAATTTATTCACCAATCCACTGATGGAAACTTGGATTGTCTACACATTTTAGATACACATTTGTCTATACATTGAGAATAGTGCTGTTATAAAAATAGGTGTAGAAATATCTCTTCAAAACTCTGCTTTGAGTTCCTACACAGAAGTAAGTTTGGTGGGTAATACAGCAATTCTGTATATAATTTTCTGAGAAACAACCATACTATTTTCTGTTATTGCTGTACCATTTTAATTTCCTCCAGTGTACAAGAGAGTGTCAATGTCTCTACATCCTTAGCAAAACATATAATTTGGTCCTTTTCTTTTCAATAGCAGCTATCCTTATAATTGATTTTTATGTAAGTGTTGTTTTAGGCGTGTTCTTTG